CCCCCCCCCAAAAAACACCTCCCACGAAGTTCCCAACTCTAAAGACTATATTGTTGCCTCCCGCAAGACACATTCATCTAAATGGCACCTGCACGAGCAGCACGAGCAGCACGACGACGAAGTTAGGACGCTGGAAAGGATGGCAGTGTGTTTGGATTTGATGAAAACAGCGGTGGAGGTACTGGGTCCAGTGGCCGCAGCTTCGCGATTCGACGTTGTTTAATCGACACATTTCTCTTTATTTCCCCCCCTTTCTTTTTTCCCCTTTGTTCTTGAAGTTAGTTTTGCACTGTATGGTTGTTGGAGATATAGCTAAGGCCTGAGATTCCAGATCGGGATTTCTGTTCTTTTTTTTCCCTTTTTCTGATGTGTTGGGAAAGAAAGGAAGTTAGAGAGCATATCGATCTTCTTTTTATACTTGATTCGGGAGATAAGGGATCAGGTAGTGATCTTGGTGTAATCTTGACTCTTGAGAAGTTGAGAGATAGCAATTGCCAATTTGTGAGTTTTGGCTTGGTGGAATGTATTTGTGATTGTGTAGCTGTGATTGTGCTCTAGAAATTGAATGGTTGGTCAACTTGAGTGGGATGGGGGAGTATATCGTCAAGAGCGAACTTGAGTTGCACATTCGACCTCGCGATTGTTCTAACTTCTTACCTTCAAAAGCCTTTTGATCCATACATCTAACTCCCGTCCATCTATCTCAGGTATACCGATATCAATAATCAAACCCTTCCCCAACCATACCCAGCAGTAGATAACGTAAAAGAAGCCTAGCGCCCCTAAAATATCCGGGGGCGGCGCCTTCAGACTACGCGGACCGGGCCGCAAGGGACCTGAGGATGGATGGATGGATGGGGTGAGGGATGTGATTTATTAGAGGTGGCGGAGTTGAAGATGTTTTGTAGGGTTGGAATGGCGGTTATAGAGGGAGCTTTATGTTGCTAGGGGTGGGGGCTTGAAGAGGGGTCCGGGTGTGAGTATTGGGGTTTTGGCTACACGGAGTTCTTCCCTCTCCCCTCCTCTCCCCCTTTTCCCAATGTTATTTACTCTGTAGAAACATTCCTTGCGCAGCCCAGAGCAAACACTTCAACATACCTAACTTGCAGAGCGAAGGAAAAAGGACCTAACTCATAGCGTATAAAACCGCACGGTCCGCACGATATCGTCTATTGCTCTACCTTCCTCCACTGACATCGCAAGACTGCCGACTTTCTTCTCAAACTTGAATAAGGCGCTGAAGTATTAAATTGATCTAGGTGATTGATATTGTAATACATTCTTCTTCCCATTGCAACTACTAGAACAGACATATCATGCTATACTCTCGCCACTCCCCGCTCCTATCAGCAAACATTCCACTGTTCATAATCCACCGGATCAAAATCAAAAATCAAAACTAGTCCAGACAATCGTGCTAATCAACCATGAGTCCATGACCCATATCTGCGCTGATCTCAAGACTTGATAATGCATACACACCGCCTGAAACGCAACCTTATATAGATCAGATTCACATATCATGCGTGAACAAGGATCAGGACGTTACAAGATCCAGCAAGAACTCTTCCCTCTTCCCCTCCCCCCACAAAAACCTCCCACCTAGCTACCGGGTTTAAGAACGAGAGCTTGGGAATAACTTGTAATAATCGTGGGGCTTCCAACACCAGTTTTAGGGAGAGTGCTTTTACGCAATGATACAGAGTTTAGTCGTACCAAAGAAAAATACCTTACCTACCTAGGTAAACTTAAAGGTAAGGTAGTTTACCCCCGGGCCCCGGCGCCGGGAATAACCCACCTTGAAAGGACAACCCCTGCTTAATCTTTCCATTCCCTTCCTACCTACCAATTTTATTCTTCTTTTTTTCCTCTTCCCTTGTCTTTTCTTTTGCAATCTTTGAAAAAGAAAGAAAAAAAAAGTGGAAAAAGAAGAAAGGAATACGAGGACCCGACCCAACCCAACTCCCCGGATCCCAGCCAGTGGTCCCTCAAGCCCCCCACCCTTGCACTTCAAAAGAGGAATAAATCCTCGATGAGCTCGCACCCACTCTTGGCTGGGATCAAGGGTGAAATTTGTTATTGCCCGCATTGTGAAAAGACTCTCCTTAAATTCAAGTTTCCCTAACAAGACGACTAAGACTACACTTGAAGTCTTGACCAAAAACTTCAAGGCCAAGGTAATGCGTATCGAAAATATTCACAAGAACAGGTGCTAGTACCAAGTCAATACCAAGTCCTTTCAAATCTTCAACCTCAAAACTAACTCCACGAACAACAAGTCTCAGCTTTCGAGCCCGTTGAAGAAATTCATCTTCAAGAAAGTGTAGCCAATTTAATAGACTAATAAGCTTCTTATCTTGCTCCATGTCAGTTATCGCTTTGGAGAGAAACTGTTTAGTATCCGTCACGCTCGATAATGCCAGTAGATACCACGTTCCTTGACTTGGTACAAGTAGGTAATTGGATAGCGTATATCACGAGTATCCAGCGTTAAGAACCCGACCTCTCTTAACCGCACACGACCATGCCAGTCCTCGTGGAAAAGATGACTATGCTCGAAATCGATTGCGGTAAAAAAAGCATCGAGAGGATCTTGGTTTTGAGGATCAAGTACAAGGCCTGGATTTTGCTGTAGAAGTTGCAGGCTCTGCGTGTTGATTGATAGTGCGTAGAAGCTGCGCACGTAGAGCTCTAGCTATAGCCTGCCTATAGGCAGCTTGTAGCATCCTTTCTTTCCTTCCGAAGCGAAATTCGCTGTACTTTCTTGTCGTCGAGTGTATTCTCATTATAGGGCGTCCGGAATCACACCTGCTGGACTTGTGCTCAAGCATATAAGAGGTGTGGTGGTGATGATGAAGTTGATATAATAGAATAGCGGTACTTGTCGTGTAGAGATAGACAGATGCCTTATGTGCCGAGTCTTTTTTCTTTTAGTAAATAAACATCCCCGTACCGGCCCTTACCACTATACGCCGTATTGTATCAATAAATCCGCGACAGCTATGACCCTCTTATCGTTTCGCATAATAATCGTCCATGAATATTCGAAGGGCGCGGCCCACCCACTCCCTATCCATGGAAATAAAGCATGTACGTCGAAACAAGCAATTTTGCCTATCGCTCGGATTCGATAGTCTGGAAGCTAGGGGCTCGCTATTTGTAAGCGTGGTATGGCGTTTCTTGGTATAGGTGGGATCGGGATCGGGACGGAGTTGCGAAGGAGGGGTTTGTTATTGAATTAAAACAAAGGGGTTATACCGTAACAAATTTTACGGGCTTCGATGTTTTTATTTTTTGGTGAGGGTTGGACATCGGGGGAGGGTAGTGAGAACGCGAGACGAGGACTTCATTGCGCTGCGCTGTGGAATGCTTGGTTGCGAAAGTTTTGGATTTGCGGTTATGTTCCATGCGTAGACACGTGCATGCATCCTATGTCTAAATACTACCTATTAATTTACTCTTATTATGCTATATTATGTTCATGTGTTCTTAACTTTTGAAGAGTCGGACTCCTGGCTTGAATCGCCTCTCTTCCAGAATATACCACGTGGATGGCCTGGAAATCGAGTCGACAGCTCTGTGGTAGTGCGTCGAAACGTATGCCAATTGCTGTGCCGAGGACTCGGGTATTGATCCCCTCAGTATTTGAGGTATCCCGCGGTAATTCTGCTTGTTCAGTCCTCTGGAAAGAACTGCAACCTCCCTAGCAAGGTGTCGAGCATCATCGCGGTGCTAGCTCTGTCTTAGCCAAGCCAATGCATGCTCACCACAAAATTTCCTTTAAATCCCCCCCAAGTAAATCTTCCACGGCTTCACCTCACATGATCTCACTCGCAAACTTTGACCTCGCCCGGATCGTCGGCCCAAACATCACAAGCACCCAAGGAACTGCCGTCAAGAGCACCGCAAGGCCGCCTAACAAACTGGCCGCTCCCTGAAATGTCAAGTTATTAAAAAGCGCAGTCACAACCAATGGGAATACGCCACCCAGCATATTCCGACAGCAGCTTTGCGCCGCTAGCGCGGAAGAGGCGTAACGATGATAAGTGTCAGCGAGGTAGTTAAAGGTGGCGAGGTAGATAGAGAAGATGCCCATGGTAGCGCAGGCGATGCCCATAGCAGGCACAATCCAGGGGACGGAATGAAACTGGGTCCAGCCAAACCAGAAGAGCCCAATGGGTAACAAGGTGGATTGGACGCAGGCGAAATAAAGACGTGCTTCAGGAGAAGAGAGGTCGAGTTTGCTTATAAACTTGGACTGTGTCGCAGGGTTCCGGGCGGTGTGCTTTACGTAGAGGAAGAGGAGACGGTCTTGGTAGATCGACAAGAAGGTGGAGATCGTAGCGCCAATGCAGATTGCTGAGAAGACACCACCCGATTCTTGAATGTTGAAGCCGTGAGAACGCCCAAAGACGAGGGGGATGGATCCGAATGTTAGGTAGAGGACGGCCCAAGCGAAAGAGATCCAGAGGGAGAAGAAGAAGACGACGGGTTCGGTGAACAGGAGATGGAAGGGGCGGAAGACTGAGATTCCAATCATTTTGGACAACGACTCGCGCTCTTCGTCGGATTTGACTTTCCATCGGATGCGCTGAGATACGGTCTGCTCTGACCCAGGGGAGACAGGCATGTCAAAACCAACGTGGCCTGCTTGCTCACGGGCCTCCATCCATTTATTCAGTGCCTTTGCTTTGTTGGAAAGGAGGATGCTACCTCGCGTTTCCTTGAAGAACAACGTGACGGCTGCGATCAAAAGCCCATTAGTGATGACTTGAACCCAGAAAACCCATCTCCAAGTGGTATTCTGGGCAATGAAACTGGATATCATAGGCCCCAGGCCTGTCCCGAACAATGCCGCTCCCGAGAACAACGCCATAGGAGTGTTTCGATCCTCGGCGTGATACAGATCACTCACCACACCTCCAACCATCGTCGAGAAAACCGAACTTCCGCATCCCGTCCAGAATCGCGCTACCAGCATTCCTGGGTAGGAATGCGTGACGGCACAACATATCTGGCAAATGACATACAAGATGCCCGACCCGACGAACACTGGATACCGACCATTGATTTCCGAAAAGGGCGCAAGGACCATTGGTGCAATTGCGAACCCACAACAGAATGTGGTGATACCGATCTGGACGGCAACCTCACTGACGTGCCATGCCTCGGACATTTGTTTAGCCGCCGGAGAATAGGAACCTGCTGTGTAGCCGGTGATGAGGGTCGCGATACAGGAGAGCACAATGGTGAATCTTTTGCGGGTCTTGGACCACTCGAACGGGGAGGTGTACTTCTTGAGGTCGGGTTGTGGAGGGGGTGGAGCTGCGGCTGACTTGCTGGACAGACCGCCTGACGGGAGGGGCAATCGGGTTTCGAAGGTGAGGTAGTGGTATATGATAGGGGACGAAGCGTCCACGATGCTGTCGGAGGTATTCGACTCGTCGTTGTTGTTGTCCCTCTGCTTCTCCCCGTGCTCAACGACCATGGTTGTCGTTTGCTCGGAATCACGCCCACTTATCTCTGGGGCGGCCATTGGGGGCAAGGCGTATTTTCGGTATCCAGGGTCGAAGGGAACAGCAACAGCGGGACTACCTTACCTATCCAGACAGCATGAGACGGGAAGAAGAGAGGGGGGGTTGTTTAAGACGAAGAGAGGGATACTCACAAAAAGAAGAGAGATCTCTTCTGGAGGAGAGATTAATATTGGATAATAACTTAAATTTGAATACCCCGTCTGGGGTAGGCCGAAGGCGACCTAGCGGTGGGGGGACGCCGACGGAGGCCACTGATGGCGGGTCTCTGTGGCTCTGATTAGCTCTAATCCGGGCTAATCCTGGCTAAATCCTGGCTAATTCTGTGGCCGCGCTGGGGATGGGTCCTCTCGCCCGGGATGGTTGCCGAACTCCCACCCGGGATCAATCAGATCCCCTAACCCGTCTCCGGCCTAGCCGTCTTATTTCCAGAGAGAGGGGGGTTGACTCGTTATCCCCGCCGGGGCTTTGGCTGATTAATGCGCCGGACCTGGGGGGAGCGGAGAGACGTGTGCACGAGGGGTGAATGGGACGCCATGTTGGAGTTGGAGATGGAGATGGAGATGCAGCAGAACAATTGACCAGAGGCGTGGTTCTTTTGCTCTACCCGGGCCATGCAGAGACGAAAGAAGAAAGCTCCGTGGATTTGTTTGTCTCGTGCCGCGGGGCGGTTCCGCTTCCCCTCGTCGGGACGGGATCACGTGTGCCAACCAAACCCATGTCACATGTCCCTACACCGCGCCGCACGGCACTCGGCGCCTGGATTCCAAGGCATGAAATCGAAGCATCCCTGGAGACAGGGTGGAACTGGTTGCCCTCAGAGGTAAAGGCGGCCAAAAGCGCAGAAGTGGGAGATGGAGGCACCTTTGGCCTTTTGGCCCAGGAGGCCATCCTCCGTCCCGTCGGGGAAGAGAGACAGATGCTCCGACGGAGCACAGCACGAGTCAAAGCACCGCAATTCACCGCTTGCACTGTACAGCGGCATGGCCTCTGGTACATACAGTACGGCCTCGGGGACAAGATATAAAATCAACTGCAAATAACAATGGCCTTCTCCTAGCATTCTCGTCAGCGGTCATGTACTGTCTGAGTGTCCGAGTATCTGTACTGTACCCAGAGTGAACATTGAGGGCATCAGACGAACCGCACATGCAAACGAACATGCTCTGACAGGCGCTCAGACAGGCCCGAGCAGGAGACAAGGTCTTTGTTGGATCATGTCTTGGAAACTGTAGCCACTACCCAGGGCTCAAGGCTTAAGCACTGCTCAGCCAACAGTACTCGAGTACTCCCATACGAAGCACTGGGGCACTGATAGTGACGCTTGTACTTTGTCCTTCGTACGATAAGTAGGCAGAAGCAAAAAGTCCTCTCCCAAGCAAGGCCTCAGGATGTCCAGCTCTGTGGGAGAGTCTTAAGATACCCCGCAGGCTCTTGACTTTCCGACTCTCCCAGCTCTCTTCGGGCTCTTTCGGGGACAATCGCATTTTAATACTCATTAATACTCTTCAACGGCGAACAACCCAAAAGCTCTTTGAAGCACTTTGGAGCATTGGAGGTAATAGGGTGTTCCTCTCGTGGGGTACTAGTAGCTGAAACCTCCTCGAAGGCTGCAACCGACCTTCGAAGGCTGGTCAGTCCAACCACCTCCACATGGCTGATGTGTGCCCTTGATAGGTCAACTCGGTCAACTCGTGGAGGTACCTCTTCGATCCACGCCGGCATTTGTCCCTGCAAGGGATTCTTTGATGCATCGCGCGTGTGGTTTGTCTTGCTTGTGCGGCACTTTTTGGTCCTATTTTTCGCCTTTTGGCAGAGCCGCGTCTGTGCGGCTGTGGGCCTATCCCTTCGTCTCGAGCGCCTCCCCCCGGTTCTATGTACAGTACCACCACCACTGCTCCTGTACCTCTGTAGGCCTGCGCGCGACATCCTGGATGACGACCACACATCGGGGTGACGGAGGAGACCTTGCTTCTGTCTGATCTACCGCGAACCATACACAGTGCGAGATAGGGGCCCGGCTTTCCTAGGTAAGCTTCTCTTGCCTCCCCTCTGCATGGCTGTCGTTCTTCGCTGCGGTATATGAAAGCGGCCAGTCGACAATGCCTTCACTCCTTGATCGACCCTCTCTTGCCGTCCCCAAGTATGTTTAATCATGGCAGACCAGCTGACATCGCGGCCAGCAGGCTCGCTCCAGTCCACCTTTCCTCCCCCCTCCGACCCCACAACAGACGAGTACAGCCCTCCCGAGAAGGGAGAATTTCTTGCCGGCGTGCGACGAGGCCTACGGAAATTGGGATCCGTACCTGGGATCGCATACAAATCATCAAACATACAGCTTGCTGAACGGGCTGCGATTGCCACTCCAGATCTCTCCGCTGCCAGCTGCGATTCAACACGAACTGGTCGATCGAAGGAGCATGTTAGGAGTCACAGCACCTTGAACTGTGAAAAGCCTCTACCCAAGGTCCCATCTCCCCCACCAATTGAACGGCTTCTGCGGATACCCGTCTCTTCCCCTGCTACCGCAAAATCCTTTACCACCATGTCACGCCCAGCTGTGAGTGGCAGCCGCACGAGCACCATGGACTCGTCAACCTCGGGTCCTTCTTCACAAATGTATACGAGTGGATATATGTCATCTGATATGGCCAGTAGTCAGAGCAGTCTTGCAAGTTCAAATAGGACGGAAGAAGATGAGACAAGGGATATCATGACACCGAGAAGCAATGGGCCTGCCTCAGCCGGTCCATCCCCTGCCCAATCACGCTCGGCGGGTGCCTCCATGGGAGCTCCCAGGGGTTCACCAACACATTTGTCGGGACTCATGTGCAATGTACATCGAACAACAGGAAGAGAACCACATCCGTTAGTGGGAGCTACGACGACTATCTTGGGAGATAAGCTTTATGTATTTGGAGGACGGATTCTATCACGATCAAGGCCGGCGTTAACGGCAGATATGTACGAGTTGGATCTGATACACCGACATTGGACAAAACTTGAGACTACTGGGGATATACCTCCACCCAGGTACTTTCACAGTGTATGCGCGCTCGGGGACACGAAGCTTGTCTGCTATGGTGGCATGTCTCCTGCGCCATCAACGGGGCAGACACCCGTCACTGCTGGCTCTGGACAGGATTCACAACCAGAAGTTGTTGTAATGTCGGATATATACATCTTCGACGCGCCTACCAAAGTATGGACATTTATCCCAACACAGGATACGCCACAGGGGAGATACGCACACTGCGCCACCATCCTTCCATCCTCTGCGACGTTTGCATCAGCCAACGCGCCTGCATCGGCACTGCAGCATAATCCACCCGGATCAAACCCGAACCAGGGCACCATCGGTGTAAATATTGATGGGAGTGGCGGTGCTGAAATGGTAGTGGTTGGGGGTCAGGACAGTGCAAATCATTATATCGAGCAGATCAGCGTTTTTAACCTTCGGAGCCTGAAATGGACCAGTACTACGCAGCTCGGAAAGAGTTGCGGTGCTTATCGAAGTGTCGTTGCGCCGTTACCTGGTACCGTATCCTCCCGCCTTGGAAAATCTTCTCCCACGAGACCAGACAATCCTGGGGCAAGTCAGGAATCAAAGGAGCCAGGATCATGCATGTTGATTTACTCGAATTATAACTTCTTGGACGTCAAGCTGGAATTGCAGATCCGGTCATCTGATGGGACCTTGACGGAAAAACCAATGCAAGGGACTTTCTCGCCGCCTGGCTTACGCTTCCCGAACGGTGGTGTCATTGATACCAATTTTGTTGTCAGTGGCACGTATCTTACGTCCTCGAAACAAGAATATGCGCTATGGGCGTTAGATCTACGGACCTTGACCTGGAGCCGGATAGACGCTGGTGCTAACGTCTTTAGTCAAGGGAGCTGGAATCGTGGTGTTCTGTGGAATCGCCGTAACACTTTCGTTATTCTTGGCAATCGGAAACGGAGCCTGGTAGAGGATTACAATCATAGGCGCATCAACTTTTCGAATGTCTGCATGGTTGAGCTTGAAGCCTTCGGATTATATGATAATCCAAGAAAAGTTTCGCCGATGTCTGGTTTCGTCTCCGCCAGTTCCCCCTTTCCAACCCCATCTCTGGGTCTTAGTCCTAAAACCGGCTGGGCTATCGGCGGACGCTCGTTATCCAAGGCTGCTGAAGACTTAGGTACGGCGGCACTTGGATTGCGGGAATTGGCAGACATGGACATCCTCTGCGTAGGCGGGGAGCGAATCCCCGTCAACTCTCGCATCATAGCCCGGCGCTGGGGCCCCTATTTCGTGCAGCTCCTACGCGAAGGCTCCTCGCTACAGCCTGATAATGTCTACCGGCATAACCCTAGCAGGAATAGCAGTGTTACGATCACGCCAAGTCTTAATACGCAATCCTCTGGCCTGTCAATCTCTACCACTCTTAATAGTACGGGAACAGCGCCTTCGCAGATCTCATCACCACACACGGACATCACGGCACTCTCTCAGCCTCCGGACCCAACTGCACTCCCGCCTACGTCTAGGCCTAGAACTCTCTACTTGCCACACACGCATCTGACCCTCCAATCCCTTCTGCACTACCTCTACACCTCTTCTCTCCCGCCTAACACATCCCCTCTCTGCACCCCGCAGATCCTCTGTTCGTTGCTCCAACTTGCGCGACCCTATAAAATTGATGGCTTGCTTGAAGCTGTCGTCGAGCGCCTGCACGGCGTTCTCGACTCTCGCAATGCCGCTGCTGTTTTCAATGCATCTGCTATGGCTGCTGGCGGAGGGCGGGGTACCGGGGCGAGCCCAGACGGGGAGTGGCTGACAAGCCCGGTGTTCCCCGATGTCGTTGGAGCCGGAATCGGTCCCCCAACCCTGAAGCTGGGCGGCGAAATCCCGAGGGAAAGTGGCTCGGGGGCAAGAGATGGACTGAGGATCAACACCTCAGTAGGGAGTCTCAACATCGGAAATGCAAGCAGAGTCGATGAAGAAGAGATCCTCTCGGCGTCCAGCAGCGTGGCGAGCGAAAGCGCCAGCGAAGCGAGCGAGAGCGGTAGAGCTGGAAAAGAGGAGATCTGGAAGGGCAACGTGAGCGCAGTAATCGGATTGCAGAAACGCGGACTGAGGGGTCTCATGGAAGGACGACGGTTACGTGAACGTGGTGCGAGCGTGGGCAATCAAGCGGCGGCCACAATGAGAGCCGGGCTAGGTATTGGCGCTGCTTAGTCGCGTGAGGAGTTGGATATTCATAACGGGCAAGCATCTGGAATAGGGAGAAGATAGACAAGCAGGAGATGTGTGACAAGCAGTGGGGTTCCGGCGCTATTTATGAGGATATGAATGATTATTTATGTATGACGGGTATAGGGGGATTCGATTGTGCTGGAGGACATGTTTCTTTTACCAGTGTAGCTGCCACCTTGATTCGGTCCTAGCCATGAGCAGGCGAATATAGATTATCTACTGTTGGATATAACCCTTTCTTGTGAGACCATTTGGTTTATGGATCGTGATGTGTGACTGCGCCGCGCTAAGTGTTATCTGTACCTATCTACCTTAGCAACTGGGGCGAAAATACCCCTCCATATCCCCCAAACCCCTCCACCGTCTTCATTGTTCGCTCGGCACCTTAATTAGGTAATTAAGCCCAAGCTCAGGCCTAAGGGACGCGACGTGCAACAAAACCCAACTTTATCATTTCTTGATAAGCCGTTTTACCAGATGCGCTTGCTTGCTTGCTATGGTGAATAGCGCGGGGATTGGGCATGGATCATGTGATTGAGGATAGATCCGAGGAGGGGAATCTGGTGGATAGATTCTGGGGAAGGGAGGTGGGTTGATAGCAGAGCTTAAAGCAAGCTTTTAATAAGGAATATAGATCCATTTTTTACCTTCTCGGATCATTCATCCTCAAGCCAAAGCCTCCGCTCCTCTTCCTCCGCCCTTTTCTTGTCAGCCTCATACTCTTCTGCCGTGAACGGCGAAGGCCTCGATGCGATAATCCGCGCCTGAGCCTTAGCCGTGAATAGCGACTCATCCTCTTGATCCGCAGAACAGTCACACAGCTGAAAGCTGCCCTCCCGCAGCGCATCGCGGATTTTTCGTTCGTGACGTATGAACGGTAGGCCAATTGACATTCCTGATAAGGAGTCGTAATGGAATTGTCGATGCTCATATTTCAGATTCTCGGCGTAAGATTTTTCTCTTAGAGCAGGGACATAATCGTATAGGTAGGCTATGAGAAGTGCCAATTGATGCCAGGTCCCATCTGTGAGAGGGTCATCGAGCAGCTTGTCAATCAGAGCATCTAGGAGCTCCGGTAAAGGCGGAAAGAGGTTCTGAATAGTTAATGGGAAAGTGTAATTCCATTCTGAGGCTGGAAGGAGGATAGTAGTCGTTGGTCTCGGAGGTCCTTTACTCGGTGGCGGAGGTGGTCCCATTCCCGGCGACCAGGCGGGTCTGTTCTGGGTCACATCGATTGGCGGCGTCAAGCGGTGATGGGCGCTTCGCAGTGGGTAGTTTCCAAATTTGGTTTGCCCGCTGTCTTCGAGATGCCATCCTCGCTGCGTGAGGACGTTGGCAGCTTTGTCAATGTCGGGGACGAGAATGTAGAAGCTGAAGACTACTGTGGGGACTCCGTAGTGCGCAACTGCGTCCTCGCACCATATGACGCAGGGGATACCGCTGTCGCGCAAGATATAGCATGGTTGATATCGGGTAACACGTTCGGATGCCATCTTGAGGTGATAATCAGGTGTTGATGGACAAGAGAGTTTCAACTTTCAGGCACCTTTAATGCCTACCTACTAGCGCCGGGTAGAAGCGACAATTAGCGCTGACCCGATTCGCTAACGGCAATCCCAACCAGGTAGGCACCTTGGGCCTCTATTCCTACAACACTGTATTCTTCTCCACGGTCCTGGTAGTGTTGGTATCTATTCTTCAACAGAAGCTTCCCCGGTTTGAAAGTCAACATCTATGAGAGACTTCAATTTTTGCTAATACCTTCACACAGTAGACATGTATCCTTCGTACAGTTCAGGGGACGGTTTAGGAGCTTCAGGTGGGTCAGGGCCAGGGTACCAGCCCCCACAACCCGAAGTACCCACAAAGCCAAGCCCTGAGCAGATTCGCGAAGCTGCCGTGGCGATAAGCTATTGCCTGGGGGATCAAGTCTATGCAATTGTCGGGGGCGCAGCCTGCTCCCTTCTCGGTTCTACCCGGGAGACCATAGACGTCGACATCGTCGTCCCCCAAGGCGCAACAAGAGATGCGCGGCGAAAATTGAGAAACGAACCAACGTTATTCGACGTGGACAATCGGACCCTCCATACATACTACAGGAGCGATCCGAGGGTGGAAGTCGAGATCATCACGCCACCATCACTGTTCAGGGAGAGATTTGATAATAATACGCCTGTTGTCCTTATCAATGGTGTCAAGGTCCTCAAGCCATCGCTAATCTTGAACGCAAAGTGTAATTCTATCCTGAGCCGATCTTCCGGGGAGAAGAGACTAGCTGATGCTACTGATATTAAGTTTTGCCTCCGGTGGTGTGCTAACAACAACGCGTTTCCTACGGCTGCAGAGGTGCCACACGCTGACATGGAGTTTGTTGAGTGGTTTATTGGTGTATACGCTGAATCGGAATGCTGGACAAATGCAGGATACAACCGAGAGACTGGTATGCTTTCTTATCCGCTCCGACTCAAATTCTTGAGTAGCGCTGACATTGTGGTCGACAGGGTCGTTCTAGACAATTAGATATATAGCCAAGGAACTTCGTCCAAAACGTGCTATAGAGCGCCGCAAGTCTAAGGTCGGAACCGGTGTAGGGAGAGCAAGCATGGGATGATGATAGCACCCTCACCTTAGATTCTGTAAGCAACCAGTGAATAGGTAACATGAAGTGTTACCCCATAGCGAATCAATACCAGTCAGTATTTTATCGTGCGATCTTAAACAGGCCTCGATGATACTATTACCTGAGAAAACGAAAAAAAGCATTCATTACTTGGGTATAATCACGACTACGATGGCCTTATGGTGCGGAACTTTGTTACCCGGGTATACTCCGCAACCTCGCTCATAGAGATGAAGCAAACAGTCTGACCTCTTCCCGCAAAACCTTCACAGCCTCGCGATCATGCCAAAAATGTCCCGCACGAGGAACCTCCTTGTGCCTGAATTGGCCCTGGCCTCTCCCCTTGCACTCATCGTGCAATCTTTCCGCCCAGGCTCGTAACTTATTGACACTAACAAATATATCGTCGTCGCCGAAGAGTGCCAATGTTGGATCAATTGTGAGTTTCATATCATGTTCAGGAATCATTATTCCCCCGTCATTTGCACGCTTCGTAGCCCTCGCGGGTTTGGAGCCCCATAAGGACAGGGTGGCTAAGGTGTTCGCCCAACCTTGTAGTGGTGAAACGAGGAGATAAGCAATTTGCAAGCCTTCCGCTATATCTGGTATCGCTTTTATAGTTTCTCGATCATCTGCTGAATCATGTTCAGGCGAAATTTCTGGTACACTTCCCTTCGTTCTATGTGACGATGCGTCCGATTCATGACTACCCTTCCCTCTCGAAGCAAGCCTCCCAGACTTCGCAATCGATCTGACTTTCTCCACACTCTTCCTCACCGGCGAGTCGAGCGTGAACGAGCTTCTCGACCCAGGACTCTCGTGACTGGATCTGCGTAGATCTTCTTCACCGCCAATCCGAACTCCTCCATCTGTTTGGCGAATTTTGGAATTGGTGAGAGTGTGGTCTCGAAGTTGGGTGCTTCGGCCGCTGAGGGGAGACCTCAGGAGAAGTGACGAGAAGCGCTCATTCATGAGTTCATTTTGTTGGTCAGCCAAGAAGCGGGCTCGCATGCGGATTTCAGCGTGTGGGGAACCCCGAATGGGAGCTTGGAATGGGGCGATGACAGAGCTTATTATTGGTGGGAGCAATGTAGTTATTAAAGCGCCGTAGGAGTAACCGGAAAGAAGCAGAACCGGTTTTGTATTTGGATTTTGGGGGCCTGAAGTCGGGGTGGGGAACTCAGAGGCCGGGACGCTCTGCGAGGGGATGGGACTCAAGTCGTGAAGTTCAGGGTCAGAGTGATTAAAGTTCGAGTGTTCATTTTGTTCTGGTATGCTTGGAGGGCGAAGGTGGTGCAAATAGAAGAGGAGAAAACCGAGAAAAGATATATAGTCGTCCTGTTCGGCTTTCGACCGCCACGATGTTCGTCCTTTCGAAGTACCAGCTCCTCTACACACCTATGATTAGCATATATATTATATAAATACATACGGCAGAAGTGTACCGAAAGTTAAAAGTCCCTACAACAAAACCCTCCTTGAGTATGGTCGACGCGATCTTGTCAACAACCGGGTCATCGTAGCAACCACCTAACGGAGCGTACGGATGTGCAACTATAGCAGATCGTTTCCTCCATTCTGCAGCCTGTGTGACGGTTGTAGGGGCAAGACACGCAGGATGATAGACGCGACATTGCAGGACCAAGTTGTCGTGGATCGAGGGGATGGTAAAGCTCAGGGTGGGAGGCGGTAGCATGGTGCTAGATTCGAAGCCCGAGAACTGAAGACTCTCATCTGATGGGATATATTCGATTTGTCGCAAGCCCCGTCATTTTTCTCTGATTGAGCCAGAGCACAACTTGTTGGTACTATTGAGGCTGAAATGAGGTCTTAAGTCCGTACTGTACCCAAGGTACCTCTAGCTATTCTTATCGATGCATAGCGGAGCTTTGACCAAGGCGGACCAAAGATTTTCCGTAGAACCCCCCCTTTTTTCCGACACTTGACGATACCTCTTCCCCCCTTTTCAGGAGGAATGCTGCTCATTATGTTCGACTATTTGTACGGTGATAAATACAGAATATTACAGCATTCTACTGACAGAAAACATTCATGCTCTATTTTCTTCAGGCCAGATTTGATTGTCTTTTTGAAAACGAGATGGGGAGTTGTCAATTCTACCCCGCCAAAAATTAGCCCTTGCTGCCTGGCTTGTAATTGAATATCCAGGCACAAATACTTAACGTGGGAATTTTTTCAAGTCAGGACTGCACACTATTTTCAATGTCGATCAAGGTCAGTCAATCCTGAATAAGTCTATGGCGGTTTTAAACAATTTGGAGGGGTATATATGTAGCAAATGAGAGAGTCTGTTTTGCGTTTATTTTCGTGCAATCAAATTGAGTAGCAAGTGCTCGAACCTCGACCACGACAGTGTGTGCAAAGTCTGAGCTAGAAATTTCCATATCATATTTATCATTATTTTCACACTGCTCACTGAATGATAAGTAGTTATCATGAACTAACGAGGTATTATGCAGCATGATCACACGCTGAATCCCGTGGTAGCACTTGAATTCTACTCCAGGTCGGCGGGTACCCTGCTCATCTTAGCCGGCGAAGGCTGTTTTCTGAAAGTCTTCGAGGCCGAGTCATCGAAATTGATCAGTCAGATCAAAATCTTTGATTCACAGGCTATTCACGGTATTCTCGTTCGGGATGTTGCGGGCAAAGACAATGACCTGGAGGTAGTTATTTGGGGCGGGTGTTTTCTGACTTTGCTCAGGAAGGAGACTTTTGAAACTCTTTTATACCAGGATCTGAGCAGTATTGAAAATATTACGAGCTCACTACCAGATTGGATCCTCGATGCTGCCATCTCGCCGTACTGCAATGAGTGTGTATTGGTCACTGCTCATAACACCGTTCTTCGAGCGAGACTCGACGAGGGTTCCCAAACCTTGCATTTCGAGACATTAAATTCCCCATCACGGTCAATCTTGTACTCCGCACATCTCCTGTGGGAGTCACCGACGTGCATCCTGGTGGCAGCCGGAACCGTGTTCGGTGAAATAATAGTCTGGCAATGCACCGTTTCTGATGAAACATCCTCAGCTGGGAGCCGAGTTGTGGCAACATTTACTGGGCATGAAGGGTCTATATTTGGTGTCAACATATCACCTCCAATTCTGGACCAATATGGGAAATCAACCAGACTTCTGGCAAGTTGTAGCGATGATCGTACTATCCGTATCTGGGATATTTATGGGGACTTAACCGGCAGTACTCAGGAAGCAAACCCAGAAGCTTTGGATACTCAGTTATTGAGAGAGACTGGATTTATTAACAATGAGCAACAAGGTGCATCGTCACAGGTAACTGACCGATGTGTAGCTACAGTGATGGGCCATGCATCAAGGATTTGGCGCGTCAGGTTCCAAATCAGCAATTCGAATGGTTCTAAACGGCCCTCTATAGGTGTCATTTCTTTTGGGGAAGATTCGACAGCACAACAATGGGTATTGGACTTTGAGGCAGGATCCCATTCACAGGACCCTTCGTCGAATCCCTCTGGTGCCGCAATGAATGGTGGGGGCCAAGTCAAAGCATGCAAACTTTCTCACTTAAACACATTTGCCTTTCACAGTGGGAAACATATCTGGTCAACAGCCATGCATCAGTTGGGTAGTATGAGAAACCTTCTCATCACAGGAGGAGCGGATGGGAAGATATCTGCCTACGAAATTGCCGTAAACAAATCTAGTGACAACGGACAACTATCAGACACATCTTTGGACAAACCTGCAATGACGGCATCGGACAGCAATGGAGATGTTGAATTTCTCACTCGGACCAGAGCACTGGATCCCGAAAACGTTCTCGAGGCAATCAAACCAGATCCAGAGAATGGCGTTTCTGCGGCCCAAGCACCATCATCACAGATACTACATGACGACCCGCCTCTTGCAATATCAGCCAATGGTAGACCGCACAAGAAAACGAAACATCAAAAGAAACCAAGGGACGCTTTTAATCGTTACGCGTTTGTGTCGGACAATTGCGTACTTGTCACAACAACCTTTGGACGGGTCTTGCTTGGTCAGCTTGGCTCATCTATCAAGTGGAACGAAGTTCTTTTACCTGAATCATGCAAAGAGGATCTGAAATCATATTCAATGATCAAGAGCCTTCCTAAGCTAGGGATTGCCTTTCTAACCAACGCAAATGGCAAGATCTATATGTACCGGATCGGATCGACCATTGTCAAAGTGGCACAAGTCACCGGGAAAGTTGGCGATATGTTTACTCTCTTCGATCCTGAATCAAGAATCATAACTCTCGTGGTGACCACTTTAGGGGGTAAAGATGCCGTTCTGTTTACATTTGAGCAGAATTCTCTTTCGCCGCTTACTCTGAGTGGTGTCCCATATCACCTCCCCGAAAATTTTGTTGTTACTAGTGTTGGAAAGAGCAACACAAGGTTGGCGTTTGGTGCTAGAAATGGATCATTCTCCTTATATGAAATCGGAAGGAATACGGGGCCTCTCCATACCTGGAATCCAGACGAAAACACCATTCCTGGGGAAGCCATTACGAGCATTACCTCTCTTCCTGTTTCAGCAAACTGCGACCAAGATTACTTCTTGACAACAGGTAGAAACGGAATGTACTCCATATTCGCTGTTGCTGTCACCGCCCAGGAGAATCTGGCGACAGGATCTAGCATACGCCAAATTCATCAAGGTACACCACCCCTCGGACCAAATATTGAAGCTGCATGGTTCGATGGTCCGGATCTACTCCTCTATGGTTTTAAGGGCAAGAATTTCATCGTATGGAACGAAACCAATCAGTGTGAAATCATGAACGTCGAATGCGGTGGTGCACACAGAAGCTATGCATATTCCCCCTTGTACAATAGTAGCGGTGGCCACTTCCTCTACACCAAAGCTTCCAGGCTCTATATCCATTCTCAACCAAGGCCATCACATCGAATTATCAAACAAGGTGGACATGGACGAGAGATAAAAGCTTGTGCTATCTCACCGGACCGGAATCTGATAGCAACCGGGGCTGAAGATACTGCCATTCGAATCTGGAAATACGAAGATAGAGGCTCTCCTCTACAGAGCCATTTTCAATGCCTTGCAGTCACAGAGAAGCATACGGCGGGGATCCAACACCTACAATGGCATGGATCGAAGTATCTTTTCAGCAGCGGTGGAAATGAAGAATTCTACATTTGGGCAGTCGAATCCATTCCAGGCTTCGGTCTCGGTATTGTTTGCGAAGCAAGCTGTCCCGACCCTAGCGATGATCGAGATTTGAGGATTATGAGCTTCGATGTCACAGAAATCGCAGATCCTTCAGGACATGATGGGGAATCGCACTTGTTGATAAGCTTAGCATATTCCGATTCGACAATCCGCACCTACAGGTACAGTAAACGCAGCCGATTTGAGCTGGTAGCCAGTGGAAGATACACCTCGTCCTGCCTTACACAGATCCGAAACATCCAGATCCAAGGAAAGGAGCTGTACCTGCTAACAGCAGCGACCGATGGCAATCTCGTGACATGGAAGACCGCAGTCTCTGAATGCTTCTCAGACATCGGGAATCAACCCACCCCGCAACTTGTCAGACTATCAACTCACAAGCTTCACCAGAACGCCATCAAATCTCTCGATGTCACAATCTCAAGAGCCGAAAAACACATAGTCGTTGCGACTGGAGGAGACGATAATGCTCTCGGTATCACAATCTACCGCTCTGAGAACATGGGTTCGAGACCAAGGAGTATCATTCTGAGGTCGGCACACGCTGCCGCCGTTACTGGGCTGTGCTTCGTGCAGGAGGATGGGATTTCGAGGGTCGATCAATGGAAGGAAATGAGGATCGCAAGCTCGAGCAATGACCAGAGGGTAAAGGAGTGGAGTCTAAGAATTGGGAGAGAAGGAGAGATGAAACTCAAGAAGGTGGGAGACGTGTTTACGTCCGTTGCTGATGCCGGGGATGTAGCTGCTCTACGGGGCGGCGAGAGTGCAGGGGAATCAAAGGTGTTGATTGTGGGAAATGGGATGGAGGTCTTTAGCGTTTCTGGGGATCTTGAACACTGATTGATGAATCAGTGACACTATGTGTGGACAATGTAAAACGAGGCTGTCTAGATTAATTGCCTATCTAGGTAAAAGCCTGCTCTGCTAATCTAGGACAGATTGGGATAAAACCGGACAATTTAACATGCGGAAGCATCAGATAAGTTATGCCTCGGCACTGCGATAACCTTGTTTGTAATGCAGGGGCCTCTAGCGACGCCGTAAAGTGACGTTCTGCGTTGCTCGGCGCCTCCACGTGAAGATGCAACGCGTTATCGAGATGATCTTGTCCAGTATCAATCTCCAGTCTTCTCTCTCCTTTCCCCGGCCAGCCAATCTCATACGCCAATCCTCGAGTCCTGGCGTTGGGAACGGCACGCGTCTATGTGTGCCATTTGCATCATAGCCGTCAATCACGTCCTCGCTACCCATGACTGCGCCTAGACTCCCGCCATTCTGTTGAGAACTTGAGGCTCTTCTTCCAGTATTTCCAGTCCAACTCCCTCTCCATAACAGCAGCGCCCCTCTTAGCCCGTCGACCCTCGCACGATCAACCTCAAGGGACCGTCATGATTGGGAATTCAAGGGCCGAGTACTGGTTCATACGCCTCTGCGTAGCCGGACTGCACTGCATCGCACCCGTCTGCATTCTCTACACCCTCCTCGCCTTTGTGCCCTATGGCTATAGACCGACGCACTACCGGTTCCCAATCTTCATCGAAGCAATCACTATCGCAGAAACGCTGTTCTACCTCCTCATCTACCTTCCTTACCGCTATTACCTCCAGCGCGATGCTGTGCATCCTCCGCCGCCTCCACGCGAGGAAAGGAAAGCGCTGTTCCAACTCTGCAACGATAACATAGCCGATCTAGAAGGCTATTTTCAGAAATGGTTTTTAGGAGCAGATTTGAAAGACGTCAAGAGAGATAATCTGAAGGAGTTCTACTTATGGGCCTTCTTCAATAGAGGCGGTCCGCCTGGAGACGACGATGAGGAGTTGGAGGAATATATCACTGCAACGGAGCAGATGTTAGGGAGGCCTATCGAGCCAGGGAGGGGGAAAGCCCAAGCTTTCCGTTTAACAATCGATCGTGTAGACATGCTTCATCGTAGTCTAATATGGTATTCCGTACGTTCCCCCTCCCTCTTGTATTTCACCAGCTGACAATCCCAGTGCGTGGGCTTCGTTGATCTGCTCACCTACGTGAAACTCCTCTATCACGGTTTCCACTTCCACCGCACTGCTCTCTCAAGGTTCTTTACGCTCTTTCCCTTCCGTCCATATTCACTCTTTACTAGCTACCGCTCGCCCGTCAAACACATAACGTACTGGCATCGACCTCACACATCGCCCACCAAACTCCCAATACTCTTCATCCATGGCATTGGTATCGGTCTCTACCCCTACACCAATTTCCTCTCCGAGTTGAATTCATCCACCGGGGTTGAATCGTCGGATCCAAACGATCAGGTCGGCATCATCGCCATTGAAATTATGCCCGTCTCCTTCCGGCTGACGCATCAGCCGCTCTCTCGCCAAGAGATGTGCGACGAGATCTCCGCCATTGTTTCTCAACACTTCCCCGACCAGAAGTTCATCCTCGCCTCCCATTCCTACGGAAGCGTCATCTCCACACACCTCCTCAAATCCCCTCTCGCTCCTCAAATCGGGCCCGTGTTCTTAATCGACCCGGTCTCTATTTTGTTACACCTGCCAGACGTGGCGTTCAACTTTATGCGAAGAAAGCCAAAGGAGGCGAACGAGTACCAGCTATATTATTTCGCCAGCATGGATATGGGCGTTGCTCATACGCTCGCGCGCCACTTTTTCTGGGATGAGAATGTGATCTGGAAGAAGGATTTCCACGGGAGGAAAGTCACGGTTAGTCTTGGAGCCAAGGATCTAATCGTCAATACAGCGGCTGTAGGCCGGTATCTCAGCGCACCGCTGGAAGGGTTTGAGCGCACCCTCGTACGGGATGTTGCAGGAAGCAATGGAAAATCTCCCTCGGACGACGGTATCCTCATCAATATCGAAGAGGACAACGGAGGGGTCAGCACAGTAGGAGAACGCGAGGAAGCAGCAACATTAGATGAAGAGGAGTGGAAAAACCGGGAGTGGAAAGGTTCAGGGATCGAGGTCCTCTGGTTCAAAGATCTAGATCACGCACAGGTCTTCGACAAACCTTGCACGCGCCGCCGAATTATACAAGCACTCCGGAGATACTGCGAGGATGGATAGAACAATATGGTAGAGCAATACCATCCCCCGAACACCATGAAAAATTGTACCCCATCTACCCAACACGTTAGAGCACCCCTCATCTCGGTCAGTTCTGAAATGAATACAGCGATATGTGAATAAGAAAGGCGTTAAAGTTAAAGAGGGATAAGAATAATGTCTCATTAACCCACCCACCTTACCTTGCAAGGTAACTTAGTAGACCCAATCTTTGAGCAAGTCCGGGTGGCACTTATTATTAGACTTCAAACTGGTAATGGTTCAGGGTCCAGCTTTGCGCACAAGTAGAAAATCCAATTCCAACTCCAACTTTAAACCATCTCTTTGAAATAAAATAACCAGATCAATGGATATTGATATTGTTATCTACTGCTTTTAAGTCATATTCATCTATCCCTACCTCGATCTACTACCTCCCATCTCGAATCAGAAGCAAGACTCAAGAACCAAGGATCAAGAACCGAAGAACCCCATTATTATCTTACTATCTATCAATCAATCATACATCAACCCACCCGCCCAACATGCAACAACAACCCAGCGCTCCCTGCCCTCTCGCCTCCAAACCCGAATCCCAACCCCAGCATGCTGCACCTACCCCAATCATCACGCCCAACAAAACCCATGCCGAAGCCCCTACTTCAGGAATCAGAGAGACGGGAAAACATGTAACGTCCCCTCCCCCCTCTCCCTTCCCCCCTTTTCCCCTTCCCCGACTCTCCAAAACAAAAGAAACGAAACTAATATATATACACATATGCCTCCGGAATAGACAAAACTCACGATCCTCTTCTCCCTAATCTTTGGCGTCTTCGGCGCTTTTGGCATCTTGATCACGTTGGGGAGTATAGTGTGGTTGTTTACAGAGGGGGAGGAGACGGAGGTTAGGGTTGGGAGGGCGAGGGGGAGGAGGGGGAAGGAGAGAAGGGGAGAGGGAGAAGGGGATGGGGATAGGGATAGGGATGGGGGGATTGAGATGAGATGAGATGAGATGAGGAATAGGATGTGGAGATGAGGGGTGAGCTAAGAGGATAGAAAAGGGGGAGACACAGAGGGAAAGAGAGCGATGTAGATGCTTGGCATGTGTGGTGAATTGGATAATGATCCGGATAACTCCATCTATGCAAATCTATCATGCTCAGCTACTTGCTGAGGCTATCAGATCTTTGCGTCTTTTTTCTTCCATGCAAGTGGTATATCGTATAATGCCCCTTTCCGTGTATGCATATGCGCCCCGTGTTGCTTTTCCCCGCCTTCCATCCCTGTCCATGATCCCGCTTAAAACTCGCCCCGCTGAATCTAGAATCTAAGTCGTTCAATCGATATCATCATCTCTGGGAGAAACTTTCTCCTCGTCTTCCTCATCTTCATCTTCATCTTCTTCGTCCTCCCCATTCTTCTTCCGCTGGTGCTTTTCCGCCAACTCCTTGTCCATCTTATCGAAGGGAATGCCGCCGACGACCCCTGGCTTCACATTCCCATCCGCGTCTATGTCTTCTTTCAGATACAATGTAAAACAGACGACGAACAGGACCTTGTTCGTGGCGCGGTTCTTGAGCACGTATCTGAGCGTATGTGAGCGCTTTAGCTCTTTCCTGTGTGAGAGCGGGGGTCAGGTGAGAAACAGAACGCAATCAATAAGGGGTGGCTCCACCAGAAGAAACGTGGAGTAAAAGCAGGGAGACGAACCTCAATCCCTGACCATCCCAATACTTCATAATCGGGAGAGTGAAGCCTGGTAATCTCAACGCGAAGTCTAAACCCCCGTATCAGCTTCTTTTCTGTTCCAGTCAAACCAAGGAGACGTACCATTGAAATCCAAATAAGGATTAAAGAAGTCACATCCATACGTCCTACCCGCCTCCCAATCCCAAGCTTTTCTATTCGTCTCATTCAGAAAGTATTTCTTCCGTGCCGCCTCCGTCTCAGGTACTCCTGTCTCGCGGCGGATTTCCAACCCTTCTTCCGAGCCCCCTTCCTCAAAAATCATGCCTGCCTCATCCTCCTCCTCTGTCTTGTCCTCAGCCCCTTCGGTTTTCGATCCAATATGTAACGTATTGACGGAGCTGGCAGCAGGTCCGTACAAGTACGGTTCGTCAGCGTAGACATCTCCATCCAGTCCCGGGTCAACAACTAGAATCCCTCGCATCAGCATCGATTTCATCTCCAATCTCCCTACTTTCCTCCCTGCGCTCTCTCATCACTCCTGAACCTCACTCCCCGCAGCTTCTCCATGGGGAAATATGAACATACCCCATTTCACAATCCTGAAAGCTGTCCCAAAGCCAGGTGGCAAACGGTCTCGAATAGGATGGTCGAAATCGTTCCCGAATACAAGATCATTCGCATTGATGTCTTGTTTCAGCCGGAAGCGAAACGTGATGCTGTACGCATCTTTGTTCTTCGCGTGCAATGGCAGGCTGAAGTAGGGCGATGTCTTGGGCGAGTTAAGGGGCAAGCCTCGGTAATCCTGTTTTCATTGCCCATCATCAGTCTCTATCCAGTCTTGGTTTCTAGGCAGAGAGGAGGGGGTTTGGAAGATGGAAGGGGCCGGGCATGGGGTAGAACGGAGGGAAGACAGACCTGTATCCGCACATTCAGATCGGTGGTCGCCAGATCTGATTCTATGGTCATAGGGTTTGAGGAGTTGACCGGCACGACCCTGTGAGTTTTGGCGTCGTACTCGTGCCCTGCGGTTACTTGGAGAATGTAGTTGTGCGCCATTGTTGCTTGCTGTTTTCCCCCGGTGTGCAATTGGGAGGTGTGAGGGGCGCAATAGAGATTCCGGTATGCTGTTTATTTAAGGAGAGTCGTTATGACAAGTAATTGACTGTGTAGAACTACGTTGCCCTTTGTAAAATGAACGATTGAAGCTTCAAACCCACGCACGAGACAGGGCAGGGACGCAATGGGAAAAACATGACGTTGAATTGTTACAGACACCCCCCGTCCACCTATAGATCGCCAAGGGACAAGGCTGAGCAAGGCTGACAACGGAATTATGCGAAAGGCCTGGGAGGGACATCGCACTCGCATTTAGACATTGTCTAGTACACTTGGAAGAGTTACATGGAGTAAATTTATATAATATGAAGGGGTCGTAAAAGTACTATGTTATATACAAAAAGGCTGCTCCGCCAATCATCCTATCAAAGAATTGGCCCAACAACCCCACGAAATGGGACATTAGGGAGCGTTTCCCGGAGGCGTTGGAAGCGGATCATCGTACGGGGATAGGAATTGATCAATGTCAACTCGCTCATAGAAGCTGATATGGCCGAATCCAACCCAGTATTGAGCCAGCCTGTTATGCGAGATCATGATTAACTGACTCTCGATGTATTTATCTAACGCACGGTTAGGCCCAGTCATACTTCCATAGAACAGAGCTGAATACTCACCATCTCTAAACATCCTAGCAGCAATATGACCCCTACTTCTCACAATCCTCGCGCCCTTGAACCTTTCCTCAGTCGCCGTACGAACGTATCCCGCCCTTGAAATGTCATCTGCGACAAAGGTGTATTCTCCTCTAGGGACATTAGGGTCGCCAGTCAATTTGATGGCCTCTATGCTTCCTCGGTATATCCTTTCTTCCTCCTTCCTAGCTTGCCATTCCTCGACTGTCTCGTCTTCCGCTTGGACTACACTTGCTTCGTCGAAAGGTGTCTCATTATCCGGTTGATTCATAAGTAGGAATTCACATCCGTGTCCACTATAATCACCAACCCAAATACCCCTCCAAGGCTTTTCTTTTGTGGGAGTATAGAGCTTGGGATCCAGGGTCGCGTAGGTATATACCTCTTCCCCAAGATGAACACCCGAACCGTGCTGTCCAGCCGCCATCTCCATCCATCTCCTAATTCTGAACGCCTGATTACTGACCTCTGATCTCTTCTGAGGTTTGTGCCCAGAACCCACAAAAGCTTCCTGGCTAGCATTGCGAACTCGATGGCGAGCTGGGATGGTAGGCGGTGGCCATAGCTGCATGCTAGGATGAGCCAGGGATGGAGGAACCGGTTTTGTGAGGAGGAAATTCGAGAACACGCCATTATTACTCCTGCTATCAAGGATCATAGGCGTCTCGGCATAAAAGGCATTCCTCGGTCTCGTCTTACCCGCGGCCGCCATTAACTTATCGAGAGATTGGGCTTCGAGTTGAAGAATTGGCTGATCCAGATGAAGTCGACAACGCGGATTGAAGGAATGAACAAGCACTTCATCGTCGGCCTCCCAAGGATCAAAAGTGGGCGGTGTCCGTTCGGCAACCAGACGATATCCTTCAATACAACCTCTTCGCGGGTCGTACCGAGCAATCATGATTTTTCCGGTGAGGAAATAATCGCAGAACCAGATCTTGTATTTGGAAATGAACCAGTGAGGGTCATGGCGCATGTAGAGCTCTCGATAGGTCTTGCAGGGCGATGGAGATGTGATTTGAACGCCGGGAACATTTGCTTGGACGTGCCGCTGCCATGCTAGATCGGACTTGGAGTGCACATAAAGCTTGTGACAAGTGGAGGATAAGGAAACGAGATCGAAGGGACCGAGAAAGGATAGGATGTAGTCGATTATTTCGGTTGGGAGGGTCAGGATAGTGTTTTTGCTACCAGTTCCGGCCTGGCATTCTGTATTGTACATGATTAGTGGTGCTTTTCGGGATAGAAAGTGATACGAAAAGGAGATCCAATGCAGTGAACCGCGTGAAGTCAACTACCGCGATTCACCCAAGCTAGCATGTGCTGCAAGCTAACCGGCAAGTGGGATATTGAACATACGTTGTTGAGACTCGGCCTCCACCCCTACGAGAGTAGCATCCTCGGCATCCCATTCCAGTGTGTTCTCCATTGTCTTCTCCATCATCTTCTCTTCAAGCTGCACATCCACGGCCTCCAGGAGGTCCAGATTTTCTTCGAGGCCAGGATCGATGCGTCCATGAAGGAAGCGGGTATTGTCCACTCTCTGGTGGATATCGAGCTCGGACGGCGACTGGGAATCCATGCCTCCCGCAGTCTATCGACTGCGGACGATCAATATTATCACCTCTTGCGCACTCACCACCGCCTCAACCCCCCGATCTAGTATGTGGAAGCAGCACAATCGCCGTTCTTATTATAGGGGTGGGAAGAGAAAGGTCGTGGCCTGATGTTGCATGCACGCGCAGATATCCGCCTCCTCCTCGCGAATCTGTCCTCCAACGCCGTGAGCACAGAGTGGTGTTTCCCTTCTCGTTCCAAGCTTTTTCTCCCCCTGTTGCCCTCTGCAGGGACCGCGAGGAACAGAGGAGCAGATGGGAAGCGCCACGCGCTAGGCGAAAGGTGTAGGCGTGTAGAATACCGGAGTTCGATAGCTGCAACCAGGGGGGGCGGACGACTGCAGGACGGGGGATATAGGGGTATATATGGTTCTTGAGTAAGTAGTGGAGAGGTGTCTCGGAGCTTCTTACGGAGTCATGCAACGGGACGAAGGAACAAGCCAGTCCAGATCGAATTGAATGGAAGAACTTGTGTTAGACTGAGCAATACCACCATAGATAGTATCAGGCATAGATAGATCTCGACGTAGATGTGGGGACGGCCGGCGCCCGCGGACTAAAAGTACCCAAGTACCAAATACCAAGTACCAAGTAGTACCAAGTACCAAGTAGTACCAAGTACCAAGTACCAAGTACCAAGTACCAAAGGTACAGTAGTAGTAGTCCAGAAACTGTCCGTCGCTGGACCGTGGATTTGTAGCCCTTTTCTTTGTCCAATTGGCCGGCCGTATGGCCAAATCCCGTCCGGATCAAAATCGACGGCGAGGAATGGCGGTGTATATCAACGGGGGATATGCAGCAGTAGTGTATGGGGATCGCTACTTTACTTTTTGGCTTGTGTTCTCATGTATCGTATCCGACGCCGTTGGTCCATTTTTCCACAGGGTCAGTGGAAAAGAGGCAGGTGGATCGCTTTTCGTCAAGCGCCATCAATCGCAATAGACGAGTCAGTGCCAACCATGTATAACATCTTCTTTCGATTATCGAGACAAGAACATCGTGGAGAAGCGCATCGTAGCAGACATGGATGCGAATCCTTCTGTTTGACTTTTCAACCTTTCGTATTAGGTATAGAAGAAAAAGAACCTGGGAAACCCCTGAAATCGTCGCCTTTTTTTCACGCGTTCCTGTCTTACAGTTACACCCGATAGTTGCTTTGGGATAGCGACGCCGCGTAGATTCCCAACGCCTTGGTTCTGGATGCCTTCGTTTGTAGCCCGTTGAAGACGGCGGAGAATGGTTTGCTTCAGCAGGCGTGCAAGGGGAGAGTGAGTGGTTGTATTAGACGACGCCAAGAGCCCCCAACAGTTAAAGCAAAATGATTAATAAACTGGGCGAAGAGGCGTCGTGTATCATCACAAGCAACAATATCACGTTGTGGTCACTTTGCAGGATTGACATGGGACAATGTTAAAGACCGAATTGGCCAGAGGTAGGAAATGTGATGCTGCATATATACGAAACGCCTGCTATGCTAATCATTCTACCCGCGAAACAAAAATGCATGATCAGTATCTCTTTTTGGTTTGATATACATTCCGGTTCCCTGTATCTCGCCAGACTTCTTTTTGGTTATTAAGACAATGAGAAGAAGAATGCCCATATCCTCCAAATTCTCCCACGCAAGTCATATCCCTATCCCACTAATCCACGTATCTGGGGCCATCATCCTGCCAATTCGGCGCCGGGGTCTCAGGCATACCATACGCCCCAGGCGTTGGAGCAGCATAATAGCCCTGCTGTGCACCAGGCGTAGGCGCGTCCATAGCCTGTGGAGTAGGAGCCCCCCATCCACCTCCTCCCCATCCCGGAGCTGGTGTCGGAGCCGCAGCTGGAGTAGGAGCACTATACGGTGCTGGTGTAGGAGCCGAGTATACACCTGGCGTGGGGGCATTCATAGCAGCCGGGGTAGGAGCAGACATGGCTGCGCCGGGCGTCGGAGCATCATAGGCATTGGAACCCCAGTTGTTTGATGCTGGTTGATTTTGCCAGCTACTGTCGTTGGATTGGTTTTGCTGCGGTTGATATGCCGGCGTTTTGGAGCCCCATGCATCTCCTCCTCCACTGTAGCCGGGTGTCTTTGAGCCTGCTGCAAAGCCATCTGATAGGCCATATGCCGGAGTCTTTGCACCCGATGACCAGGCTGGTGTGCGATTTCCTGCGCCATAAGCTGTTCGACTGCCGTCATACGGGTTGACAGTTCGTGATCCATCTGCCCATCCCGGAGTTCGTCCTCCTGAAGCATCGCCTCCTTGTTTCCACGCTGGAGTCCGACCGCCATTTGCGCCTCCTGCAGGTGCTGAGATATGTTAGCATGAACGCATGTATAGATCACATAAAAACTTACTTCTTGAAGTGCCCCATGCGGGGGTCCTTTCAACACCACCAGCTGGCATTGGTGTCCGGCCACCACCTTCACCGGGCGTGGGCCCTCCAAATCCTCCTCTGCCTCTTGGGCCAAAGCCTCCTCTACCACCAAAGCCACCTCTCGAATTCGGATCGATGGATTGTCCACTGATCTTGTCCTTGAAGCCCAGAGCATCCTTCGGTACGTTCACCGTCTTGTTCTTCGTGTGCAACTCAACTCGAGCATTGGTGTCAGTTGTCTCCTTGACGATACCAAGCAATCCCTTGTAAGGACCACGGCGAATGGTGACTGTCTGACCAATAGAGCGATCTCTAGCAAAGGTTTTGGGAGGCGCCATATCTCCGGGTGCTGGGGGATTACGCTTCATCGCCGGATTCATAGAGTTGAGGTCGGGTACGTTGGATGGTGCTATACGGCCACCTTTGGCAGAAACAGTTGCTACACTGGCTGTACGTGTAACGAAGACTCCGGAGTTCTCAGTCGAAGTGTCGCTGCGACAGAAAAGGAAGGCTCGGTGGATGTGGAGGATTTTGCCTGATCTACCTTCACCCCCATGCTCCTTTACAACATCGTCCAGGCGAATCTCAGAGCCGTTGCGATCAGTAGCTACGGCATGCCTGCGCCTGTCGAGTTTGTTGGAGATCTGTGATGGCATGACAGTCCGAGTTTGGGAATTCTGATCGAGGACGACGAGTGATTCTCTGTCAACCTTGATGACACAGGCGACAGTTGACGGGTCCAATTGAACCAAATCGTAAAGTTCGTACTTTCCAAGAGATCCACCACCCCCTGAGTCACTGGCTTCTCGAAGATCCTTGCTGAAGACCGTGATTTCGGTGTTGCCTTGGTCACTCAATAGTGTAACCCGATCTTCCGAAATCTTGACCACCATACCAACTTCATCCCGAAATCTACTTCCACCAATGACCTTGACATGATCACCTTCTCTGAAGCGCTTTCGAAGACCCTTCGTGGGAACTTCAATTGTTTGCCCCTTTAGATCACCCTCAGATACTGCCATAGTAACAATATCGCCCTGAACCGATACGGCCTTTCCAACGACACCTTTCTGCTCTCCTTCATAAACTTCAATCACATCACCTGGAAGGTAAGATGCATTAGCCGTGCTTGCTTTCAAGCTAGCAGCGAGAGCATTGAGATCCAGGTTCTCAGTGCCATCTTCTGCGCCGGATGCGAATCTCGTAACCTCTTCGAGCGTTGGGTTGACGTCCTTCGTGATAAGGGTCTGGATCTTGACCTCCTTCTCGCAGTAACCGTTGATGTATTCATCACCAAGATAGGTCCAGGTTTTCGTATCAGGTCTTCCTTGTAGATATTTGGCATGGCGCTTCTTGGCTTCCACTTCACTAAATAATCTCTGCGGCGGTCTTGGTCCTGCAGTTGGTCGTTTTCTCTTTGCACCGAATGCATCCACTGGAGCATTCGAATCATCGTGAAGACCATAGTCGAGGCGAGGCACAAATCTGACTCGTAATTCTAAGCCCGTATCCGTGACATCGATGACCTGGGCAAGATCTCCAGCATATTTTGGAGGACGTCTGAGTCGTACATATGCTCCGGGTTCCAGTGAAGGGCTTTTTGTGACTCTGAGAAGATCTGGCATTTCCTTGATCTCCACCAACATCATCTTTGTTCTTGGATAAACATTCATCAGACCATCAAGCGCGGTCATGATGTCTGCTTGGCGTTGAGCTTCAACATAAATAAACCCCTTCATGGTTGATTGTGTTCCACCCCGTTCGAATGCAGATGTGATCGCAAGCTCATTCTTGGTGCCGAGTCTCTCCTCAATACGCTTCATAATGGAGAACACAGCTTCTCTCTCCTTCCCTTCCTTACATCTTACAGCCCAGATGCTCGGATCGTCAACACTGGGGAGTAGCAGGCGTTTCGGCACAACTGCAGAATCTCCAATCGCCCTTCCAGATCTGTTTTTATTCGCATATCGCTGTCGCAAAATCTCGGCCTGCTTCTCAGCATCTAGACTCGCCTCCATCTCACGTCTTCTATCCAACTCCCTATGCCGTCTGTCATCGGTCTCTCCGCCAGCTGGGAGGTCTGCCAAGTCATCGGGATGTGTATCAGCAATGAAATTGTCCTTAATCTCATTGAGTTCGTCTTCATCGTCATCATTCTCGTCTTCATCCTCGTCGACTTCAGCCTCGACATCGAGGAATTGATTGCGGCGTTCTCGTCTGCGTTTTCGACGATGTCCCTAGATTCTCAAGTTAATAATCCATTCGTATGTCATGTTTTGACTGCGGATTGCGGCTTCGTCGCCAAAATGCTACTGAGTGCTTACTGTAATCTCCTCTTCGTCATCTTCCTCTTCCTCCTCGTCTTCCTCCTCATCGTCATCTCTAGCCGCAGTATCTTCGCCTTCTCCCTCATCGTCTTCATTATTCGCAGCCTCCTCCTCATCAGAGCCTTCGTCTCCTGATTGCTGTTGTGCAGCTTCATTTCTGATTTGATCCCCAGCATCCTGGTCGTCGTCGGCTGCCGCGTCCTCAGCATCTGATAAGTCTGCTGGTTGGGGGTTGAAGTTATCGTCGTCTTCCTCGCTGTCGTCGAAATGCGCATCCAGAAGATTTGAAGTCGCCATGTTCTCGATGTGAAAGACGAAACGGGGAAAGAGCGCGGAGATGATAGGTTTAGATGGTGGGTGTAGGTAAGATGAATTTCAAGTCGACCTGGCCTCCCTTTCAATACAGCTTCGAAAATCGCGCTAAGGATTTAAGGTCCGGCCTTGTAACCTCACGATTAAGGCATGAATATTTTTCAGCCTCGTTCAGAGGCCGAGCTTGACGAACCTTCCCCTCTTCCAACAACTCAGCAGCATGTCTTTCGATTATTGATGTTTTATTTGATCTTTCTCCTGTATTCACTCATGATATAATAAATCTGCAATAAAAGCACTAGATTTGTTTACATTGACCCGAGTTATCATTACGTTCCTCATCCTTCGTCACAGGCCTCTTTCCCCAACTCTTCATATTTTAGCTATTCCCCAGAGATATATGGCAAGATTTGAACATTCTATATCCTACATACTCTTACATTTATCAATCTACCTATCAATTCCAAAGAGCGAGATTCTATAACCCGCTTCCTACCACTTCTCCGTATAGAATCGCTATGGGAGTGCAAAGATGAAGGCAATACGCATCAATAAGTTTGTTAAAGTAAGCCCAAAATTAGATTTATCTTCAAATTCTGAGAATGGTCAATTAGCTGACTTTTCTCAGGATTATGACGAGATCAGGGTATCTGAGGTTACAAAACCTCAACCCAAGGAGGGAGAGGTAGTTGTACGGGTTATTGCGGCTGGCGTCAACTTTGTAGATCTTTTATATGTAAGTCTCTTCTCTCAGATGCCCTCCAAGTCCCAGAATGTGAATTTCAATCATCTTCTTCCTCGACTCCTTTCCCCTTTCTAAAAAAAGCTAAATCTCAGACCCCACTGGGCCAGAGGAAAACACCAAAACAATACACATCTCGTCCGTCCCCCCTTTATCCTTGGCCTTGAGTTCTCGGGTATTGTCGTATCCTCCCCGCCAACCTCCAAATACCGCCCTAAAGACCGGGTCTTCGGCAGTGGTTTGGGCGGATACGCCGAGTATATCGCCGTAAAAGAGTCCTCTCTCCGTCATACCCCAAAGGGTTGGTCACTCGCTTCCTCAGCCGGCCTCGCAGCCACTGCCCCCGTTTCTTATGGAGCTCTGATTCTACGGGGTGGCTTGAAGAAAGGCGAGACGGTCCTGATCCATGCCGCCGCGGGGGGGTTGGGGTTGATGGCCGTACAAATCGCAAAAGCTGTTGGTGCTCATGTAATCGCCACTGGGGGCTCGAAAGAGAAGCTCGATGTAGCGAAGAGATTTGGGGCTGATGAGTGCGTCAAGTACACTACTAACGAGGATTGGTGGAAAGTAATCCTGGAGAAGACGGAAGGAAGAGGCGTAGATGTGGTTTTCGACCCAGTAGGGTTGGTGAACAAGACGCTGAAGTGCTTAAAGCCTATGGGGAGAATCTTGCTGATTGGGTTTGCGGGGCGAGAGGGCGATATGGAACGCATTGCTATGAACCGGGTTTTGTTAAGGCAGGCGCAGGTCATAGGTTACGTGAGTTCTCGACTTTACCTGGATATACTGTATACTGATAATAGCAGCGGTTTGGCATGACGGATCGATTAGATCCCACAGAGACGGAGAAAATTTGGAAAGGGCTTGGAGATATGCTGGAGAAAGAGCTTCTGAAACCTACGGTATATGATCGTGAATATAGAGGGCTGGAGAGTGTGACGACAGCGATGAAGGACCTTAGTGGAAGGAAGGTTTGGGGTAAAGCTGTGATTTTGTTGGATGTTGAATACCATAAGCCCCGTCTGTAAGGTGCGATCAATAAGTAGAAGCTATATATCCATCATCCAAAATGTGTGAAACGCGCAAGTTCACCTCAATCATCACCTGCACCTATCATCCCTAGCCGGACCACGTGATACTTGTCCCTTCCCCCACCTGCGAAATCAATGCCTTTTTCCTATGATACACAAGCTCTATGAGCATTTGCTTCATCCCAAATGCCCGGATATTTGATACCACCATCATACGAGAACCAAAACGCCTTGCTTAAACTATGCGAGAATACGCTCACTTTCGTCTATGATCTCCTCAAACGCAACTTTGATCAAAGCTTAACGCCCCAAATTCCTCGGCCTCCACTTACTCCGATCCAATCTCCCCCGTCGCTATTTAGAGCACTGTGTGGTGCCCAGCTCAAATTTCCAACTTCGTATTCGCATTGCCAGCTCGCTGTAGGCCCTCGCGTATTATCTGACGCAGGAGTACCATTAATGGATGGTCCAGGAGGTGCGAGAGCTGTACTTTGGCTGAGCAGATCCCAGATAAGTACGAGTGAATCGTCAGCACCAGAAGCTAATGTTCCTCTTCGAGAGGGCGACCACTCGATGCAGTTTATGGCTGCTGCATGTCCTCTGAGCTCGAGCAAAGCTTGCCCAGGTTGTCGTACATCAAGTATTCGAATTATGTTTGAGTCTTGTGAGAACGTAGCCAGAAGATGGGTATCATGTGGCGATGCAGCCAGCCGAAGTAGAGGTGGTGCGTACGACATGGTTTGCTGAGCAAGGGTCGGACTTATTCTTCCACCAGGACTAGCAGCTACAGATATGTCAGCATAGAAATATAAACGGGTCTAAGCTACAAACTTTTATCGTCTTTGGCAGTAGGCTCGTAAATAATGGTGCTGTGCTCTAAGCTTCGAAGATCGAACATTCGCACGCTGCCATCTGCCCCGCAGCTAACGAAAACATCGACACTATTGGCACAGAACCTGACGTCAAATACTTCCTTGTCGTGCGCGATCAACTGTGTCTTAGCGGTCAAGGTCGGTATGTCCCATATCGTGCACGTTGTGTCTATGCTTGATGTAATAATTAGACTCGGTGAGACAGTATTCCAATCGAGGGAAGTTAATGGGGCAGTATGTTCTGGTGTTTTCGAGTTAGATAGTAACGCCAGAGGTGTGAGCTTGCTGGCCGGCAGATCTCGTCCATGGTTAGCTGATCGTGTTATGGAATTTCCCGGAGAGGAAACTCCTGTTTCTGAAGGTAGACTCCAGAGTCTGAGATGGTCTCCTGATGTAGCAAGGAGGTCGGTCGATTGTTTCTGAGAGGATGGTGGCTCCCAAAGCAGGCGAGTAACTGGGTATGAGTGCGTCGCCTCAGCTATCTTGACGAATTCCAACCCGTACTTTGGGGCTCCTGGTTTGTAGGACTCGGCCGGGGTAGGTACGATTTTCGTATCTAGTATTTGGATCTGGTACAACGAATAGAATTAGGGGTTTATACTTTACATAAAAGAGGTGGGGGAAGCGGTGCTTACAAAATTATGTCCATCTTCCAGATAACTCCCGACAGCCAGCTTCCCCGCCTCGTGGTTTTGGGCAGGCCATTTACACCAGTCAAAGGCATATACAGCCCAAGGGGCAAGATAATTGCTGTTTGTTGGCGTGGCATTCGCGCCATCGTAGGAGTATGGATTTGCCCCTGGAACGCTATCGGAAATGCCCGAATCTGCGCGTGGTCGAATATCTGCCAGGCCCAACGGGGTATTCGAGACAGTCCGCTGCGTAGGTGTATACTTTGGATTATTTGGGGAAGCGAATTGCCCCTGGTCAGTGTTCGGTGTCGTTGCCGAGAATGATTGATATCCCTGCCCCTCGAAGCCCGCGGCTGGGCTTGATCGCGTGTAATTGTGTGAAAGGCCCATATTTGAGGATCGCGAAGGAGTCCCGTATTGATCTTGTGAATTCGATTGCGCTGCAGTGGGTACTGTTGTCGGTGCTGTGCTTACTGACATTGCAGCTGGCCGGCCTGCTTGCAAAGACCCAGGGAGTTGGCCGGCGCCATGGTATTGCGAGCTTTCTGGAGTCGCTTGCTCGAGACTGATACGAGGACCTGTGGGAGCATAACCTCTCGGAGACAGAGGGCTACGCTGGGTAGTCGCGGTCGCCGCACTGGGCTGCAGATTGGCTTCGTCTTGTCGAGCGCGCCGAGGCGTCTCGAATTGCTGTTGCTGGTTCATCGCCGCGCGGGGAGAAGACGCCGCTGCAGGTGAGCTGGGCTGCTGTAGAGCATAGGTTGCGGACGAAGGTGCAGTGTGTCCTCCTCCAGAGTTGGAGTTTGACGTGCTCCCACCTGTGGGATGCAATCTATCGGTGCCAGCTGTTGTTTTGCCGGATATCGCGTTGTTGAGATTGCCCGTAGGTGCGCCAAAGGAGCCTAGACTCTGAGCGGCTTGCAAGATGCCAGAGGCAGCGCCATGTGGAATCTGCTGCGCGTTGTGTTGCGAGGAGGAGTGCGAGTGAAGGTGGAAGGGCATTTCAAACTCCTTTGGGCTTGGGGCTTGGGCTTGGGGAGAGCGGGAACTTTCCCCGTGGTTGGACGGATTGCTTTTGCGCGAGTCGCAGAATGAGGCCTGAGGCACGGAATCCTGGTGGGCGTCCAGCCAGGAGTACCCTAGTCCACAATTGGACGCAAAAGGTCAACGAGGCTGTAGCGGCTGCGACAACGTCATATTGTCTACCTTTCTACCTTACCTTACCTTATAGACTAAAACATCGGCCAAAGTTATACCGAAAAACAAGTGTACTCTCTCGAATTGTGATGAGCCGGCCTGCTGGTGTGGTCGCATGACAGTGTAGGCGTAGAAGCCTATATTGTCATTCTCTCTTTTCTACCCTTTTCTTCTACAGCAAGGGGTAGAGACACGTCTATAAGGATAAGAGCCATAGGCAGGTAACAATTAGCTAACGAGTCTATAGGCACTCGACAGGCACTCGATAGGCACTCGATAGGCACTCGATAGGCACTCGACAGGCACTTGAACAAACACTCGATAGGCACTCGATTAAGGCACTCCAACAGACACTCGAGGGGCTGTTTGACGAGCTATACAGGCCATTTGATGGACACTCGACGACTACTCGACAGGTTACCCTATACCTCTTAGGAGCATATAGTATAGTCGAACACGGCCCTTGATCATAGATGACTATGTTAGCTATATAGGTGGCTCTATAGTTCTACAAATAGCCCTACAGGTAGTTGTTCTACAGGTAGCTCTATAGGTAGCCCTACAGGTACCTTAGTTGTTTTACAAGTAGCTCTGCGGTTCTACAAGTGGCTCTACAGATATTCTCTAGTATAGTTCCACAAGTGGCTATATATTGACTCTATAGAGCCTATGATTTGGCTATTTGGATGCTTAAGGTAGTTATTAGCAAATGAAGCATTACAGAGGTACCTACCTACCTGTATGAAGATTGCCACTGAAACTACCCTATGTACCGGCAGAAAAGGGGATGTCATATAACAAGAAAGGTGTTGGTGTGTGTGCATCACTCGCGTAACATCGGTGCACCTTATCATATCTTCTCCACATATCGGCGTCCCGTCCCGCTCCCGACCAACAGGTTGTAGGTACTTTTGCCTTGCCGCAAACAGACAGCGACATGGAGCGTTGTCCAGCTGGACTGCAAGCCGCAAGTCGTAGGTAAGGTAAGGTAAGGTAGGTAAGACGCGATATATGCGGGGGCGACAAATTTTTAAGCGCTCAGCCGTCGGCCACTCGTTGCGCCGCATTGTTCGACCCCAAGGAGCATTTTGCCCAGCACCAGAGGCGAGGGAGCTCAGTCAAATCCTCTTTATGGACGGACTCTCGTCGGTATAGATTATTCCGCTGAATCGTCTGCGGTGTTTGTTTGCTCGCCGCAGCGGATGCCTCCCTGTCGGTGGATAACCCGGCATGCGATCTGTGATGCTGCCCACCGCCATTCGCTACCAGGCCGCCGAAACCCACACCGGAAGCGCAGCGTCGACAACCGCTGCCCCCCCCTTTTCGTTGCCAATCTGCAGCCATCACCGAGGCTCATCCTTGCACAACACTGACTGGATCGAATAGAAACACCTCGATCCACGATCTCCAGCGCAAATGGGTTGCTACCGCATCACATGATTGAACCGAGTCCGGCAGTGTGGTTCAGCTACGTCTTGAAGAAGCGCTGCTGCAGCTTCGATGCCCAATCAGCCCATCCTACCCAGACCCGGAACTGCAAAGCAGACGCACTGAGCCAATTATTGAGAAACCCGATTTCTCCTCACGCACGCACTTGTAGAGGCGTGTCTCCTGTGCCTGCTCGACGCACAAACACGTCAGATCCCTCGTCCCATTATATGGGCGTGTGCTGGCAGTTGGAGAAAAGTCCCTCGAGGACACGCTCATGAGGTCTGTTATTTCTGTCGATCCCCCGCTCAGACGACCTTCTACGTGCTATACCTTGATTTGTTGAGGAGTCGAGCGTTCCTGGAGGTGAGAGATCATCGTCTGTCCTACCATCACAGGTTTTGATATATTGCATTAGATTGCTTGTGTGATTTGCACGGCCACCACTCACAGACAGGAAGACGTGTGCCCGGTCTCGAGCTTCTGATGGAGACTCCAAGCAATCCAACCCCTATCCTATTAAGGTTCCCAGATGAGATCCTGAATATCATCCTCGAGCTTCTGGCACCGCAGTCGCTTTCCGGGGAGCTGATCACCATCGACCACAGAACTTCCTTGAGCGTGGAAAGTTTTGCATCTGAGCCAGCCCAGGTGTCAGATGAGCATTCACACGTGACAGGCACATTCGTATGGCGCCTCGCTTTGTTATAGGCCGCTGTTGCTGATGATGAGAATAGAGGTTGATATGCAAGAAATTCGAGCTGTGGACCCTAAGCCGTCAATTTGCCCGGGTATCTATTCGTTTCTCGCCCGAGGGTTTCAAGAAGTTAGGTTTACTTGTTGAGCGACCCCACATCGCGAAGCATGTCAAGAAAATATCTTATATGGTCCCTAGTTTCAGCTCTCTAGGTAATCGATATCTTCCACTATTATCAGACGCCTCTAAACAAAGCTACAGACCAGGCAAGATTTACAGAGTTGCTTCACGAGGCTATCGCCACAACCAACGAGCTGCAACGACAGCTCAACCAGAGGCAGAATGTGCCCCACGTTGATAGGCTGCGGCCAACTAACCACGAGCTTCGCAACAGGCGTGCTCGCAGTGAAAACAATGAGAGGTTAATTGCGGAAATGATGAAGAGGACAGAGATTCAAAGACGCATTATAGGAGAAAGATCCGATGAACGAGCACTTGTGTCCGCACTCAAAGCTTTCACTGGGCTCCAGCAGATACGACTGATGAGGGTTCAGGATCCATTCGATGCTGGGTGGAATAACTTCTCGAGAATGCATTTAGGTCTCGATTCAGAATCCAGATCTTCTAGATGGACACTTGCATGCGAGCATGCTGCGAGAACTCTATGCCGTGCATTTCTAGCATCTCCATCCCCTGTCCTGGGCCGAATTTCTTGTCGTTCGTTGGATCCCCAGACCCCACTTCTCCTTGCGCAGATCCAGCCGAAAAATATCTCTGATGTTGCGGTACGTTTGAACTGCCTAGAGCTACAATTTGACGACCAACCCAATCTGGAAGAAGATCTATTGGAATTGTCACGGCTCTTTCAAACTGTATTTACGGCGGCAGTCAACATAGAGGGGTTGCACATTGGCTTTACACGGCCCGTATCGATCTCTTTTAAGACAGTCTTCCACAATGTTCACTGGAAGAAACTCAAATATATCGGTTTTGGGGCATGGCGTTTGGACAGTGAGGAGATCATCGATTTTGCACGGCGACACCGAAAGAGTCTTCGGTCTATACGTCTTAGGGATGTCCGTCTAAACGAAGGCAGTAGATGGGTGGAAGTTTTGAGAGTGCTCCGGCTCGAATTATTAAGTCTCAAATGGGTCAGCCTGCGGAAAGTAGGCTATTCAGATGAGGAGGAACTTGGAGGCATGTACGTACCGGATCAACAGGATGACGACGATGATAGTGATGGAAGTAATTGGGGGGTTGGTGACGGAGCTTCCGAGAACTTCGATGATGGCGAGGAGGAGGATGATGATGATGCCAGCTTGGACGAAAATGGGGATCATGAGGAAGAGCATGGCGATGAGTCTGGAGATTCTGCTCATGGAAGTGTTGCGGGTGATAGCGAACTTGGCACCTCTGTGAATGATTTGGCTATCGATGACCAGACAATGCTCCATCATTCTACTGCCCCATCCGATACCATGGCCGAAGATGAAACAGCGCACCACAAATCCAGCTCTCCACCTCAGTGCCAGTGCGACAATGGGTTTGCTTGGGAGGATCTAATTGATGATGGCGCCCTTCGGGTGCCAAAAATACAATGGAAGTGGTGGGAGAAATGGGCCATCAACCGCTGTCATATACATGATCCCCCCGCATCTTCCTTGTGATTCAGCTTCTGGTCTCTTTTGGTTCAGCTCCACTGGAAAATACGGCCAAGATTATATTGCTTCTACCTAGCAAGCAAGGATCAGAGGCGCCTTCCCGGCGCTTAAAAGACTACCTGACCACCATCTACAACTATGTCTGTTCCTACCTAGACGTTAGTGGTTGGCATGGGAACATTACGAGCGTTGGCCTACCGGTTATATAACTTCCTGCGCTGCTCGACAGGAGAACCACTGCTCCTGTGAGCTCACTCGGAGTACCCATACGACCCATCGGATTCCTACTCGCCCAGATGGCTCTTGCTTCCGCAAGCCCATCGCCTTCGTTGAGAATTGTATCCATATAACCAGGCGATATCGAATTCACCCTGATCCCATATCTTGCCCATTCCGCTGCCAACGAACTTTTCAACATTAGCAAGGCGCTCTTGCTAACGTTATATGAAAGTTGCGGCTGGGGAAAGTTGACCCGATGGCCAGAAATAGAGGCCGTGAAGACAATGCTGCCTCCGGTACCCTGCTTGATCATCTGTTTCGCCGCCGCTTGAGCACACAGAAACGAACCGGTCAGATTGATATCCAGAGTTCGCCGCCACTCAGCAGCCGTCATATCAATTGCATGCGTGCAATTGACTACGCCTGCGAAACAAAGGAGGATATCTACCGAACCGAGGGTCTTCGTAGTGTCATCAATGGCGGCTGATACTGCAATATCATCCGTGATATCCACCTTCGTGAAACATATCTTCGCAGTTGGAAACTCGTCTTGTAACGCCTGGATCTTCGATTTTCCATGGGCAGGATCGACATCAAAAATCATGAGGCCCGATAACCCATGTTCAAGAAGGGCACGTGAGGCAGCGAATCCAAGGGTTCCTGCTCCACCAGTCACACTACTCTTGTTACTTTATATTGTTCTGGAGAATTCAAGGGACCTTTACACAGCATTTCCTTGAACTCCGAATCTCAGCCTTGCTCTCCCGCTTGCGTTCAAATCAGTGGCCACGGGGATTGGCGGGCCGGTTAAGGAGGTTTCGTCTCCCTTGCTGAGGATCATTTGGGGCAGGACACGACTCGTAAGGGCGTCCCTTTCTGTGGGGAGGGATGCTGATGGAGACATAGTTTTGATGTTTGGGCAGGAATATATATGATATTTTTTCTGGTTCTTCGGAAGTTAGCAATAGGGTATCTTTGGTAAATGGTGACTGGGGGTGGATTTATGATTAAGTCTGCCCACCACCCAGTGGTCTCGTGATATTGATTTCTCGATACCTTACAGCAGGACAGCATCACAATGCAACTCTTGGGATATCTCACCTCGATAATGAGCACCGATGTATTGACGGAATTTTTGGTAGACTTCAGGCTCTCTAGCAATAAGCGCTGTGACTTGAAGCTTCAAGACCAGGTAGAGATGCGAACCAAAGGAAGTTTAAATACTTTCCGCATCAGAGTTGGGCAGTCCGTTCGACGGCATTTCCGCCAACGCATCTGGAGAACCCCTGGATCTGGGGGCAGCTCTGCCGAGCGACGCAAGTGATCCGAGCCGAGCTCGAAGAGAGAGCATTTTACCCGTTTTGTATCCTCTACCCTGTTTGCCTACCTCCAGTATACATATCCTCGCCTGACCTACCTACCTTACCCAGGTAACCCTCCAAAGAATCCGCGCCTGAGATTCCGTTCTTTGTCTCAATAAATCACGTCTGGATGACCATAACAAGCATGTGAACAGCTACGTGCGGAAACTGCCGCCTTGCATCAGGACGCACCTTCAATCCACCAAAGCCTTACGTCGTTATTTTCAACATCTTCATAGGCGCCATGCACCTGGCACTCCCAAACCGCAGAATAACAGCTTAGGTGCACATCAAGCTCCCAGCATCACAGACAGACAGACTGTCCAAAATGTCGCGCTCCTTCTTCTCCCGCGCCCAAACCTCTAGCTCTCGAGACAAATCTCCCCTGCTTCCCCAACATCGCAACTCCGTCTCTCTGCGAACCCTTTCTCCGCGAGATGACTCCTCACGGACAAGGACTCCAGCTGCCAGCCCAAGCCCGCCGCCTAGTTTCTACCGCTCAAGGTTCAACTCGGACAACTTCAGGGACCCCAGCGAGAACGCGGGTTCGTATACCGAGCATTCCCCCAGCCCGTCACGAACAAAAGGGAAAGGGAGGGATATGGGAGGGGGTCGGGTACAGTTTGAAGGGCCGCCTCCGCCTATTGCCCAGAGTGTCTTGCTGGCACCTCAGCACGGAAATGCAAACAGATCGTCCGCGTCCTCTTCCCTAGGCGTCCCCCGCCCAGCCACTCATATCCGCCGACCCTCAGGTTCCGCTAGTATCGACCCGTTACTCGTAATCGAGAGGAAGGAGCGCGCGATCCAGCAAGAGTTGCAGATATTACTAGATGCTCAATCGGCGGGTCTGGTACAAGGCTTTGGTGGCCATGTACCTGGCTCAGATGGTATGAGTGATACGGGGAGTAGCACACCTACGATAGGACGACCAGCGGGACGGAGTAGGGAACGGGATAGAGGGCCGGGCATCGTGCCTGTGAGGCAGCCGAGGAAGAAAGTTTTGAGTTTACGTGGTGCACGAAGGGCGTTATTGAAGGATATAGGGACACTGGCTGGGGTTAAGGAGGAAGAAAGCCGATTTCTAGACCAGGAGATTGAGCGGCGGGAACATGTTCTAGAAAGAGTAAAGGGGTGGGAGAAGAAAATGGAAGCTATGCGGGGAGAATTGAGTTCCTACTCGGGGACAGGGCTAGAAGGTCAACGGGACAGCGAGGAAAGTAGAGAGATCGCTGAACTCCAAACTGAGGAGAGAGCGCTAGAGAGCGAGATTCGCGACCTCGAGGAAAGGCTGATGCAGATGCGGGCGCGGAAGAAATGGCTCGGGGAGAGGATAAAGGAGGGAATCAATAGGCGGGAAGCGAGGCTAAGCTCCTACAGAGGCGCATTGAAGGAAGTTGAAACCGAGGTGAAAGAGTTCCTGAGGCGGCCGCCGGTGGAAAGAAGTTCAGTCATGGGGGGAGAAGAGGGATTCATGGCTCTCCCTCCACATCGCCGAACCTTAGAAATGGCGAGAGAGTGGTGGGATAGAGAGCTCGACACCCTCTCCTCCCGCAGAACGGCCGCCGAAACCGAGAAAGGAGCACTGGAAGAAGGCGCGAGAATATGGGCATCGACCATCGAAGTTGTAACCAAGTTCGAAGACGAGCTCCGCAGCCAGATGGCGTCGAATCAGACACAAGACAGCGGTGTGTTGCGTGAGCAGGTGGGCAAGATGAGAGAAGTGATCGAGACACTAGAACATAACCTGCGGGTTGTGCAGTCCAAGGGGTGGAATCTGTTGGTTTGTGCCGTGGGTGCTGAGCTCGAAGCATTTAAAGAGGGAGAGGGAATTCTTGCGAGGGCGCTAGACACGGTTGAGTCCCGAGAGGACAAAGGGGAATTGGAGCATGAAGACACATTCCACAGCACGCGAGAGGAGCTCGATGGCTTAGAGGTCGCGATGGAGGGGTTGAATGGGTCGCAGATTCGAAGGGGGGAGGGAGAGGAGCAGCAGAATCAAGGAAGTGAGGATGAGGGACTCAATGACCTAGTGGTCGCGATGGATGGGCTGAACAGGTCACAGATTCGAACGGGGTTGGGGGTGAACAGGGAGGAAGTTCAAGAGAGTGAGGATGAGGGACCAAATTTGGCAGAGCTAATGATTGATCGGGGGAACCATGAGGAACGGGATGTTGATTGATTGTATTTTGATACCAGAGCTGTGCTGTGTCTCGATTGTGAGATCCTAGGAGGCCCAGCAGTTTATTCATAAAGGGCCTACCAACCCATCCTAATTCTAATTTATGAATTCAAACCCAGTTCAAACCCCGTGCTTTGAATGATCCTGGGGGGGTAATCCTTTCTCCGAAAGCTGTGTGAAGACTCACGTGCTCCCGAGCAGTTAAGGTATCGGGAGGGACATCGGGTAATCCCGGCCTTCGGGCCTCGGTCAGACGGGAGCGGAGCAGAGTCGGCATCAGAGGTGGGAGAAGATCTGCTCTCCCAGGAGCACAGGGCTTTCCAGTTTGCAGTCTGTCTTGTGCGCGGGTGGAATGCATGCTTGATTCTTCAACTTCTGAAACTCATCTGTACTTCTTGGATGATGGAGGAGAGAACCGCCCCTCGCCCCGCCACGGCTGCTGCTGGGAAAAGCACCCCCACGTGCAAGACCACCACAGTTACATGTGTCTGTCCAACGCCGGAAACTCCACTCGTGTCCAATGTCCTCCTAGAGCCACGCTACCCCTGTTCCTCATATCATATCCCGTCTTCCATTCCTCGGGATCCCCATTCACTCACAAAGTATGAAGGAGAGCGAGTGTTGTGTACGTGATCATCACGGATCCCGCTTCCTCTCGAACCAGCCGCTGGACCCCGCAACCGCCACCGACTGATCCAAAACCCACTCTCCGACATTCAGGTATTTCTCGATCCATGCGCTGACCTCCTTGTTCTCGGTGAGGGAGTCTTTCTTCAGACTGGGTCTACGGTCCCGGAAATGGGGCTTGTTAGCCTGGCATGCTCATTTTTGCCTCCGCGCCGGTAGCACTCGACACTGAGAAAAGCGTCGAGCATACCGGACCCGGGTGGGAAGGGAGCGTTGAAGGAGTCGACGTACGTCAAACCGGTACTCCTCTTCATGCCTGCGAGGAATGCAGAGACTGCCAGCACACGTCAGCGAAATCATTCCCTTGGCAGCAGTCGGCAGAGGGAAACATACACAGGACGGCATCAAAGGCATAGTGGGTGAGTCGGCCGAGCTTTCCCCATAAACCAAATGTTAGCAAGTTGAGGAACTGAGCGGATTAGGCTGCGTCTTGAAGACTGGAGAGCGGGTGGACTGACTACCATGTTTGCAGCTCGAAAGAATACTTGGAATTCAGCAAAGAGCGAGAGATGAAGATCGTGCGGAAGGGCTCAGATAAGGAGATGCGATAATTTTGCGATGTTGTTTCTTGTGGGTGTGTGACTTTTCGAGGGAGTTGCCTTCCGTCGTTATCGTGGATGAGGAGGATCACGAGAGTCTGGGTCGGCCGAACAACGCCAACAACGCCAACGACGGAGAGCACGGGGCAAAGGCGGTCAGCCCGAAGCAGCACGGCAGAATCCCACACCGACGGCTGACTCTGCCTGAGGCATCAAGAGGACTTTTGCTCGAGTCATGCCTGAGGCCGCCACCATCATTGCGATGAATCCGTGTTGAAGGGATTCGAAGGGCAACTCTGGAATCAAGACATCCTACGCAAATTCTCGAGCACGAAAACGCATTGCAATTATCATCGTTGCTCATTCTTCTTCAATCCGCCCTTGGAGTCCGGGGGACACGCTGCCCCCGCATCGCAATAATTTCCACATCCCCATAAGCTCACGGCTGGGCCAGTCGTTGCCCAACGGACCTTTTTGGGTGGGGTGCCGACACTTGCTTTTTGGAGGGATGAGCTGAAGAAAACGGAGAAAACTTCAGAGAACACCAAGAACCGTCTTCACCTTCTGCCACCACCAGCTCAACCTCCAACCTCCCAAACCTTCAAACCTCCACCGCCCCCCAGATTTTCTCTCGTTCATCTTGTGAGTTTCCCCCCCTCGCAGACCCTCTGCCCACACGTTCTGCCATTTCTGCGTAATTATTGGGTCATTACTTTGGCCCCCTCCTCCCTAGCCCGCGCTTCTAATTCACCGAGCCTGGGCTCTGAAAACGCCCCCCACCAAGATAACGACGATCCCAGCTGACCTCTTCGAAAGAAAATCCCACAGACCGACCACCTGCTTCGCACACTCCTTCGCACCGTCGTAATTACTTCCTAATAACCGTCATCCATCGACTCCTTTCTGCATACCTCTGTCAAGATGGCGACCGCCCTTGACCACCTCAGCTCCGGCTCGACTAAGATCGAATGGCTCTCCCAATTGAACACCGAGTTCAAGCCAACCAAGAACTACCGCCGCACCTCCATCATCTGCACAATCGGCCCCAAGACAAACTCTGTCGAGGCAATCAACAAGCTCCGCACTGCCGGTCTCAATGTTGTCCGCATGAACTTTTCCCACGGCTCCTACGAATACCACCAGTCCGTTATTGATAATGCTCGCCAGGCTGAGAAGGTTCAGAAGGGTCGGCAGATTGCCATTGCTCTGGATACCAAGGGTCCTGAGATCCGTACCGGTAACACTGTTGGTGACAAGGACATTCCGATCTCTGCCGGCACTGAGATCAACATCACTACTGATGAGAAGTATGCCACAGCTTGTGATGACAAGAACATGTAAGACCATTTACCCCACCTTTACCTTTTTTCTTCAGGACACTAACTCTAATCTAGGTACGTTGACTACAAGAACATCACCAAGGTCATTGAGCCAGGCCGTATCATATACGTCGACGATGGTGTCCTTGCCTTCGACGTCCTTGAGATCGTTGATGACAAGACTATCCGTGCCCGAGCTCGCAACAACGGCAACATTTCCTCCAAGAAGGGTGTCAACCTCCCAAACACTGATGTCGATCTCCCCGCACTCTCCGAGAAGGACAAAGCCGATCTCCGGTTTGGTGTGAAGAACAACGTGGACATGGTCTTTGCTTCATTTATCCGCCGTGGGGATGATATCAAGGCCATTCGTGAGGTCCTTGGTAAGGAGGGTGAGAACATTCAGATCATTGCCAAGATCGAGAACAGACAAGGTCTCAACAACTTTGCCGAGATCTTGAAGGAGACTGACGGTGTCATGGTTGCTCGTGGTGATCTGGGTATCGAGATTCCCGCAGCTGAGGTGTTTGCTGCTCAGAAGAAGATGATTGCCATGTGCAACATTGCAGGCAAGCCTGTCATCTGTGCTACTCAGATGCTGGAGTCTATGATCTACAACCCCCGCCCTACGCGTGCTGAGATCAGCGATGTTGGTAACGCTGTTACTGATGGAGCCGACTGTGTCATGTTGTCTGGTGAGACTGCCAAGGGTAACTACCCACAAGAAGCTGTCAGGGAGATGCACGAGACATGCTTGAAGGCTGAGAACAGCATCGCATACGTGTCTCACTTTGAGGAGCTCACCCAGCTTGCTCAGCGACCAACCAGCGTCGTCGAATCATGTGCCATGGCTGCTGTCCGTGCCAGTTTGGACATGAACGCCGGTGCAATCATCGTCCTCTCCACCAGCGGTGTCAGTGCCCGTCTCCTCTCCAAGTACCGACCCGTCTGCCCCATCTTCATGATTACCCGAAACCCCACCGCCGCCCGATATGCCCACTTGTATCGTGGAGTGTATCCTTTCCATTTCCCAGAAGACAAGCCAGATTTTTCAAAGGTCAACTGGCAAGAGGATGTTGACCGGAGAATCAAGTGGGGTATTGCTGAGGCTTTGAAGTTGAAGGTTCTTGCGCAAGGCGAGACGGTTGTCGTGGTCCAGGGATGGAAGGGTGGTATGGGTAACACCAATACGTAAGTCGCTGAACCCCATCTGTAGAACATAACTAATATAAATCCAGTCTCCGTGTCATCAAGGCTGAGCCTGAGGATCTCGGACTTCCGGGGAAATAAGCTGTCTTAAGGGGCACTTAGATAGGGCAGGGAGGTTTCGGTAAAAAGCACATAGACTTCACAGATGCATCCCACCTGATAGATAATGCTCTTAACAATTGGCCATTTGGTGATTGTACAGAAGAGAGCGGGGGAGTCAAATAGGCTGGTTTTGTACTTGAGCAATGCGTTGATTTGAGTCGGCAGTCATTTTATAGAGGAAATAATACCATTGAAAGCATTCTGCCCGCCGCCGCCGCCGTTTTGGTGGCTACCTCCGTGCTATTTCAAATCCTCCTTGATTAGGCCGACGTACGCAAAATATAATTACTCTATGCTGCAACTCACGTGTTGCTACACACAATTCTTTCTTCTCTTCTCTTCCCAGAGAGCTCGGGCCAAACCAGGCATCCTCACTCCCGCGCCCCTCCCTTTCCTGCACAGCGCTTTGTATTCTTTCCGCGAGTGCGGATAGTTTTGAGGATCCAGCACTTCTTTCTCTGTCTCTCTCTGAGAAAAATAAAAAGACAAAATAAAAAATAAAAACAAAAGAGAGAGGAGACATACAACAGGGGGTATTCGCTGGTGGTCACCCACCCAACTACTAATCCACCGATCTAAGGCTTATGTATGGCAGAGCGGACGGGATGCCCAGGATTCCTTAGTCTATGGTCGTATGTGGGAGCTTTTCTTCTGTTTTTGTCTTTTATACAATAGGTAGTCTTCGCTCTTTTTTTAAAAAATAAATAACATTGAAAGTAGGTATTTGACGATCAAAGTGTGCTATTATCATCCAGATAGGCAAGTAGGTAAGAAGTGTTGAATTGAACATAGCGATTAACGGGATGGACAGAAATGTAAGGTTTGTTGTTGGTATCAGTCTCTGATCCAAATTGAATGAATGCTGTTGGTTGTTCCAGGTCTGGAGAATCAAGATTTGTTATAAAGTAGTACTTGGCATGTCGATACATACATATCTTCAAGTTGAAGCTCTGTATGAGAATTCGTCTTATCTATCTCTCTGCTTTCACGTCTTCGTCAATACTAAGGTATGTATCTTAATCTTAGGGTTTTGAATTTCTGCACCCGCTTTATCAGAAGGTTTTGTTACTTGGGTTTTAACTGTGTCTTGTAACACTTTAACACATACATTTCCTTTTCTTTTCTTTTCTTCGATCTATCTATCATTTCTTTAGCCTGAATTACATCACATGGATCCTCATACCGAAAAATATTCCCTGAATCAAAAAGTATCTTACTTCTCAAATATCATCAAGCCCATCCGTATAAACAACCTCTAAGGTAGATACTCTCAACTACCATTAATAAAAAAAAAAAAGCTCCTCCTAATAATTCCCATCGCGGTCTTCGTTCTAGATGTTTATGATCGGAAAAGAAAGACAACTTACATCGAGCATGAGCAAGTGATGATCTTCTTCTGTTGAGCACCTGAAGATTATGGAAGGTGTGGTCGATCGATGGGTATTGGAATGTTAGAGGTCGTGCTGTGTGTGGGGTGGTTCTTTGAAGTAGGAGAGGGAGATGGATGGATGGGATGGGTCTCCAGTTTGAATACAAATCACTGTTTCTCTCTCTTGGGAATTGCAGTTTGAACTAGAAGGTGAGGGTAGTCTGAATTCCAACTCCTCTTAGGAACTTCACATTGAACCAGGAAGTGAAAGCAGTCTGAATTGCAACACCACTTTCCTACCAAGTATAAAGACAAGTCTCTCCTTCCAAGTTTATATCCTTCCCAAAGATCCAAAAAGGAGTCAATTCTCATGCCCTTACTTCCTCCAAAGCATAAAAAAAGACAAGCATTCTTCATCAAAGCTACACCTGCCCTGCCTACTTCCCGCTCAAACCAGGCTCAAAAACACTCAATCAAATTCCACACCCGGAAAGCTTAAGTTTATATACCTTAATAGGCATAACTACCACCATGCCTCTCCTAACCACGGGTTACAAAATCCTAGATGTACCTCCCCCTCCCCCCTCCTCTCTTTCCCCTAAACAAACCACCCCAACTAACCAAACCCCAAGATACTACTCTACTGCATCCTCGGTCTTCTAATCTGCGGCTCCGCTATCGCTCTCTCGCTATTTATCTATAACCAGATCCTTGAACGACGGAGCAAGACACGACGAGCTCAAGAAGTGATTCGACTTAAAGAAAGAGTGGTGGGTTTCGTCACGCGGGAGGATAGTATGGCGGATGGCTTGAATTTGGTTTAGTAGGGCGGTTTTTGTGAAGGAGAAGAAGGCTTGGTTGGATATTGGTGTGTAGGTTGGTTTGGGTGCGGTTTTATGGGGGGCTAGAGGTACTGATTGCCAGTGTGTATTATACGAATACATGTACCTATATCCGTGGGGTGCAAACAGAAGGATTCTGGTAGATACATAGGTACTGGGGATTGAAACCCCCCTTGAATAATTACCTATTGGTATCATAACACCTTGATAGGTTCTTGATTTAAAACTACAAGTGAGAGATGAGGATTTTAAAACCCGAACGAACATGCATACCTTACCTTACTCCTATCATGACTTTAAATACTACAAAACAAAAACACCCGTCAATCCAAAACATGGAAATCACAAAAATTCATCTCCTCCTTTCGAAAACCTCCACAAAGTTTACCTTGTACATACTTATTGAGTGGGGAAGAAAAAAAAAACAAATGGAAAACAACTATAAACCCCCCTCTACTCGCTTACATTTCCTGCTCTCCTATTCCGCAACCCCCCTTTGTTACTATACCTCAAAAAGAAAAAGAGAAAAAAGTGCTGAGACTAAAAAATGGCAGTTCACGGGTATCTCCATCATCATCATTATCGTCGTCGTCGTCACCATCATCATCATCACTCCCGAAGTTCTAGGCCCGGAGATTTAAATAGTCGCGCGTCATGCTCCCGTAGTTTCCGTCCTACCTAGAGCTTATCTTATATCAAATGATTTAAATGATTTCTACTCCTGACATCCCCTCTCTCTGTCTGTTTATCTAGTGTCTATGTATGTTGGGATAAGTCGAGAAAGAGAGAGAGGTCGAAAGGAAGGAATCTATTTAGAATCAAAAGAGATGGAAGAATCGCTCCATCCCGGATTCTGGGCTGCTGAGGTCGGCTCGAAACGCTTTCTTGAACAGCTGAATGAGCGGATCGCGCATACGTCACCTGCAACGCAGCCGTTGGTAAGAAAACCCTTTGAATTTTTTGTCTTTAAAAAAAAGAAAGCACCCTGAGAAAAAAGTATCCATACATAGATATCTTATATATGTACATGTCTTTTTCCCCTTTCATATATTCGTATATCTATCTATCTATCTACAAGTACACAGAGAAATTGACGATGCGCAGTTAGTCCTGCTCCTGATCTTCGTCATCGTGATCGGGACCGCAAATATCATTATCCTGATCTGGCTCTTCCTGCTGATCTTGTTCTGGGAGAGTGCGCATAAGGTGCGGAGACCGAAGGGATGGAGTAGATTGCAGGGCCAGGTGAAGGAGGCGTGAATGGGGTGGGAGTATGTGCGTTAAGTGAGGCAAGAGGGGGTGTTAGGTATGTGACGTCGAATTCATTTGGATCGTGTGTGAATCGTCTGGTTATTGGGTATCTGGTATCTGTGGTGTGTGACAAGATGTAAGGAGGTGGGAAGAAGAGAGCATGACGCTGATCCTGGGAAGAGCGGGAGCAAGGCTGAACGATCGATCAACCACCCAGGATTATAATCTCGGCCGATATCTTCTCGCTGTATCATCATTTCTAGAGGACAAGGAATAGCCGCAGTTGCCTGCTCAACCATCAAAGCAGCACCTATCCAAACCCTCCTGTCTCAACACCTTCATCGTACCTTCGAGCGTACCTCGCCAGTCGGCAGTCATGCGTCTAACCGGCCTGCCAGAACTTGATCTCTTAATGATGATAATTCTCAGCATGAATAAAGTCACATGGCTTGCTCTATCTCGTTTTCAAGGTTGGTTCTCTTGCCTCTAACGATCCGGGAGAAAGCTCAAAGGGGGGGGGGGGGGGGGTGAAGGAGGGAGAAAGGGGACGCAGTCCAAGTCAATAGAAATGCAGCTCCTGGTAGGATGAGGTCTCGGATGGCTCTACCACTTCGGAAATTGAGAATCAAGAATCAGTCAATTTTTTGAAATGTGGAGTTCGATTAAGAGGGTAGTATAGAAAGAGCGGGCGATGAAAGAGTTGGGGTTAATCGAGGAAAGGAAAATGAGGCACTGTTCTAAATGAAACTTTCGACTTCGAGTGACATCGTGTCATGAACTTCCAGTGTTATTTGCCTAAAATGATCACAGACCTCTCATTGCTGCTGTGACAGACGATGCCTCCTCCTGAGCTCCAGGCACTACCGGGCTCTGCCTCACTAAATTACAGGAAGCAAAGATGTGCTTGTGCAAATTACAGGAAGCAAAGATGTGCTTGTGCAAATTACAGGAAGCAAAGATGTGCTTGTGCAAATTTCAGGCACCGCAGGAAGCTGTCTGAAGCGCCAGAAGCCCCTACTCGTAGCAATCAGGAACACCCTGAACAACCTAAAAGAGAGCAAGAAAGGAAACAGAAACCACAAGCCCAAATGATTCTTCAATTTCATACCCAAAAAATGTTGCGCAGCGCGACACACTCGTGCTAGTCAAGACCGCCGCCCTTGCCTGATCCTGGAGCTAGGCAATGGCAGGTACTATTGAAACTTTTGATTTTGTGCTGATTTGGGGTTGGGTGACGGGCTTATAACTTTGCCATCTCAGCCTTTCGAGGGCCAACGTATCCAAACAGGTATGCTGCAATTTTCCGCATTTGAATCTCCTCGCTGCCTTCGGTGATTCGATAGCGTCCTAATGTGTTCATTTAAACATCGTCTTTTTGTGGGAATGATGGGACTTACGATGATGCCGGTAGATGTGCTCAAACCTGGAATATAAGTCAGAATATTCAGAAGTCAGCTGGAAATCATTGATAGCTTACGCTTTGTGTCTCGAGTATCCAATTCCACCTAGTTTCGAGCATTAGCCATGCATCGCTCTTCCAGAACTAGTAGGGCTCACCATGAATTTGTATCGCCCGATCGGCAGCCTGTGTGCACAATCGATTTCCCCAATACTGTCGCTGTCAGCTCGAATTCCCTCCCACAAACAGGTTACATACATTACACATTGACACCTTATCCCCAAGCGTACTCTCGATCTCGTTTTGCGTCATACTGTCCATCTCCGTCGCAGTCTTCAGTATCAATAGTTTCAACATCTCAGCCTGGGTTTTCAACTCCACAAGCGGAAACTGAACGGCTTGATTTGTCGACAACTCTCTCCCGAAGGGTTTCCTTCTCCTCGCATATCTGATGCTCTCCTCAATACAATACTCAGCCGCTCCCAATGAGCTCGCCGCTTGCCTTATTCGATTCTCGTGCACGAAAGTCTGCGCAATCGCCAGTCCTCTGCCAACCTGACCCAAGACCGCGGAGTCAGGCACGAAGACTCCCGAGAATGTGAGAGTCGCATGATCGGTCGGCATATTGAACGTCCACTCGTATGATTGGATCACGAAACCCGGCGCTGTCTTGGGGACGAAAAACGCAGTGATGCCCTCCCCATCTCCTGCTTTCCCATGCGTTCGGGCGAACACAATACAATGCGTGGCCCGATGCATCCCGGAAATCCACATCTTGCTGCCGTTGATCTCCCATCCCCTCACCCCTCCCCTTTCTTTCCTGACCGCGTGAGTAGACATGTGCGTAGCATCGCTCCCATGTTCAGGTTCTGTAAGCCCGAATGCCAAAACCCTCTTACCCTCCAATCTTCCGGTGATAAACTCCTCTTTCTGCTCCGCCGTCCCGAACTCCCTCACCATCAGGACATCCGGAAAATTCCCGACGATAGAATGTTCATTCTGCAAATCATTAAACAACCCCAATCCCTTCCTCGCTAAATGCATACGGATGACCGCCATCCAGAGATTCCCCCCGTCCTGCCCGCCATACTCGGCCGGCAGGCAGAAACGATAGAAGCCGGCATCATCAGCGAGCTTTCGCGCTTGGGACAAGAGGTCTTCCCAGTCATCACGCGGGAGACCTTGGTTCTCCCAATCGGTGCGCGCATTCTCGCGCCGATGGTCGAAGAACCGCTCGTTATCGTTGGCGGCCTGTAAGGGTGCGATTTTAGTCTCGATAAAGTTGTCCAGAGACTCGAGATATGCGAGGAGATCGCGGGGGAGCGCGAAGGACATAGTGCCGTGGGTGGGGTTGGGCGACATTTTATAGTAGATTGTGTGATCTTGCAGCAGAACTATACTGAAGGAGAAAAATCCGGTTTAAAAAGCCAATTGTCCCATCGACTTATGAAGGGCTGAATTGTTAATATATAGTGAGTGGTCCATGGATCGAAGTGTGAGTTGCGGGGTAAGAGGGACCCTATACCCGACATACCGACATGTGCAGACCAACCTTTTACCTGAAAAGACAGTTGGTCAATCGGAACTGACATGTACCTTATAGTAAGAAATCTAAGGCGTATTCAATTGCACGACAAAGTACCAATAGGTATATGTCTAAAAGTACGGTAAAGTTAAAAGAGGGAGTACTAAGAACTGTCTGAATAACAACTCAGGATACGATCATACGACTCGCCTAGAATCTTTTGTAGGAAGTAAAGATATCGTATCCATTTAAGGAGGAAAGGAACGTATAGTCAAATCTTCAAAAAGAAAACCGCCAAAAAAGTATGATCGATCCCGGGATCGAACCGGGGACCTGCTGCGATATGAAGTTTTACAATGACACTTTGTAAAGCAGACGTGATAACCGCTACACCAATCGACCCGTTATTGATGCTGTCGATATGGTAAAACCCTAGAAGAAAAGTCGATGGGAACAGGAAACAAAAAGTATTTGGGCAAAATCCTGAAAAGATTCAAAAAAAGCAAAAGATGATGATCGATCCCGGGATCGAACCGGGGACCTGCTGCGATATGAAGTTTTACAATTACTTTGTAAAGCAGACGTGATAACCGCTACACCAATCGACCTATCAGTTGACGTTAGAGCTTACTATTACAGTCTATAGGGGTTCTGGACAGATCACGGAGAATGTGCCGACTTATCCCGTTGTGGTAGGATTAGCGGCGGTTGGGTTTGTGGGGATCGGGAAAAGTTTCATTCTCATACTTTCTCTCTCTTCCCCTCCAGCTAAACCCTCCAACCAATTCCAGCCCTGTAAAACAATGCGCAATGTTACATATCGCAGTATCTCAACCCTCCGAAGTTTCTATATTCTGTCTCAATCTCTCACCTCCCTTGAGATGAAAGGATGAAGCCAGGAAAAGGTGTGGGTCACGTGGACCCGATACAGGCCCACAAGCTCTCAGCCTCTCACCGTCTCATCTACTTTGCTATAACCCTTGGGTTATCCCCCGTTTTTCTTCCTGTTTCCTCTTTAGGCCATCAGAGGAGCGAGCTAGCTGATTTGATGGTGCATATGCAACTATTTCGCATCTCTGGAGGCCTTTTCGTTCTTTTCAGCTTTTGAACCTCGGACTTTATATCACATTCATATTATTATGCAGTTCTGTGTGGCTGGTAATGAGTGTTGCTTGCTATCAAACCATCCTCAGTCAGTCCAGGGACTAACTATGCAAGATTCCAATGTCCACCACAAGGTTTAACTTTCTTATTCAAACTTTGACATATTATTGAGCGCAGGGTTTCCTTACCGAAATGCATTTTGTAGATTGAACTGAATCAACTGATGCTTGTTCTTGTACTTCTATCAGACACCTCTTTTAAGCGAAGGAGGTGTGTGCACATACTCGTAATATGCAAGTGCGGGTGTTTCTGCACTTTCTTTTTCTAAGAAACTTCGAGAGGTGCATTTACATATGCACGTTGAATTAGAAAGGGGGCAGTGATTTATACTTTATGCTTCATCCACATAGTCTATCTATGCGTGGGTATGTAGGTACGTGAGTAGTATTTACAGAGAATGTCACTCCTCTACTTAGTTAGTCCTCAAAAAATCTTCCAAGTATTCTTACTTCACTCTACTAGAGGGACACTAATATCCACTGTACGTACTGTGGGTTATGAGGAAACTCTAGGGATGGTAAAGTAAACATGGTTGAAAGAAACAGAGGTATATACCTTATGCTTCTTTTCTTGAAGACCGGAGGTCCGGGTCATTCTCCACATAAAATACTATGGAATATAAGTCGCATGTAGTTGGCTAGGTAATGAGGGCGGGTATTGTTTTGAATGGTAGAATAGAGAGAAATTCAGGGACTCCAGCACTGGGATACGTTCAGGGTTCGGAGTCTGATGTGGCTGATATGGCGCCCACGGCTGACTGCATCCTGCCATTATCAGAGCTGTTATTGCAGTACTTGACATGGGGGCAAACCAGCCTCATGTTTTGGCACTGCATATGGAGAGCTCAATGCCTGTAGATTGCTGCGCGAATGGATAGTACACATTAATCTTGGTTGATAGATCATTTTATGTGTTCCAGGACATAAGAGTTTTCAAGTCGCATTGACAGTAGAATCTCGAGAAGGCAGCCGCGGTTGAAGTTCAACACCAGAAGCTTCCCTCAGTCAAACCGGCTGTTTTTAGATATAAAAGCAATAGCAAAATCGACAGCAAAACGGAGCAACACATACCTTTACATTACCGAGATGAATAACAGCATGTCTCAACGAACTCGAGCGGTCATAAAAGCAATGTCACCCTGCATGCACGCAATTGTCTTTCCGTGGGCGCTACGGAGTAGTACGTGCCTCCCCCCTGACGACATACTTTCCTTCCGGCGCTATGACCGGGATTTGGATCTCCTTCGTGATGTTCAAACCACCTTTCTGCAGAGGGCGCTCTTTATCGACGATGCCAGCGTTCTCGCAGAGGTCGGAATCCTTATCAATAACAAGAGAGGCAGAATTTCACTTGATGATAGTCAGCAGGAAGCCTTCTTCAACCGGTCCGGAGAGCAGACCGCCGGGCGTTGATAAATTAGAGCTTTTTTTTACCGCTGTCAGATGTCAGGCTCGTGCTTATAGTGGGGCCGGGGAGCAAAACAAACGGCTCGGGTGGTGGGAACCATATCAAAGTGGTCGAGGCTGAGGATACAATCCTGGAGATCGACACCGTTTGGTGCTTCTGATAAGCTGACTGCGCAGGGGTCAGAAACGAACTTACCATGAAAGGATCCAGTCCGGGAGCTTTCTAACTCTGCGGCCCCATGACAACGAGAGGAGATTGTGATTGGGAAGTGACAAGAGTGGAAGAGCGGAGAGCAACGAATGGAAGAGAGGAGAGTAATGAGAGCCCAGATCTTTCTGCCGCCGTCGCGCATCCCGCGGTGACTTGCAGATATTCGTTCGCGCGGGTGGGGGCCTTTTGGTCAGGCAGAAGCGGGATCAAGAGAATAATGACAAGAATTCAGAGGGATGGTTGGAAGAAAAGAGCATACTGAGAAAGTGCACGATGAGATGAGATGGATCCTGTCCTAAGGTACGTGAAGCTGTCGTCAAACAATCCTCTTGACATTACTGTCCTTCCAGTAGACGAGGTCCCGTGCTCTCCGACCTCTCTCGGAGCAAGGTTGGCCACGCACAACAAACATGACAGGTCGGAGGGTCTAGACACGCTTCAAACTAATGTCGCATATAAAGTGGCGTGCAACTTGCAAGTGCTGGAGGGTGAAGAATTATGCGCCTATTGCGCCGTTGTTGTGGCGCACAGGAGGTGTGATCCGGCGGATCCTCCCCGCAGGCGAAAGCCTCCCGCTCCCGGGTTTTATACGAAGATTGAGGCGGCTGCATCCCTCCATCACCGCTACATCCAATCGCCATGAGTGAGTGGCTGGGCATAACAGCGAATGGCGCAGAAAATGGCCTCCAGAGAGCCAGTGCTCGCAGCAACCCTGGAAAGTCCACGCTGTACATAGCTGTATGAAGCAAGCCTGTGCTGTCACATGGAGCCGGGCAAGGCATAGGCGTACCCTTCATCTGTCGACTTATCGCATGGCATGGAGCGGTAAGAAGTAAGCACACTGAATTTCATCACCTATATTGTCCCATGCATATCCACATAAACATCGTTCATTCCCTGCCCAACTCCGCTTTCCAACAGATGGCTACTCAGAAAAGGACATAAAGAGAGGTGAAACCCAAGCTCGCTCGCTCCCAGACATACATACATATATCTCGTCATTATCATGATCATCATGAAACATATCTCATATCGCAGACACGCTTACCCCAACAAACCCCTCGATACTCAAGGCAACAACATCTCAAGCCTGCCCGCGCCCCCTTAACGCTCTTTTAAACGGTCTCGACGACCAGAATACTAGTCACTCTCGAAGCCGATCAAGAGCAATCCGAGCACTGCGTCTCTTGACTGAGGTTGGAGAAAGTGCCTCGCCCTTCCGCTTTCGACTCTTCATGCTCTTCGCATCCGTGATGGGTGCCACCGGTGTCTTGGGACTCGACGATTCAATCGTCGATGCGTCAGTCAAGCTGCCGGTGCGGCTATGACTTTGAGATGCTTCTGATTCCCCTTCTGATTCCCTCTCTGAGCTGTGCTCTTGCTGGTACTTCTCTAGGTCCTTGATCGCGTTCGAGTACGCCGATGCAGCTTCTGGGGGTGTGACCAACGGTGGTGCACCTCTGGCATCGCGGAGAACACGTCGCAGGACCTTTCCAGTTGGGTTCCTCGGTATCGAGTCCACGAACCTCACTTCTTCGACGCCCTTGTATCGAGCAAGTTTGGAACGCAAGAAGTTCTTGACATCATCCTCCTTCAACGTGTCCTCATTCCTCACAACGAACGCGAGAGGGACTTCGCCAGCGCCATCAGGAGCGGCGATACCAATCACAGCTGCGTCGGTGATGTCGGGATGTTCCACTAACATGGCCTCGATTTCCGCAGGGCTCACTTGCCAACCACGGACCTTGATCAAGTCCTTTGTTCTATCAATGACATACCATCTCCCATCTCGAACATAGCCGACATCGCCAGTGCGGACCCAGCCATCTTCCGAGAAAGCCTCTCTAGTCGCGGCCTCGTTGTTCAAGTATCCTTTCATGGGATGGGGACAATGGATATGGAGCTCGCCGTTTACGCCTTCTTCAGTAATGACGTTCCCATCCTTGTCCACCACTCTGCAATTCAGGTATGCGATCAGTATGCCGCTGGTTACAGAGGGGAGCTTGTCTGAAGAACTTACCGCAATTCCATCCCCGGCAGCGGGCGGCCGACACTTCCTGTGCTTTCTTGCTTACGCTCATGCCACGTCGTCGCCCACCCTGTTTCGGTCATACCATACACCTGCTCGATCTTTGCCGACGGAGACAGCTTCGTATAAAGCTGCTGCTGCATGCCATCCGTCGCGCAAGATCCACCAACACAGATCCTCCTCAGCGATTTGAGCTTAGAGCTCTCTTCGCAATTTGCCAATGCCAACATAATCGGGGGCACGACCAGAGTATGCGCAATGCGGAATTTCTCTACCGCATCGATAAAGCCTTGTGCTTCGAACCGTGGCATGATGTACGTTGGGATCCCACTCCGCAGAGGCAGCGCGTGTTGCACCGGCATTGTGAAGACATGGAAAGGAGGGATTGCTATGAGACTAGAGTTCTTGTACCGCACTACGGAAGTCTTCTCTTGGAACTCCGCCTGGGAGACAAAATATGAGTGGGGAATGATTGCCGCCTTTGGAACCCCCGATGTCCCGCTTGTAGAGACATACGCTGCGGTCGTGTTATCAGGATCTTCGACTTGTACCCAATCTTCCTCACCACAAGCGAGTAAGCGGTCCCACGATTGATGGCCCTCTGGTACGGTCTCATTTTGAGTGTTCAAGACAAAGATCTTGGAGCGCGGGATCTCGCAGGCAGCGGCAGCGGCAAGTGTGATATCCAAAGTTTTGGGTGCAGTGAGGATGAACTTGGCTTGAGTTATTCTGAGATGATGGGTGAGTTCATGTGCTGTGTAACCTGGGTTTGCGCCAGTGAAGCAAGCCCCAGCCCCAATGATCCCGAGATAAAGACTGGTATAGTGAATCTTGTGGAAGGAGTCAGCGAGTGCTCAAAAGGCAATTAATCAATTGATGAGGCTTAACGTACATCGTTAAAGCTAATAACACAGACACAATCGCCTTTTACCAGGTCGTGGTTCTTGAAACCACTGACAAGTTGTCTGACCTGCTTCCGAACGTCATTGGCGGAGAGCGAGCGCGTTGCGTCGCGGCTATCAATGTATATCTGCCGCAGGGTCAGCATGTGTTTATGTCGTTTGTTCTTATTTCTCATCTCATACTGGTTTATCCTGATCGTACGACTCATTTTCGAGACTCCATGTGACGATATCCATTGCCAAAGACGGGTGGTGTGGAGAGTTACAGAAATTGGAGAGGTGGGAGGGAGGTATCTTGATTGTGGTCGAAGTCGCATCATATCACCAACCTTATGAAGGATAATGGACCCCGTCTTCTTCACGTGGCTCACCTGGTACAAGATTGCTTACCACACCCTCTACGCATGCATGATCGACACAATAGAACTCGATCATGGTTCGGTGTCGCAGCTATCTCATTACGTCCTATCCGCGGCGAAGGGGGGGGAGGTGGGATCACGACCTCGAAGATCCCGAGGTTCCGCTGTGATACGGCGATGTTGGTGCAGGACTGGTATGCAGGTGCAGGACTTTCTGGTAGGATAAGCGGCGCAAGATTTTATTTTTGTTTTTTCGTCTCTTTTTCTGGGTGGAGTTTTGGGCATCTCACGGTGTGATAGGTTTCCCGCGGGATTCGAGGTTCATGCGCATTGCCCATTGTGGCGCACCAGAAGTAACCAGTGCCATGGTGATTGGCGCGGGGGAGCAGCCAGCGGATACCGTGAACACCTTCTTCGCTGCTAGAAGCTAGAAGGCTCCGTTGGGGGCCATTAGCATCCGCATTAGCAGCTCATTGCTCGACCTTCTGGGGGATATACTAGGGATCGACGCTGGGAACGCTGGGCGGTGGTTGGGGGGCACGGCCCAGAAACCCGGGCCCTCGCGTATTTTAGGTCTTTTTGTTTAGACGGGTCTATGCCCGTTCAGGCCGGCTTAGGCAGGGCGAGGCCCCGACTAGACTGGGGCTAGGCCTCTTGGGGACAGGATCCAGCCGTCCCAGCCTCCCCGTCGCCCTCGATCGCCCATCTCAGCATCTGATAGCAGTTCGGGCACGCTAATTGTATGCACGACAGCTGTTGTGCTCTCACCGCAACTTTTCCGGGCCGTCCATTGGCCGCGGCTTCTGCGCGGGGCAGCTCCCGTGAACCATTCAACTCCCTCGGCGACGCGACTCGACTCGACCAGACCAGCTCGACCAGCTCGACCAGCTCGAACCGACTCGCCCTGCGCAAGCCATGGTTCTTCCAGGCAATAACAAGAACAATAACAACATCGACTATTGTCTTGTCTACTTCCCGATGTCTCTGGACGGCCCGCGGCGGGTCCCATTGGATGGCAGGTGTCAGATGTGGGCGGCCGGGCGACGGGGTGTGACCGGTGGCACTTGGTGTCGCGATGGACGGCTCTCGACGTTCTGTCCGTTCAAGCGACATTCGACGGCGTCTGATCCCTGGGTCCTGCGGTGGGACACAAGGTGCGCTGTGGACTCTGGGACGGGGAACGGGGAGGCGACGGGGACGGGGACAAGGACGAGGACGAGGACGGCGACTGGGAGTCTGGGACTCGACTTGACTTGATGGCTACACCCGAACAGACTCGCCCACGCCGTTCGTCGATGTGGAGAATTTGGCCCCGGCACTTTTGTCGCCCCCCGGTTCTTGAGCCTTGACTTGACTTGACACCATCACTCAACTCAACCGCAAACCCTGTTCGACGACGCCCGCCCAGGCTGCCCAGGCTTGCCCTTGCTTCCCAACGGCCTTGTTCGACATGCGGCCTGGTATCATCGCGCAAATCAAGAAAAGGTAAAAAGGTGCAACGTGCAAGAATCCCAGCCTCCCATCCTGCCAGGCGCACCCGAAGGGGAATCTGGATGGACGCTACGGCGCCTTGGAGCTGAGGATGGAGCCCGTCACTGGCTCGCATCGGGCCAAACTTCCCCTCCATCGAACATGGCCGCTACTGGCGGGAATCGTGGGCGAAAAGCCGCGAAACATCCCACCTCAACGTGCTGCTGAGGAGTGGGACGCTTGAGTCGAGTTTGGGCTCCCTTTCCAATCGAACTGCAGTCGCTGCAACCTACCCACATGCACTCTGAAAATCTTCTCCATTTTGCCACCCGTTCTTTTCTTATCACAAGTCACCTTCTATCCTAGTTGCGAGATCCGGCCGGTCCTCCACGCAGGAGCCGTTACGTTCTTGGTTCTTGGGACGGGAAGGACGATGGATTGGTGGCTTCATCGGGTCGTCCGTTCCCTCGCACCAGCGAACCTGATCACACTTCCCCTCCCAGTTCGGCACGCCTATGTCTATGTCTGGACCACACCGCCGATACCAGTCTTCTGGCACGGCTATTCGACCACACGCCTTGCCGGGTGGTGGGGCTATCAGCTCACGGCTTCGATCCCGCTCCGTGATCTAGGACCTGGGCACGAGTGTTGATTCAGCTCAGCTATGTGCGACTGTCTCGATGGGTACGACCTAGTTCAGTACCACACACCCTTCCCGTCCGAAGAGTGTAACATTCTTGGATCACTTCTTGTAGATCTCGAGGACCCAGGATCGACCAGCATCTAGGACTCCCCTCCCCCACCTGATATGTAATCCCCTCAAGAAAGGGCCATGCCTCTGATAGAAGCATTTTCTTGCATACTCGATATCCCTCACAGAAGAACTCCATGATGGATTCTATCGCCAAACCATCACCTACAGTACCAAGGCCTCTCTCGAAAGATGAGAGTGCCATCCCTACTGTCATTCAGACCGAGGAGAAGTCATTCCACAGGAACAACCACTTCTCAATAAGCACCTGGTCTACCTTCGATGACCTGGAGAAAGGTGGTCTTCCTGAGCTGCCTGAAAAGAGATACCCTCGATTTCTCCGCCATGCCAGACACACCTTCTTCAACGTCTACCGACGACTCTTCAGCATCGTCTTCCTCTTCAACCTGATCGGTCTTGCAGGCCTTCTCTCCCGCAACTCGGACTGGTACAGATCCCCGCCTCTCGCGCACTTTGCAACGGCAGCATCAGCAAACATCATGGTTGCCCTCTTGATACGGCAAGATTACATCGTCAACGCCTGCTACAAGATGACCTGGCTGGTTCCTCTCTCAGCGCCTCTGCGGCTGCGACGAATCTTGGCAAAAGTCTATGAGCATGGCGGCGTCCACTCTGGCGCTGCAGTCTCGTCCGTGATGTGGTTCTGCCTTCTCACCGGCTTCGTAACTCGAGAATTCGCCATCAATCAGCTGCGGGATGCGGGTCTGATGACGTTCACCTACATCTTGCTCTCGTTATTACTAACGCTTGTGGTGACCGCATATCCTGCCTTCCGCTTCATGTCCCACAACACGTTTGAGAGCGTTCACCGCTGGGGCGGTTGGTTTTCGCTCGCGCTCTTCTGGATCGAGCTCATCCTCTTCGGTCGCACCCAAGCCCGCCTTCCTGGTGCTGAACACCTGGGGATTATTCTGATCAAGCTCCCAGCATTCTGGTTCCTGTTCGTCTCCTCCCTGCATGCGATTCTCCCCTGGCTGCGCCTCCACAAGATGCCAGTGCAGCCCGAGGAGCTGAGCGGCCACGCCATCCGCCTGCATTTTAAGGAACCAGTGCCTCTCTTCGTCGGGGTGCGCATCTCCGACGCACCGCTAAAGGAATGGCATTCCTTTGCCTGCATCCCGTCACGTGATGGTGGAAAGTCAGGCGGCAGCGTCTTGATATCAGATGCTGGGGACTGGACGCGCAGGACGATAGCCAACCCGCGGCCTTACTATTGGATCAAGGGTATCCCGGTGACGGGTGTGCTCTGCGTGGCGCGCATCTTCCGCCGCATTGTGATCGTCACTACGGGTTCTGGAATCGGCCCCTGTCTCGGGGTGATGCAGGACATCCCCCAAACGCACTGCCGAGTAGTCTGGAGTACCCCGAACCCATACGTCACATATGGCGAGGGTATCGTGAACGCAGTCACGGATGTAGACCCGCGCGCAGTGATCTGGGACACGCGGAAAGCAGGACGACCCGACCTCGTGCGCATGGCGTATGAGCTGTACAAGGAAGAGAACGCCGAGGCGGTCTTCGTCATCAGCAACCCGAAATTGACGCGCAAGGTGGTCTATGGGATGGAAAGCAGAGGCATTCCGGCATTTGGGCCGATTTGGGACTCATAAGGTTTTTTGTTTCATGACTGGATGCATGGATGGCGATGGCGCGAGGAGTCTTGGATCTCAAGAATCGCTGATGAGTATGACTTTTATGTGAAAAATGTGTGCGATGTGCGATGAGCGATGAGCGATGAAAGTACGGCGTTTATGACCCTGTATGAATTTCTCTCAATATATACCACTTGATGCTCAACCTACTATTAATTCCGCTTCTTGGTGAAACTGTTTCTACCCATCCATCCACCAGGGACTCAAATCTCCGCATACTATTCCAGAAAAAGAAAAAAACAACCCCCCTGATTCTGCAACCCCCCCTCCCCTGCAGCCCATCAATCAATCACTCAAAAAACCCCAAAATCCGATCATCCCAAGGATTATTTATTTATTCATGCCTGTCCTTCTTTTAAAAAAAAAACAAAATTCAAAAAAATCCCAACCCCCAAGTCCCTGCTCTGTGCAACTACAGAACGTTACATCTCCCGCAAGAAGAAGTCCTTACTTTATCTTAGGTAGGTATGCTTTGCAGATGCGATGCGGGTCTGCCGTTATGTAACCCAAGGTAAGGTATGTTAGGTGTGTTATTGTAGGTAGTGATAGGCATAGTTATGGTCACGTGGTTAGCTAGGTAAGGTAAGGTAGGTAGGGGGAGATGTAGGAAGTGCGAGTACTATCTATTATTAACTTAGATATACTATATACTCTCTTTACTGTTATAAGCATAACCTGGAAACTTTTGAGATGTGATGTGGTGGTGAAGAAAATTGAAAAGGCTACGTGAGTGAGTGAGTGAGGATTTGAAAAAGGAGTGAGAGTGTACCTAGGTACTGGTTTTTGGGTTTAAAGGGATTTCTTATGCTGTTAACTAAGGTAAGGTACAACAGCTTGTATATCAGGATCGTTAATGTCAGACTACCTTACCGAAGTTAGACAGAGCCTGTAAGAAGAGGAGGATGGGCCGGTGATATAAGGTAGCTAGCTGCACGAAAGGGATACCATTAAGAGAACTAGGATCAAGAGACTTACCTACTTCCTAGCTCTGAGCAACATCCTCTACGTCAATCAGTCAGTCAACAAAGAGAGGGAAAAACAACAAAAAGAACGAAAAGAAACTTTGAGATACCAAAAAATTGAGTCGTGGTATTCGTGTTTGAAGTTAGTTAGGTTTGGTTATGTGTTTTAATGCCAAAGATTATTGGGTGCTTTGAAGTACATCGTGCCTACCTATCAGTCATAACGATGTTGTGCTGTGCTGTTTTCCTCGCTCTAAGAGAATAGGATTTGCAGGCGGCCAGAATAGCATGCTGCATTTCCCAGGGTCCTAAGACGACAGTGTTTATTTTCATTCAAACTTGAAAAATCAGTCTCGATGAATTCCTGAACGTGATGGAAACACACAAGAGGCGGGTAAGAGCAGGCCTATCTATAGTCACTGTACCAGATGCAGAGGAATTTTGTGCTATTGACCTCTAAGTAGAGTCACTGGAAGTCTTGAAGTAGAGACAAAAGATCGCTTGATAGATACTTCTCTTCATGTATAGAGGCTTTGAAAATCTGATCGAACATCCCAGACGGACGGGGCTACGACTGCTGGGCTTGCGGGTCGAGAAAAAGAGTACCCACGAGATATCTAGGATCTGAGGATTCATTCTTCAGTTGGCATAGTTTCTTGAACAAAAAAAATCCAGACAAAACACAGGACCCACCACCCACCACATTCAAGGTGTGCATATTTCATTCAGATCCATCAAGAGGCAGCCCTCATTAGCCGATAGCAATCCTGAGTCCTGACAAAGAACAGCAGGTCAAAATGCCACCAATACACATGACACCCGAAATGCAGTTGCAAGCCCTCAATAAGGCTATAGAGTTGATGAGATCCATTGCGGTCTTCTTCGCACTGGTGATACAATTCTTCTTCGTTTGCATCCTGGTCAGATATTGGGCTACCGGCTTCGGCTTCCTAATTCGTCCTACCTAGATTCTTCTATCCATCCTAGGTAGACTCGTCCCATTGCAACCTATCATCCAGAGCTAAGCGGCTGACTAGTTGATATTCGTGAAAGGGTTCGCTGACATCCGCGCGGTGCACTTTTGAATTGCAGCATTGCCTGTCGATAACCAGCCATCCCATTGCCACCACAGAGTTCCCAAACTGATCGTCGATTATATCGGACTCAAGCCCAAGGCGTTATTTTGGGATGCGCGTCGCATCATCAGTCTTCAGTGTTCTTCATTCAGGGAGAGGTTTGAACTTGTAATCAGACCAGAACGCTGAAGGCTATCGAGTCTGTATATTTGAGGAATACGCCAGAAATGCGTACCAGACTTGATACTATACTGGATATGTGCCTCAGCCTAGTATCATTAGGCAATTGAAAGAAAAATTGACCCTGCCTCAAACAGCATCATTTATAAGCAGATACAATCTCCGAAAAAATGGTAGAGTGGCCGCTACGTGATGCATTATATTGACTCAAATCATGTCAATGCGTAAGGAGATCTTTAACGCTATTCCGGGGGGCAGTTTTGATCACACACGACAAGAGGAGTGGCCGGAGACTCATGGCGGCTGAGCAGAGTCTTGAATTGAGACTGCAATTTTGTGAAGAAGTGGAAATAAGATGATTGTGAGAAATTGTGGTATTGACAGGGATAGAAGAATATGCGAATGCGAAGAAATATTTTGAGTTGAGAGACGCGCGCCAGGGAGTGACAGCGAATGATTCCATCAGCGGTCCAATTAATACGCTCTTCAACCAGTAGATGGGCCCAATGTCGAAAAATTGTTGACGGAAGTTGTGAGGCCGCAGGAGCAATAGGCGACGGCCGCGTCAGATAGAAGCATGAAAGTACAGCTTGCAGAATGACCTCTCCATTTTCAATCTCAAGATAGTTTACGATTTCGAGTCATCGCCTCTAAAGTGTCCAGCGATGAGGAAAGCCATCTCAAGAGCTTGCTTCTCGTTGAGTCTCGGGTCGCAGAAACTAGTGTAATTGAGCGATAAGTCGTCGTCTTTGAGCCCTTCACTGCCTCCAGTACATTCCGTGACGGCGTCTCCAGTCAACTCAAGGTGAACACCGCCAAGGTAGCTGCCTTCTTCTTTGTGGATCGCTAGTGTCTCTTTTAGCTCGGTGAAGATATCAGTAAACTGTCTGGTCTTGATTCCGGTTGACGTTGTCCTCGTATTGCCATGCATAGGGTCACATTGCCAGACAACACTCCGAGCATACTCGCTTCCCTCCACTGTTCTGATGTGAGCAGGGAGGAGGCTGCGGACTTTTGTGGCACCGTATCGTGTTATGAGTGTGATCTTTCCAACCTCAACAGAGGGATTAAGAGTACGAAGAAGAGTGAGGAGGTCGGCAGAAGAGGTCGTAGGACCAATTTTGACGCCAATCGGGTTCTCAATGCCACGGAAGTACTCTATGTGTGCGCCATCAACTTGTCTAGTACGGTCTCCAACCCACAGGAAGTGAGCAGATGTGTTGTAGTAAGCCTTTCCACCATTGGTGTCATCGTTTACGTCACGTGTCACCGGTGTCACGGGTGTGAATTGGGAACTCGGTTTCCTTAGGTTTCTGGTGAGGCTTTGCTCATACTCCAAGAGCAGACCTTCGTGACTGGTGTACAGATCAACAGTCTGTAGTTGTCCAGCGGTGTCGGCCCCAACGGTTCGCATAAAGCGAAGAGATTCCGTGATAGAGGCCACGATGCTAGAATATTTTGCTTGCAATTCTGGGTCTTGAACATGGCCAAGACCCCAGTCAAGTGGACGGTGAAGGTCTGCAATGCCGGAGGAGAGTGATGCTCGGATAAAGTTCAGAGTGCTTGCAGAATGGAAGTAGGCGCTGCGTATTATCAGTATAACGAATCGTCAGGAGTAAGTCAGATCAGCTCACCTAACTAATCTGGAGGGATCCAAGGCTCTTTCATCGACATCATAGCCATTTAGAATATCTCCCCTAAAAGATGGGATCTCTTTGCCATTGACGATCTCAGTGGGGCTTGACCTGGGTTTGGCGTACTGCCCAGCCATCCGCGCAATTCTAACGACAGGTTTGTTAGAACCCCAGATGAGTACCAAACTCATCTGAAGCAGTAACTTGATCTTTGATTCAATTGCACTCTCCTCGCAATAATCAAAGAGTTCAGCACAGTCACCGCCTTGGAGGAGGAAAGCTTTACCAAGCGCCACATCTCGCAGACTTGCCTTCAATTTGACAATCTCGGTCGGTGTGACAATGGGAGGGAGACGTTCGAGCTTTGAGATTGCTTTCTCCACGGCTTTTCGGTCCTCATAGACCGCATCCTGCTTGATAGGTTTGGTTGTCCAGGAGCTTGGCGACCAGGATTCAGTTTGGTGGGGTCGAGAAGCTCCATTCGTAGAGAACTCCGCGGCTGCTTCACCAGCGCTACTCAAAGTATTAACCATGGTGGATGATAGTTGCTCAGCGTCGAAAACAGCAAAGCAAGAACACACACCGTCGTTGATGCGTCAAACTTGGAGTTGATTTTGATTCTGAATTTTGATGACTCGATTTCGTGTTCTTTGGTTTGGGCGACCCGCAATTCATCTGAAGCCCAGTGCGTTCGCTGATTCGACAGCTACCCGGGACGGGCTTCAGGGTCCCGACCCAATATCTGCCACTAAGAAAACATTCCAGGACGACATCTCTTGGAGGGTTCAGTGCTTTGAGGCCGTCTCCAACTTCACTCTGCCATTTTCTTTGTTCTTGAGAACTCCCTACACTCACAATGGCGGAAGCTCAACCCTCTACCGTGGTCGAAGGCGCCACAACCGGCGATGTTGATGATGAGATCCCAGTTGCTGCGAAGTCAGCCGAAGACCGCAAAGCCGCGGCGGCTCTCTCCTCCCTCGATGCTCCCCGAGAAGACGAATCCACCGGTACGAAAGATGTTGATCAGGATGCTGTCCGAAAGGCTATGGATAGACTAGCAGGGCCCGCAACTACCAATGGCACTGCTTCCAAGAAGGGAGAGGAGAAAGAAGTTCCCAAGAAGGTGGTCAAGGTCGATCAAGCAGATGTCGCTTTGCTGGTATGTTGTTGCACTACCCTGCAATGTCCTGCCCTTGAAGAAATAAAAGTCCCCTCATTGTGCTCCTAACAGCGGTTGCTACTTGCCTCTCAAATCGCTGCTGCCCCTCTATACCCCGCAACGGAAAAACCAGGATGCTGGCCTGTCCAGCAAATAGACATCGTCCAAGCCCAGTTGTCTTTACACTCTTTCCCAGCAAGCATAGTTGTTTCTACTTCAAAATGGCAGCACAATCACACGCTATGTATCAGGAAGTCCCCGCTGACATAGATATTCTACCCACAGGTTGAAGAGCTCGAGTTATCAAAAGCCAAGGCAACGGAACTGCTAAAGGCCCATGATGGAAGTGTGCACAGCGCGATGAAGTCTTTCATTACTCCACCGGTATAGAGCATATTGGGGCGAGCATAAAGGGTTATCTTCCGCATTTGTTATGGGCATAGCGTTGGAGTTTCGGGAATTTGTCGAAGAATGATAAAGCCGTACTTTAAGTAGGGGCTCGGGTATAGGGTATCTGCAGATCACTGAGTCCAGTGAAATAAAAGCATTGCATCTTCAGACATGGTGTTTACTACTCACTGGCTCTTGCGATGGCAAGCACTCGAGCAAGTGCCGAGCGGCCTTCTTGGTTCTAGTGTCTCCTATTCTTGAGGCTACCTATGTACATTCCTGGCATCCATCAATACTCCAGCCTATCGCCAATACAACAGCAAAACCTTCATGATATGAGCTATGGCAGCGTCAATTCAGCTTCCCAAGCCCTCTCCTTGTATGATTTTTCAATGGCTGCTATACGAAGTTCACCTTTGACGTCTATCTCTCTCTGTTGCTACCCCTCCTGCATTCCCCTCTGTGAGACGCCTTTTGTTGTTCTTCGGGACAATAGACAGTGCGTAGATCCTCCCGTGTACCAAGTATCAGCCTCGCTTCCGAGGTCGAAGCCCTCCAATGATTGGGAAGCGGGAGCGTGCATGCGTAGCAGACGTACAACAGAGGATTGGCTAAGTGCCACACCGGAGAAGCTTCTTTAATGAACCTGTCACCGTAGGACCAATCCTGCAACAATATGCTACGTTCCACAATGGGCTTCAGCCCATATATTGAAAGAGTACAAAGCGTTCCCATGCCAAACGTCTACGCAGATAGGCGGCCGCACCTCGAGTTCAGGAGCCGTTGCTCCTGCTCTTCCCTGATAATGGCAGCCATCTGTCAGTCCGTGACACAAGGTCTGCGACGAATCAGGGCAGCCCTGAATATCATGATCGTGGAGTTCATGGTCATTCATGTTGAAGCTGTTGGTTTTCTGGAGTTTTGGAGTTCTTGCTCTTCGTTCTGGCTCCCCCCTCTTGGGGATTGAAACTAGTGTAATACGTCCACAATGCTATCTTCGGCCGCGAGATCGTCTCTCCTCTCCTAGTCGAAGAAAACTTCTACACAACTCTATTGGGGTTGGCGTTCCTGCTGCTTTGGTATTATTTATGAGGATGTAAGTTGAACAATACAACGCCTCCAAATGCGTCAACCTCGCACCGTGCTCCTCTTCACAATTCTACATCTTGAAGATATGGGGTATAAGCTACCCGCTCTGATCGAAAACGGGGTTAATTCTCTGTGGATTCTCAGAAAGGTGTAGCTAGAGGACTACATACATCATGGTAGCGACATTTGTAAGCACTCATCTTGGTGATATGCCCACTCAACTGACCTTCGCCAGTTCTTCTTTCGTTCTCTATACGCCTTGATAAACGTTTCCGCCTCTTACAACACGAACCTATACCTATTGGAGCAACGAGAATTTATTTTAGCCAATCCTTCAGACGGCCAAAATCGTATCTTGGGTTCGCAGATGGGCATCGCCTTGGAGCAGATTATGCTGATTGCAATTTGGGGCGTCAAGACTTGCATCTGGCTGTTTCTGAGACGTCTATGGTAAGAATCTAATCCATGCATCAAGTTCATTTAGAACTAACATTCCTCCTAGCCGTCAACTGCCTCGCCATGTTCTGGATTTCACGACCGCCTCCCGGGCGCAAGCTGCTTCTCTCAACTGTCTTCTCCATGGCCATCTTCACCGTCGTCGCCGCCATCCTAAACAAGTAAGTTGGCCCTCACCGCCGAGCGAAGCCGTCTCAGCTAGCATGGATGGGAGTCAGGGGTGAGTTGTTTGGGATTTTCCCGATTGCGCTTCTCCCCTTTATTCAGACCCTCTTCGCCCCCACGTAATGAGCTCGATTGATGGAAGGGGGATAGGTAAGGAAGCTAGCCGCTTACCCCGGGGCACGTGTCTAGCGAAGCGACAGCACCCCCAAATCAAATTTATATAAAAATATCGATAAAGACCAAAACAAATCCAAAAACCCTCCGAAAATGGAGAAAAGAAAACAGAACCGATCACCGGGACCTGATCATCACCTCCTGGGTTATGCCCGGAAGATCCGTTTGGGACAGCGCCGATCGGCATACCCAAAGCGGCAAGCCGACAGAATTGCGGAGAAGCTAGAAATGTGGGGAGCTTGGACTTGCATCTGTCTAACGTGAGGTAAAGCTATCCCCATATAAACCCATTTATTTACACAACGTCAGTGATTACAGCGTGGGATCGAGGGAAGAGGAGATATATGACATATATATTTTTGGCTATTTTTTCGGGCTCCTCCCTCGCACGGGGAAATAAAAAGAAAAAAAGAAAATATGGGAATGAGAACACCTCCATATGCAGAGGGAAGACCCCGATAGGTCTAGACGCGGGTGGCAAGAGCTACCTTACCCCGCGTTCTGGACTGGAGCCACGAGATCAAAAGGCCGTTGACGGAGTGTTCGGATGGATACCGTATACAGTAAGTGGCAGTTATTTATATACGACGTATGTACAGGATAATACAGGATATATACAGGATATACACCTAAATCGGAGCCACGTCTCTCTCTTTCGTATCAGCCTCGGGCCACCTTCTGCTTTGCCTTTGCATTTCCCCTTGGTGTTCTGGGTCTAGACCCGCAGAGAGACATCGTGACCCGATTTTGCGTTGGCCGTGGCACCTTCAAGAGAACACATTTATTTAAGAAAATCTCCTCATTCTTCTCCTCTCTTTACTCTTCATTCCTCTGTCTTCATCTCTCCTGATCTTCTCTTCACCTCTCCCCTCTCCCCTCTCCCCTCTCTCCAGTCTCAGAATGAGCTCAGCTCTTCACTCCCTACCTCGCGCAGCAACCCGCTCCCTCCGCTCCCTCCGCGCCCCCCTCCGCGCCCCCATCCTCTCCCGCAGCCTCTCCTTCACCCGTCGCCTCATGGAGGCCAACCCACCACGCCCACCTCCCGCCGCCCCCGATGCCGAGGACGCCGCGCTGCACCACCAGAAGACCGCGCCCACCTACCTCGGGACTACCAAGCGTCTTCCCGAGTTCAACCTGGTCGACAAGGTCGTCTTAGTATCCGGCGCGGGCCGCGGTCTAGGACTAGTCCAAGCCGAAGCCCTCTTAGAAGCCGGAGCCACTGGTACCTCTCCCCATCCGTGAACCCCCCTTTTCCTCTCAGCCAATCTTGCGCTGTGTTCGAGGAGCGCAACAATAGCTGATGATCCCGGCTCTCCCATAGTATATGCCTTAGATAGGCTCCCAGAACCATCCCCGGATTTCGCGCGCGTGCAGAAACGAGCCGCCGAGGAGCTCGGCACCTCGCTCTCATACCGCCGCATCGATGTCCGCGACGTCGAGGCCCTGAACGCCACGGTGGCCGAGATTGCTGATACGCATGGCCGCATGGATGGCCTGGTTGCGGCGGCTGGCATTCAGCAGGAGACGCCGGCGTTGGAGTATACCGCCAAGGACTGCGATACCATGATGAGCGTCAATGTCACGGGATGTTTCATGACGGCGCAGGCAGTTGCGAAGCAGATGATTCGTTTTGGGAACGGAGGCAGTATGGTGTTGATTGCGAGTATGAGTGCCAGTATTGCGAACAAGGTTAGTTTCGCGTCCCCTGTTTTCCTTCACCACTTCTCTTTTCTTGTCCGAGTATCGACTGGGAGGGAGATTCGCTTGCTGAATGCACAACAAAGGGTCTCATCTGCCCCGCCTACAACGCCTCCAAAGCCGCAGTGCTGCAGCTGAGCCGCAACCTGGCTAGCGAATGGGGCCAGTACGGCATCCGGGTGAACACGATCTCGCCGGGCTACATCGTGACTGAGATGGTGGAAGCGCTCTTCGTGCAGTACCCCGAGAGGAGGACGGACTGGCCGACGCAGAACATGCTGGGCCGGCTGAGCAAGCCCGAGGAGTACCGAGGCGCCGCGGCCTTCTTGATCAGTGATGCTAGCAGTTTCATGACGGGTAAGCGTTCCTTCGCCGCTGATTCTCGAGTGTTTGGAGATTGGTTGGCTGATATTCATATGCGAACAACAGGGTCGGATTTGCGCATAGATGGCGGCCATTCCGCTTGGTAGAGGGATGGGTGAGGAGTGATGAGCGAACCCCTATTAATGTTTAGTTTCAGGGAGAGATTCCTGTAGTCCTCAAGCATTTGTATAGGAATTAGCGTGATATAGAACGTACAATAATCAGCAAGGGTTCTTCCATCGCAAAAGGACCCAAGAAACATGGTCCATATACCCACATCCAATGTTCTCTCAAATCCCTTTTCCCATATGCATATTGATACAAGTATCCCCCACAGAACGCCATGCAATGACAGACATCCCCTCAACCACATCACATCTCATCCCCAACACCCACCACACCCTTCCTCCCCAACATCCCCACCACACCCCTTCTCAATCCCAACCTCCTCTCAATCTCTTCCCCCTGAACGCCCCTATCCCGCATAACCAGCGCCTGTCTCAACGTCACAACATCCACGAACCTCCTCCCCTGACTGTCCCTCTTCCCGACCCTCCCAAACTCCTCCTCCGCCTCCTCCGCCAACCTTCTCCTCGCCTCCAGCAACCCTATCGCCGCATTTCGTCTCGCATCCGGATAGATCGTCTGGCCCGGGCTCGTCCCTTGGAATCCTCCTGCTCCCGGCATCGCTTCCCCGACCCGCGGCGCTTGGTTAAACGTCGATGAGTTGGACATTGTGGGGTTGGGAACGACGGGCCCGAGTTGGCGTGCTCGCGCTGCTAGGTCCGGGTCCATGGCGTCTTGCTCGATGGCTGGGGAGGGGGCCGCGTTAGCTTGTATTATTCGCTATCAAGTTGAAAAAAAGACAGATGGTGAAGAGTGAAAAACTCAGAAATAGAAATAAGAAATAGAAAACAGGGATGAGAGTAGGAACTTCGGGATAGGTAGGTACTGTACCTGCGGTGCGCTGAGCAGAAGGAGGCGTCGAGGGATGTACTGTCGGGCCCGGTTTCATAGGCTCTGCAGGTGGTACTCGATTCGTGGTGGTAGGTGACCTTGTAGGATATTTCCGCGCTGTGCTGCTAGTAGCAGAGAGCTTGCTGGCGCTCTTCGCAGCTTTGGATGTTGCGTTGCCCATCTTATCTTGTCTCCGTGATCAATCAATCGCTCAATGACGAGGTGTGATGATCGTGATGTATGGTCGTCGTCGGTGGCATGAGATTTGACGAGGCGAGTTGAATTCAAGTACACGTGATCCTCAGCCTTGTCGCGCGCGGGAAGTGGAGTTCCCGTGTGTTTAGGGAGGAGTTGGAATCTTGCCTGCACGCCTTAGGTATTACATATTTCCTGGCCGTTCGCCCCTTGCGGCGTACGCTGGAAAGCGAAAACAATGAAGAGCTGAAGTGCAGCGCTTACAGTAAAAGCCTAGGGATGGTTAGATAACGGACCTGTGAAAGCGGCGCATTTGTAACAGATGCCAGGCTCAGGTCCAAAATCACCAATTTATTTCAAGTATCTATCAACAATCGGTCAATTGTGTAGCATTTCAAGCACCCTCTTCTTTTCTTTGAAAGCGTTGATGGCATTTCTGATAGTATCTTGGATTCCAAAAACGGAAACACATAGGATGTGGTTAGTTTTGTCGCGTGGAACCCCTTTTTAAAGTTGCATCGGGTAAGGTAAGGTAAGCAATAGCCAAAAGCGTGGGCTAAACTCACATCTTACCACTTCCGTACATTTTATTCAATCAAAGATCAGAATATTCTTTATTCCCAAATGATTATTGACACAAATGCCGGAAATGAATTTAACAATGGGACGAGAGGAATGAACCGACAAAGATAACGGCAAGACAAAGACGATTCAATTGCGCCGAGCTATATCCATGTATATATATTTCTCCTAATATTACCTACCACCTTCACTTGAACGATCCATTGCCTTGGACTTTGCAATCATACTGTTTCTATTTCCATATCACAGAGTTATCCAAGATGGCAGATGATCTGATGCAATATGAAACCTATCGTGGGTTAGCAAAAGGGTTATCAAATCCCATGTCTCACCGTCAACAACGCGAATGGTTGCACCGCTCCAAGGATTGGCCCGATCTGGGAGGAGAAAACAATTATAAAGCTCGGAAGATAGTTGGTGCTGGCGGGCATGGGATCTGTGGCCTCTGGGAGTACACTGGAGACTCCCCCGACAAGCCAAAACATCTTGTGGTCAAGCAGGTCGGGACGAAAGACGAGGGGCTGCGGGTCGAGTCGAAACTGATGAGGGATATCATGAGAGCAGGCGGCTCGGATCATATTGTCAAGCTCTACAAGTCCGCATATTCAGAAGGGGGGAGTGGTACTTCCAAGGCGCGAGATCCCTGGCCATTCACAAGCGGCGGCAAATACAGAAAAAAATACCAGGTGAGCCGGCTATTTATGGAGTACTGCGAGAATGGAAACTTGGCTTCAGAAATCGCAGAGGTTGTTAGGAATGGCTATGACCTGCCAGAGGAATATATTTGGAGGGCATTCGAATGTCTTGCGAGCGCCTTGGTGTTCCTTGATCACGGGAACGAAGAGACGGATGACGATGCGGAGACTTGGGATAGCCCCATTTCCCATTTTGATATCAAACCAGGTAACAGTAAGTTCCAGGCTCCTTGGATAAACGTTAATCATCATCAGTGAAGAGGAGAGCTAATCGGTTTTAGTACTAATCGGAACACATGACGAGAATCATCCAAGGCTCCCTGTTCTCAAGGTAAGCAATCATGAAAGATCGATAATGACCGTGATATTGACAGCCTTCAGCTGTCAGATTTTGGGCTCGGTTTACCCGTTCCTTCTCAAGTGAGGAATGCGGAAAAATGGCAGACTTGGAACAGAAAGCGAAAGAGGATCTGGATGGAGGATGCACAATGGCGAGCTACCCCGGGTTATATCCCCCCTGTAAGTCGCCAGGAAGCCCTTGACTTCCATCCATATTGACAATTTATATCAGGAACAATTGTATCATGACTACAAGAAACGAATTATCGGACTGTCAAACAATATATGGTCTGCCGGTGTCATTATATACGAGTTAATGACCAGAACCAACTTCCAAAGATGCACTGTGATTAGAGAGGAAAAGGGCCGGGAGATAGAAGTTCGTCAACGATTCTTTAAGAAGGAGACTAACACTGCGTGGGGGCCCAGAAAGTTCTACACTTTTGGGCGAAGACTACTTAAAAGTCCCTACAGCAAACGCTTGGTTGACTTAGTCCATCAATGCCTTGCATTGGATCCCCGGAAGCGGCCACCAACTCGATACGTTCTCCGCACTGTACGCGAGACACTGAGTACAATAGAACAAGCTTCTACCTCGTACAGTAACGAAGATGAGCAGGTTATGCTAGGAGAATATGAACCCGACCCTGATGACACCACAGGTAGCCGCTATACTGCGGTTGGAATCGATGAAATGCCTACAGAGAGGGAGAGATTTGCCATTATGCGAGAACCAACTGCAGATCTGCGAGATTGGGGGGTAGAGGATGAGGTTGACTCCCCTGCACTGCTGTTTGATGATGGACCGTATCTTGATCGAAACAATTGGCCATGGCCTTCTGCTTTGGATAGTTCACCATCGGAATCACCACGGGACTCACCACGGCATGAAGAACAAAAGCCTGAGCCGTCTGGGTCTCGACGGGCCGGACCGCAACGGGCCGAATCGCAACGCACAGCTTCACAACACCAAGTATCACAGAAGGCCAAATCGCAGCCCACAGCTTCACAACCCGCAGCTTCACAACCTGTAGCATCACAACCCGCAGCTCCACAACCCGTAGCTTCACAACCAGCAGCTTCACAACCAGCAGCTTCACAACCAGCAGCTTCACAACCAGCAGCTTCACAACCAGCAGCTTCACAACCAGCAGCTTCACAACCAGCAGCTTTACAACTAGCAGTCCCACAACCCGCAGCTCCACAACCCGTAGCATCACAACCCGCAGCTTCACAACCCGTAGCTCCACAACAAGCAATACCTGCGCCCCCTCAACCTACGCAGGGCCCACCACAGGGTGTGGCCCAGAACCAGCCAAACCCCCGAGTTTTAAGAAGAAGCACACGTTCGACTGCCGGTAAACCCCCCGACAGATACCAGTGACACCCGATGGAACCCAAATGAAACTCAATAATTAGGTTCTTCCTTTCGAATTTATGGGGTCCCAAAGAATGTGTACTTAGCAAAACTAGATTCAAATGTTGTGATGGTAGTTTGGTTTTAAATGGATAATAGAAAGTCCCAAATTCAAATGCCATGATGATTTGGAAGGAGTTTGAAGCAAGATCCAGACAAACATCAGTGATATATAATAGTCAAAGTAAAGGAGAATGAACGCGTGCAGAGATGAAGTGTCAAGGATTTTAAGCCTCGTGTAGAAGTACCTGGAAACGAGGATGTGATAAGCTGGCACACTATGCATCTTTCAAAGTCGCACTGATCACTAGATCGCAAGACATGTATTCTCCAAATGCGCGTGGACTTCACTGCTCGCCGGAAGTGTTGAGATCCATAAATATGCACCTTGCATTGAGGCTCTTAATGGCCGTATGGATCAGGAGCTAATGACCGCTAGAACACCATTCTCATCTTAAGTTTGTCTCCCTTGACGATCTCATCCTCTTTGCTATATAACTCTGGCATATCCCAAGGGGCGCCAATATATCTGCCGGCCAACCATACTCGCCTCTCGGACGTTAATGACACTATTGTGTCTCCGGAAAGTGCTGGTTGATGTACCAAGACTGCAAGATATTAGAATATTATAACGGTTGTCACAAGGGGTACTCACGAGGCCAGGAAGCTTCTGGCATCTTTAAGCTCATGTCCGACTTCACACCTCCCGGGTGGACGCAGTAGGCCAAGACTCCTTTCTCTGCATAATCTGTACAAATAAACTCGGTGAATCTCAACAAGGCGTTCTTGCTGGACTTGTAGCCGCTCGCCCCAGGTGTGAAGTTAAGCGCTCCCGTAGATGCAAGGTTAACTATCGTCTTATCCCCTCCCTTCAACATCAAGGGTAGCAATGCCCTCGTAACCAAGTACACGCCTTTTATATTGAGCTCCCAATTCATCCACCATTCCGCCGGATCCGATTCGATGAGAGGGACGAAACTACTCAAGTATCCAGCATTGTTGATCAATATATCCAACCGTCCAAATTCTTTCTCTATCTCCTTCGCAGCAGCCTCCACGCTCTGGAGGTCGACAACATCGAGTTTGATCTTCAAGATTTTGGGGGCCTTTTTTCCAGCTGCTTTCGCCGCAGCTTGTAGTTCGGTTTCGAGGCTGGTGAAGTCGGAGCGTGCGCCGAGTGCGATGCCTTCTGCACCTGCTTTTGCGAAGGAGATTGCGGTTGCGCGGCCCACTCCTTTGGAGGCGCCGGTTACGAAGACGAACTTGCCACTCAAATCGGCTTTCGCAGAGTCGATGGCGGGGTAGGTATCCAAATGGGTGGTTTTGGTAAAGTTGGGCGCTGGTCGTCGTTAGCACGGAAATTGGTAGACCTTGGCGACCCCGATCGTACCCGTATCTGGTGCCACCGGCGGGTAGGAGTAAGAAGACATCTTTTGTTTGGAGTGATATGTGAGTAGGGCTTGGGAGAAAGAATCGATTGAGAGAGAAAGAGAAGAGAACAGCAAATAATACTTAGACGTCTGGGTTAGCAAGGAGTTCCTGATATAATCACCATGCGAATCGGAGAATTGGTTAACTGCGAGTCCCTAAATCCGAGTGGAAACAATCCAGATAGAGCTTCAGAACTCCCATGGTACTGTATCTCCTTACTCCGTACCCTGAATGACGATGCTTGCCTTTGTACGGAGTACGGTGCAAGGAGTTCAGGGACTCGTGGAAGCGCACGTGATATTCAGCGCAACCCAACAAGGTAAAGTACGGAGTAAAGGAGTGCTGTGGACCCTGGGTCTGGACCTTGTCCATCGACCAACACCATCAACACCAACACCGACAAGCTGGCCACGGCTTCAGACCTAAACCTCTCACCTATCACTCTATTGCGTTTCCTTTGCATTTTAATTCTGTTGATAACTTCATACACACAACTAACCTCGGCCATTGCGGACGGTTCATTTGCTAACCTAGTAACCGCCGTCTTTTGTGCCCAATTACGCGGCAATTTGCCAATATTTCCTTGTGCTTGCCAAGCACTGCTTGGCAAATCCACTATATCGAGTCGAATTAGTATCTTAAACTCTCGGCATCGTCAGTTTTGCCCCCCCGGAACGTTTGGGAAATACGCAACTTTGTGAGAATATAAGTATCCGGCTGTCTGGGCGCTTCTCTCAATCATGGCTGTGCTGGGGCAAGTGCTTGGCAGGCCCGTCTTCATATTTGGACGTTTTCCCGTGCTCTCCCTCCTCCAGGCATTTCTCGTTCGTTATCCTTCGTCAGCCTTTCACTCGTTACCTGCAATAAATAATTTCTTCTCCTTAATCCAGGCGGCTCCGGTCTGTCGCATGTAGAAAGTGGACCTCAAAGTCGAATATTTTTTTTGTATTATTATTTCTTCGTGCTATGGTCGATCACTCAACATCATGAGGTTACCTTCATCATGGGTAGCTACGGCGGTTCTCTGCACGCTTGCAGGTCAAGGTGCTCGTGCAGCCATCAGTTTGGACCTAGCATCAACGGAGTCAATCAAGAAAGCGGCGAGCACTGTAGCATATGATTTGATGCGCTACTACACGGGGAACAACACAGGTGATGTGCCAGGAAATCTACCTGATCCTTATTATTGGTGGGAGGCTGGAGCTATGTCCGTCTTGTCACATTCCATTGATTTGGCACTTCTGCTGACGTCCGAGCAGGTTCGGGAGCATGATAAACTACTGGTACTACACAAACGACACCACTTACAACGACGTCACTAAGCAAGCACTTCTTCATCAAGTCGGCGAGGAAAACGACTACATGCCGAATAATCAGACCAAGACGGAAGGAAATGACGATCAAGGGTTCTGGGGCATGGCTGCAATGACAGCAGCAGAGACGAGATTCCAAGATCCTCCTTCCACACAACCGGGCTGGCTTGCACTTGCTCAAGGGGTGTTTAACACACAAGCAGCAAGGTGGGATAACAAAACCTGTGGTGGGGGACTTCGATGGCAAATTTATAGCTGGAATCAGGGATATAACTACAAGAACAGTATCTCGAATGGCTGTTTCTTCAATTTGGCGGCAAGGTTAGCCTTATATACTGGAAATACGATGTATTCAGATTGGGCGGTCAAGACATGGGACTGGGTTTCTGGTGTAGGACTGTTGTCACCGGCTTATGAGGTCTTTGATGGAGCGCAAAATACGGATAATTGCACGGCAAAGGATCATACAAGGTGGACATATAATGCGGGAATCTATCTTCTCGGAAGTGCAGCGATGTATAATCATGTGAGTCTTCCCTCTCATCAATCGTCGTACTCTCAGTCCTAACTTGAAAAATAAGACCAACGGCAGCGCAATATGGCGTGAACGCGTCATGGGCCTGCTGAACTCCTCCGAGGTCTTCTTTGTCAACGGCACCATGTACGAACCTTGCGAGTCCGGTATAAAGGGATGTAACGTAGATCAACGATCATTCAAAGCCTACTTCGCACGTTCCCTCGCCGCCACCGCGGAACTCGCGCCATTCACACACTCCATAATCATGCCAAAGCTCGCCAGCTCTGCCGCAGCGGCGATAAAGACCTGCACCGCGGGAAACAGTGGCACCCAATGCGGACTGAAGTGGACAACCGGAGCGAACGATGGGAGTCTGGGGGTAGGGGAGCAATTGGCCGTTCTGGAGGTGGTCCAGAGTAACCTCGTTGATGGAGCTCCGGGGTGGGTAAGTGCTGTTCGCGGAACGGGAACGAGTAAGGGGGATGTCAATGCAGCGAATGGATCAACACACAGTGAAGAATCCCTGATCATGGGACGGGTGACGACGGCAGATAGGGTTGGCGCTGGCATTGTAACAGCATTGGTTCTGTTGGGAGTTACCTGTGGATGTGTTACTATGGTAGTAGGGTAATAAATGATTTAATCCATGTTTTAGCTGTATTGCCTTGGTTCCGCTCTATAGGTAGAGATGGAAGGAAGTTGATCCAGATTCGTAAAGGGACTGACTGCTAGGTAGAAGAATAACCTTGCTTTTATATCTCAGTCATGCTGCCTGCAAGTACTGTACAGTAAAGTAAAGTACCGTACAGCAAAGTAAAGGAGATGCTTTACCTACTTTAAGGTACCTTGAGGTACTACGTATGCTTATCTCACGTGACGCAACCTGCCACGGCCACAGCCACTCGGCAATCCTTTGCAGCCGCAATGCTTGTTTCACCAACCCTTATAATTATCATCTAACCTAGCTTCTGCCATTCCTTCCAATATTCCCCCATAAGCGTGAGCTAAGGAGTAGGAATCAAGGATTTCAAAAGCCTCAATCGGCTGCGGGGTGGTACGTCACGTGGCTACCTACCACTCCTGTCCAGACGATGCGTCCATGGCCCGTTCAATCTATAAGCCAAAGCCCGAAACAATGGATCGGTGTCAGAGCTTCATCAGCGCCTTGATCTTCCTTCAGGTACGCTCGCTGGATGTGGTAAGATCTAATTCTGTAGCTGCACCACAGCTCAGAAGGGATGACCAATGATTGCGTCTCGCAGCCGCCTGCGATTTATGGCCACTACTACGCTCATGCTCAGTCAAATCCCTAGCAACATGTTCAATGTCATAGGTTTGTTCTCGTTCGGGAGACTCAGACCCCTAATTATGAGGTAAACCTTAGTTGACATGTCTTATTATACTCCGTACGTTGGCAGTTTTGGGTTGGACAGATGAATTTCATGCACTACTGGTATATGTCCCAGTCGGTTCGCATAATGGAGGAACACTCCACAGAGTCCACTGACACTCTGGACTACTCGATACTGCGAATAGGCAATGACAGGGAAGTACAACAAGCTTATCGTTTCAAAGGCATCGAAAGAAGCGGGGAAATGCTCCGCTTACCAGCGGTTGGCTGGTTTAAATAAACTGAATCCGCCAATCCTCTGATCCACTGATCCCAGATCCGCTGAGGCTCAGCGACCTCACCAGATTCAGCATGAACCTCAGCCACCAAAACCGGAAGCGTGAGAGAGATCTCTCTCAGCAATGGACGATGAAGAAAATCCATATATTTCATGTCCAATCCGTCAGTGAAAATCCATCATCCTCATCAACGAGCCTTCCAACAAAACAATCCTCTCTCTTCCTCATCCTATGTCATCATTTCAAGAGACGATTCGATTTCTCAGGCTCCGATTTTCAAGTCCTTGGAACTTCGATCTTCGAGGCCGAAGAAAGTCCTCTAGCCAGTCTTACCAGGCTCTACGCTCCTCTTCCCACATCAGTATTCTCGAGTCGACCTCACTCCCTTGCTCGCCATAAGCTTTGACTCCCTCTTAACTTCGAAGCCTTGAAACTGGAAAGACCTGAAGCATCAACGGTCAGGACTGAAACTCCACAAGAATAAATTCGCATCTACGAATTAACCCCTTGATCCTAAGCGACTTCCGATAACAATAGCCCGACACAAAGCAACAATGGCTGACACCGACTCTCCTGTCGAATCCAAGGTACGGGAAGTTCTCCACGACATCTCATTTTTTGAACGATATGATCTCCCCGTTTCACCACCATTTACCCCTCCAATGAAGGGACAAGCAAAGATGGCCGACTCCAAAGCTCCTTTCACTCCCATGAATCCCGCTTTGGATAAGATGTTCCCTAAGTCACCTCCCGAGAGCCCTCGCAACACCCTCAAGAGGAAGTTCTCGAACAATACCCAATCGGCACTGGCAGGTATCTTGACTCCTCCTTCCACCCCTCCAACCAATATGATGCATTCCACTTTAGCCCGAACCATGACTGGTAGTGATGCGAAGAAATTTGATTTCACAATGGTATGTCCCAGCCCTTCCAACTCCGCATTTCGCTAACCTCCCCTTTCAGTCTCAGACCAGCAGGAGATCCACACTTACCAGGAGGCCCACCATCATCACAGCTGACTTTGGTGATATGTCGCCATCCCGGCGCTACTCCAGAGTATCCAGGTCCTCGAGCTATTCGTCTGCCGCCGGCACCCCTTGTAGCTCCAAAGACGCCTTGGCTAGATGCAAGGAGTACGAAGCTCTCTCCACCGAGTCCCAATACCCGATTACCTTGCCCTCACCATCGTACTTCGCCCGAGGTAGCACGCCCCCTCCCAACACCCCGATGTACCCCATCGCCGGGCTGGTCCATTACGACGGGGAATCCAAGCAGGCCGGCGCGCAAGGGCAATCCTACCCAGGGCGCTCCAATCTCGGCACCTCATCAGCACTAGGCTTTGGATACCCGGCACAGTACCCGACGCTGCCGGGGCCTGAGGACTTCAAGTTCCAGGAGCGCGGAATCGAGGATCTGGAGAAGCAGCGCGTGAGGGGGTATGACGACGAGGACGGCGAGCGAGCGCTGAAGGACCCGGGGCACCCGGACCACAAACGGCACTGCAAACGTAAGGCACTTCTCTGTTGCATCCTAATTGCCATGATCCTCGCTCTCATCCCAATCATCATTGTTATTGTCGTGGTGCTGAGGAAACACAGGAAACTCCATTCTCGATGCGCCAGTGTCCCCGGCTTCTACATGAATGGGCAGTGGCAGGACGGATACCAGAAATGTTGAAGTTGAAGAAAGAAACGACATTTCATTTTTTTCGAGTGTTGGGCGGCGTTTTGCATCGCATGCATCATCAGGAGTCGGGGAAGGCGTTTGGCGTACTATCTCTCCATTTCTCTTCCTCCTTTCTTTTCCCTTCGAAAAAGATCAGGGCTTTCTTGCGGGACTCGCAGCTTTCAGGAGGAGACCTTCTTTTTCTCTCCCTTTTATACATTTCCTTTGTTACATTTCCTATGTATGTAGAATTAGGCATTGCATTTTCCGGAGTTAGGATCTGGGTTGAGTCATTTTTGTGGAGTATGTAGGAGTTTAGGAATTGAAAAGGGGATCCTTCTTTTGACACTAGTCTCTCTGCGCTTCTAGTAAAAACTTCTGATATTCCTGAGAGGAGGTTCATTTTTGAGTGAGCAGAGAAGCAAGTTCTTCCTCGGGTCCCTTTATTCCATACCTTCGTCTTCACCTTCATCTACATCTTTATCCCCGTAACTATGATCCGGATCTTCCTTGCCTCATACCACATTTTGCTATATATATCTACCATAAAACTTGAAATCTCTCCTCTCCTGTAGTAACAGAAAACATTTCGCTAGCTAGCTACATAGGCTCAAAACACGAAAAGTTCAACAACAAAGAACTTCGCACATGAACCAGCCCATTTTCAACAATTGCGCAACATCTCAAATCCGTCTGTCGATCCCTCGAGATTGCTCTATTCTGCTTTGTGCGTTTGAACTTTTCCGTACAGGCTCGGTCGTACTTTTTGCTTGTTTGTGGATCGGAAGGGATCTAGTCAGGAATAATAGAAGGAATACAGAGATGAGATGTCTTTAGATGATAGTACAGTTCGCTGGGTAGGGGGCGTAGGACGCAATGAATGGTATTCATTGTCTTGCTCCGCCTATCGTAGCTCCTAGGGTATTCTTAATTCCAGCGGTGCGAGGTTAAAAGAATTATTGAGTTTGGAAAGAGAGATAAATTACTTGGTCTATCAGCCTAGAAGCGTTAAAAACCTCAAACTTGGAGAATGACCAAGGCCGAAACACCAAATTTAATCAACCGAAAGAGGAACGATAAAGCCCCAAACTTTACCTTAACCAATCAAGAAATCTTCATTATCGACACATATACCTGTTTAAATATAGAAGCCCTTTCAAATATCACGTGGTCTGAAGTCAATGGTTGGTGGTTGAGGTAGGTAGGTAGGTGACTAAGCAGGCAGGATCTCGAGGCGTCGAATCCTAGGGATCAGCCTTAGGATCAAATCGCAGCTGCGGATTTGTAGGCGACCGACGATCAACCTGAGGATTCTCTTGGAAGACGCGGCGGATTTTTACAAGGCAGAGCTGCAGAAATGAGGATTTCTTCGAAACAGAGGAATTGCAACGCCGACTTCATTCACAGGCGGTGCAGCTCAGGCGGATTCTATATAGGATGATGAAGGTTCCACCAGTATATACTTCCGATGTTGAAATTCCATTTGTGTTCGAAAGAAATTTTTGGATGAGAAATGTGATGTTGTTCCAACCTACTACTTGATTTTCAGAAAGGAACTTTTGCTCCCTAAAGAAGATTTCTCGGCCGTCACGTATAACGAAAAACAATGCATGACGATGAACGAGCGCAACCTACGAACAAACAGACCACCCCAGAGCTGTCACCGCGATCAATCCCCAAAGACTCTGTCATGAGCAAAAACGAAAAGGATAATAAACACGCAATATACAACCCATTCGCGGCGGTTGAAGATAACTCACCGGAATCATTGTATTACGCATCGCCGCAATATCCATCGGCTCAAAAAATGGACCAGAGCAAAGATATCAAGTTTGGGAATGTGGACTGGACAATCCAAAAACCTGATCCCACAAGACCAAGAGCAACATCGCATGTGCAAGTAGTCAAGACGGTGAAGTCGATATCGCCAAGGCAATCTGTATCAAAGCCGCCGTTTTATCGGCCTAGCGATTCTCCCAGCCATTCTCCCCCACTCGCTTCAGAACCTCACAAGTCTCCAGGATTAGGTATCAAGCTCGGCCAGCAGAATAACTGGGTAAGACTTTTTGACCCTCCTGACAGACGAAGGCTTGACTGACACTTACAGTCACCCATCGACGAGAAAGACCACAGTGGAGTCACTACACCGCCCCTAACATACTATACACCATATCGAGAAGAGAACTTCCGGACTCACTTGGATGAAAAACACCCCTCCTGGGAGCCAACCCAGGCACCTGGATCGCGATACATCCCCTACCGAGGAGACTTCGAAGATGTCGAACTCGCGAGACCCAAGCAGCCCGGCGGGTACCCCCAAGTCCCTCCTCCCTACCTAGTCCAGCCGACGCCGACCGCCGCTAGATCTGATAAATGTATATGGTTCCTGTATGCGCTTATCCTCCTCATTCCATTGGCAGTCGCGTTGGGGGTATTTGGCGGCGTGTATCATTGGAATTTCAGGGACGAACGGTGCTCGATATCGGGAGGAAAATGGTCTGAGGATTCGAAGACGTGCCAATACTGATAATATGTGTATAGTATGTTAAGGCCTGGAGGAGGCCTGTTGTATATTTGCTGAGATGTTTCTTTCTTTTCTGGCGTTTGGTCCGAGCAGGCGGGGAAGCCGCTCAAGTTTGTACCATTTCAAAAATCAAAAGGCTTGAATTCCTCCTCATTCTACCTCCAGACTGTAATTGTGCCAGTGCGTCCTATCCCCATCTCCGGAGTCATCTTATCGGTATGCGGGCGCCCAGAGAGCAGGATTCGGCGTGCGGACCGCGACGTTGTGACCTGAGTGTGCGTATCAGTTGAGATGACCGCTGTCCTGCTTCAGCCTGCTTTCACTCATCAAGGCTTGGCGATGATCGGTCTCCGTCGACTCATGTACGAAGAAGCGCGAGGCTGGGCTATCTTAAGCTCAGAAGAATTCCAGAATGCAGATGGATTCAGAATGGTCTAGGGCGTCTACCTGACGAGGTCTAATTTTGGGATTCGAGAGCCGACGCTAAAAATAAACATCGAAGCTTGGACACTATGCCTAATCTGAGCTCCCCCTATCGCGATTTGGTCCGTGGGCTTATGAAATCCCGCTGTTATATAAGGTACCTTACTATATAGTTTTGGGACTTTATTTCATTCTCGTTTGATCGTATTCCTTAAATAAGGCTGGGACAAGAAGAGAAAAGAGAAGGGATCGGTAGGTACCTAGGTAGGTAGGTAAGGTAATATACAGCATATGCACGTGACTCGGGTAGTACTGTGGCTCCTTGGGCATCTAAGCTTCCATCACACTACCCTAGGTACCTAGGTAGTTAATTCTTAGTGGAATGTTTATTTCGGGCTAAACTTGTAGCATTACGCTAAGACCACCTGCTAGCCCACATGTACAGTTGGAGTCTCGCACAAAGGCCAGCCCAAGGGGTCGCTAGAGGTAACAGCCAATACCTCGACGTCCCGTTTATAAACCATCTCAATCCTAGGATTTTCAATATCTAATGAACAGATACTGAGAGTCACCTCAAGGTGCTCAAGCTGCGGCAAGCTCTCCAAGGGCCCATCAAGAAGCTCAGCAATCTTCACGAGATGCTTAGCCAAATACACCACCCAGCGGTTGGTCTGCCAGTAGCTCTCTGATACGTATATCTTCCGATCTTTCGTCACGCACATGAGAGTAGGGTCTTCTTCGGAAAAGGTTTTTAGAATTGCGTCACTATTGCGCGGATTAGTATGAAAGGCTACTGCAATGCATTTTTAGAGAAAGGGGCGATTAACTACTCACATTCTTTCAGGTATTGCGCCAGAATCGTCCCAGTACGCATAATCTAAAGAGTAGCTAACAGGTATCGCTTGGTCGAGGATTAAGCGTTGAATCTTGTTGCCAAAGAACCGGACCACCGTGTCGACAAGGTGCTCTGCCGATTTAAATGATCCCAAATCAACAGTCAGTGTTGTCGGCTGCCACAACAGGCGCTCCAAGTGTTCTGCCTCCTGCCGAAACGGCACTTCCAGTGGTTCCCAACCATCTTTAGTCTCTTCGTATGTCAACATAGGGGACGTGGCGTACTCGAACCGTAGATGCGCTCCTAGCGGGCGACAAAACTCGATGACAAAAGAGCGCGCCTCGTGGCAAACAGCAGAGATCGGGAGAGAGGCAACGAGGGTTTCGAAGTCGTTTTCTTCGAAGCGCAGCTTGAGCACACCAGGATGGTCCAAAATACGGACACGTAAAGCTTGCTTGGAGTCTTCTGGAATGCTGCCAGTAAGTGCCAGTCGCCGCCGCTCCGCCCAAGAATACTCCTCCGCAGGTGGAAGACGGTCCGCGAGGTCCTTGACATAAATTGGGACAGCGAACTCCCAGATTTTAATCCTTAGCTCAAAGGGAAGTTCTGAAAATCGAGGAAACTCAGATGCGATTTGCGACATCGTTAACTCGACAAAGGGTTGGAGGAAGCTTGAGTTGAAGTTGTTCGTGATTGTTACAGAATAGTTGTAGGTTGTAAACTATCAAACCAACGGATGTTGAAACGTGCACTGCCACAAGCACAAACCCCCCATTTCTATTTTGACGACCATGAGGCTGTGTAATATCATAGCTGCGGCCGTTCCCGCTCCCCGCCTCATTCCCGCTCCCCGCCGCATTCCCGCTCCCCGCCCCGTCCCCGCTTCCCGCTCCCAGTCCCGCTCTTGCTAAAATCGGTACTAACAGCAGAACGTTAACATGTTGGATTGGCGGCCGATACTCAATTTTGGCTCTTCCAAGGCCCAGTCCTCTCATCCTACTAAGACGGACTGCGAACAGGATCTGTGCCGTTCCTTAAGGAAAAGTTGTTGCAGCCACTCTTCACTCAATACAGTAAACCAAGACTTCCTTCAGGAATCTGTTGTTCTTTGGAGAGCCTCATCTAACTATCAGTTGTTGAGCAGCTCTAGACATGTGCACACACACATATATAAGTAGAAGTCTTTCTCCTTGGATAGAAGTATACATGAACAGTCCAAGATCTTCACATCATAAACAAATCCCATCAATTCGAGTCTATTCTGCTTGTTTCATTGCTTTCCGACAACCCTTTTCCTTATATTCAGCCGGGCTACAGCCATGAAAGCCCTTAACCTTCTCCTATTTGCCGCTATTTCTTTAGGGGGCTTTGGTGAAGCTGCTCCTTATGCAGCTAATCTCGAAGAAACCTTACCGTCGCTCGAACCGGTAACAGGCGAAACACTACCTGTACTTCTACCAAGGGACGACAAGATCCCCGCCTTCAAAACCGTATCGCTAGCACCTCAAGCAACCTCTTACCACTTTTACAAAAGCTCCGACTCTCAAACAGATAAAGACCCTGCTGTGGCGGCCGTCCTCTCTAAGATGAAGCAAGATGGGCTCTTCACCGCCGTCGTTATGCGTGGAGCGAAGACGTCGATTGTGGGTCCCCCCGAAGGCAAGGTAAGGCCTGATAAATTCGTGATGTCGCAGCAAAAGAAAGGCGAGAACGCCCTTGTCACCAATGGCGGCTTTTTCATCGTATCAGATCCTCTTCTAAAGGCGGATCTTAATGGACCTCCTCTCGACCCGAAAAAGTACCGAGCCTTCGCGGTCGGCCCCACGTCTGTCTCCAAGAACAGTGTCGCTGTGCCCGGCGTGTATGCGGACCTTTATGAAAAAATCTCCGGCGACGACGGTAGTTTCTTGACTTCCGGGCCTGACTTAAAGAAGCCGGTCGACACGAAAATCCCCGATCCGAAGCTAGCGAACACAAAGGCCGGCCGGCTACAGTACTGGGTCAAGACTCCCGACGGAAAAATGGTTCCCAACCCTGCCAAGGACAGAAACAACCCCTATTTGCAGACCGTTTTTACACACTTGCCCGGCGGGCTATGTACGGTGAACGAGCCCAATGAGAGGAACGTGCTGGTATATGTAGGCGGTGGCATAAAGATTGCCGTTACCTACAACTCGCAGAGATCGAAGGGCATGAGGATTAATGAGCTGAGGACCTTGATTGACCAATTTTTGAAGAGCTATTTGAAGAAGAGCATTGACGACACCCAGATAGCGCTCAATTTGGATGGCGGCGGGAGTATATTCATGGGTTGGTTAAAGGATGGGAAGTTGAGCATATTGGCTGCAGGAAGTGTATCTGGCGGGCCAAAATTATACCCTCAGAATCCTAAAGGATTGGCGTCCGGGTTTAGGGAGGTGCCGAACATGGTGAAGCATGATTTAGTTTAGGAGATGATACCCCCAAAAGTTTTGGTTTTAATAGTTCAATCGAGTTGGTCCCACAATAGGAATAAAATACTAGAATTGCATTCTCGAAAGTAAAGTCTTTTCTGGAAGAGTACCTTACGTCCGCTCTGCGACAAATAACTCCACGGAATCGGCCTCCGCCACTCTATTTCTCCAGATAGTAGGTATATATAATAAAATAAATGTTTGTCTATCACATACGACCACAGACTAAGGAGAATTGGGCATCCCGTCCGCTCTGCCATACACAAGCCTTAGATCGGCAGATTAGTAGTTGGGTGGGTGACCACCAGCGAATACCTGCTGTTGTATGTTTTTTGGTTTTTTCTTTTCGTCCTTTTCTTTTTTCCTTATTAGACCAGCCCGCTTTGGAATAACTGTAAGCATCCAAGCCTTACCTCTCTTACATAGAAACCTTCTGCGATAAAACTGCCGCCTTTTTATTATTTTAAGTATCCAGGAGACGATGTGAGCTGGTGGCCGTTAAGCGAGCCCCTTTCCATTGTTCCAGCTCGACCTTGTCGGCGCTGGACTGTATCCGAAATGATTGAATGCGAGAAATCTAGGCTCTTTATTTAATAGAAGGTCGCCATTATATTTAGTTGTGCGTTTTGTACTACAATGAACAGGTATCGTTAAGGCGCCATCTTTGATCACAATTGATGAATCACTTTATATCACAAGAAGAAACTATGATTCTAGGAATGGGAATCTTTTCAATGAATTCATTTGAAGTTCAAGCTCATGCGCCGACTCATACTCTAGGCAAAGGAGCCTCACTTCCTCCATGTGTAACAGGGCGATTTCCTAGGAAGAACCTCACGTTCCACCCTCAGGAACGGGCCGAACGGCCCTAGAGGCTAGATATACTGCCATCTGCATGCTGAGCAATTGCTAGGCACTTGAATAACTGTTGGATTGGCTCTCCAATACTCTCACTTCAAACCTTGAACCAATCATCGTACATGGCTCGCAATCCTCCTGACCATAGCAGCCTATCATATTCCTTCACAAAGAACAAGTCCCTCTCCCTAACCGATTTGCCCAACTCCGACGTAGGCTTCGACTTCTTCATCATCCCGATAGCCTCGTTGACCTCAACCCACATAATCTGCAATCCATCCCGGCCCTCCACAGACAGTAGTTCAGTCTTCTCCTTATCCTCCATCATTCTCGCAACATAGCAAAAAGACTGCTGATGCAAATCACCCCTCCACTCTTCCGCCGCCGCAATACACTCCTCATACACCACAACCTCGCAACCGAGTTGCTCTTTAACGCTTTCTTCGCCCGCATTCTGGTGATCTGCATCGTACGCGACGATACCGTTGGGTAGGCTGTAGTAGCTTTTGTCTTTGTCTTCCAGAACCGCCATGTGGCCGATGGCGTTGATCACGATGATCCGGACGGCGTTGCGGTTGGTGTAGGTACGCTCCTCCTTCTGTCCTATAACCTTGGAATAGTTTCCGATGACCTGCTTGACCGGGGCGTTGCTTTGGTATTCGCGCGCCGTGCTGTTTGCGCCTCCCATGGTTTCCTCGACTGAAAGTTCGGTTGATGGCATTGGTGTAACGGACAGGTTTATTTGCGCGCGGGTTTATTTGAAAAATGTGAGATGTTCAGATAATGTGTATTGAAACAGCCGCATTAAAACAGGGAGGAAGCTCTTGTTGGAATGGATTGTTTATTTTCGAATGTGAGGTGAGGTGAGGTGTTCTGAGACACGTGCGGTAGGCGCAACTATCCTACGACTCGGACGAAGGAGCGTTCGTTGACATCCGCTCTGTATTGGAGCCCTCCGAAATGAGCTTTGGAGACCATAGACTCACCGCCTGGCGCAAAGAGATGAAAGTCAGATATATTTTACGCCCAAAGTTGTGACTTTGAGAATTTCAGGAGAGGAGGAGTTGTGGTGACGGGTAATGGGCAAAGTACCAAGTTCTTGTTATCTAAGATTGTTTCATGCTTCTTGCTACTACAGTGTAACTATTTGTTGCTTGTATCTTCAGATTATATATTGAGAGTTATTCTCTCCTCCTCGTCTCGTCGTAGTGCCTGATGGCTGGAAATTAATGAGGTTGACGCAAGGACAGGATTATTTTATATCATTTCCACTCTGAGAGTCATTGAACCGCCTGCGGAAGCTCCCTTCGCAAGTACTACTATAAAGCAGGTTCTGTCGCATTCTGTACTGTAGTGATTCCAATCAAGGTTCACTCCAAAAACCCCGGCCAGTTTGACGCCGTAAGAATGACCACTCCTTGTCACGGAGCATCTGAAATGAAGTTCCTTCCCAGCCTGCCCCAGTCTGGTGTACTCAGAGCTGCGTATCTTCCATGCTCCCAATAATCTCCCAGTCATGTTCGTCACTTTTATCACTTTCGTCGTCGTCGGGCTTCTTAGAGATTTCCAGCACCACTGTCGGACACTCCAAAACCCCAATCGGCTTGACATTATAGTCATCTGTCCATCGATCTCCCTCAGCTGCGGGAAGGTTAGAGAAACTTGCTCTACATCCACGCAACACAGAAAGGGAATAACTCACTCCTCCACGTATCCGGCGAACAATATTCATTTGCTGCCCAAGCAGTAACATGCACATGCCCAAAGCTGTTATACCGATTTCCAAATGCCGTGATCTCAATTTTTTGCTGGCCCTCTTTCCATTTTCCCATCTCCAAGGTACGAGGTTGAAGTGCAATCCTGCCAATCTGCTTCCTGCTCCTGACATCGGCGACACTGAGCACGGGACTCGAAAAATCCGGCACATGGAGTGATACTTTCGAGGTAGACGGTTTAGGGAGACAAGGAACGGAGAAACTGCACTTGTAGATGATATTTCCAACATAGAATGGTAAACCCTGAGTCGTTATATCTCCCCAGGTTAGCTTTTTGGGGTCAAAGGGTTGCAGGATCGCAGAGTTGCCCTGCAACGAGACATAGAAGTTGCCCAAGAGATAGATTCGTTCAACATTTGTAAGTATTCCAAAGGGGAAAGAAAGTGTCACGGTATTTCTTCCCTTGTGTATGAGATAGTGTGGAATGGGAACGGTCTTGATGTCTTCGTCAACCCACCATGAAGGTGTATTCTGACCGGCAGATGAAGGACGAGGAATAGGGATATCGTTAACCCAAATTCCAATCTTGCCTCCATCTTCGAGTGCGAGCATTGAAGATTCAGTGAAGGTGAATTCGGAATGAAGTGTGAAACGTAACGTAAGCTGTCCCCTGGGGGCTCGCTCTGAAGACGGAACTGCCCACGGTTGCTTGAATTGCGCTCCTTTGAGAGGCAGCTGAAAACGCCTACGTATTATGTTGTCAATTTTGAGTACCTCTGTCCTTGGAGACCAATCTTCGTCGTCGACTTTGTACTCTGCATAATCGAGCATGAGAACATTGAGTTCTGAAAGCTGAACACCCTCCAACTGGATCTTTGAGGCTACATTAAAATATTGACCCGAGACCGGAGGGCGGAAGAGTCGAATAGCAGTGCTAGTAGATGGTGATAGTCGGAGAAGAAGGCTTGCACAACCTTCGAATTTGTAAGGAAATACCGTCCATCCCTTATTTACAGAACTGTCCATTTGTATCTGCTCACCCGAAAACGTGTCCATTTTCTCAACATCCCAAACACCTTTCAGTTGTACTGTAGTTTGGAAGGATGAATTGCGGTCTCTGTTGCAGATAAAGACAAATCGTTTATCGCCATCCTGCCGCATCTGATATAAGAACTTATCCTCGGCGAGACTCCCTCTTATTGTGACTCGAAGATCTCGATATCCCTCTATCGCACGAATAATGCTCTGATTACTCCAGAAAACATTCTCACTGTTCTCAATCGTAGGACTCGTGGGGGGTACTTTTGCATCTACCAGACCTGGGCTGCTACCGGCAATGATAACTTTACCGCCAGATTTAGAAAAAGCTCGCAAAATTTCGAGCGTCGTAGACCTGATCGTCTGGAGGTGGGGTAGGATGACAACGTCGTATTCGCAATGGCCGACTGATAACTTCCCGGGTCGTTGCCTGCCCACCTGTCCGGGAAGCAGGCTCTCGGAGATAAAGTCAAAATCGATGAGTCCGTGAAGCAGCCAATTCGTAAGATCAGAAAAGGCTCTATCACGGAAGCCCAATTCGTGACCGCTCTCATTTGGTCCAAAGGACAGCCAATAACTCTCTATAGGATGAATAACGCCAACACGTGTGAGAGCTCGCCCGCGTGTCATAGCAACTCCGACCCTGGCGAAATGATCTTCAATGTATCCGTACTCTTTGTACCATGGGCTTTGGTAACCTATGGATGCAGGGTAGTCTCTCTTGCCTTCACCGGCCATGCTGACCCAAGTCAAATGGTGAACACGGAAGGTAATGCCAAGCGCTGCTTGCCAGTCACCACAGCCTTTGTGACCTTCGAACGTGAAATACCAATGCGTAACTCCATAAAGTTCGCTCATCGCACCTCGAAGCCCATTTTGACGAGCAACGCTTGAGACCTGCTTTGCCGTGTTGTATTCTACCCAGTCCGCAAGTAGGTCCATGCCCGGCATATCCATACTCCGGTAACAACGCATAGCTTCACCAAGAGCGCAAGTCTGCGAATGCAAAGAAGGTTCTTCCATCATATGTCCATTGAGCAAAAGATTGTTCTTTCTGCACCAGCCACTAAGTTGGTCCATGAACGCAGATACGAATCTCTCACAGGTATGATCATGATATCGATACCGTATAACGCTTGGCTTGCCATCTGGAAGGTTCCACACAATTTCCGGTAAGTGCTCAATAAGATCCAATGAGTATTTCTCTTGAAATGTTTCGGCAAGGTCCGATGTCCAAGGGAAGACAACATCGTTGTCGCCCCTTGGATTCGATAACTGATTCTTGATATTCCCGAATTGTGGTTCGTCTGTAAATATGCAGGGCACAGTTATGCCAAATTTATCCCCGACATTTTCTTTATAGACCTCATGGGTAATATCGATGAAATGGCCGATGGCTTCCTTGCTGAGAGTATCTACATAAGTTTCTCCATTGAACCATGGTGATCCACCGTTGGTTTCGACATATGCAAGCCAGAGCTGAGAGTCTGACTCGTGCACATCGATATCTTTCAGCATTCGACTGGATTTAAGGCATCCATTCTCATCCAGGTCAATGACATAGGCAGCCAAAAGGTGTGCGCTTTCACTGTATACGATAATTTCGTAAGTTTGAAGGCCTTTCTTCGAATTAACTTACCTGTCGGGGTCATCTGAACCACGAAACCGAGGTGTGAACACAATATGCTTTGCTTTGAACTGTGGATTGTCCTTTACAACCCTACCCCCTGAAGATCCAGAGGGCCACCGATCATCATCGTACCTGTTACATGTCAATTCCAGGATTCGGATGACAGCAGATCCTTCGATTCTATGAAAACTTACAAGCATGCAAGCAAACCTTTGCTTTCAGCATACTCCACACAAGAACGAATCATATTCATATACTCATTTCCCATATATCCTGTATCGAGCCCAGTTCGTGAGTGCATATGGAAACCTCCCATACCCATTTCCGCAAAACAGTCGATCTGTCGTAATAATTGGCCTTCATCAAGTTTGGTATTCCATGCCCAAAATGGACATCCTCGATATTCCGAGGTTGGATTCTTGAATAACATGCTGCTGAACGGCTCTCCACTCTTTGGATAGGTTAGAGGATTTGCTGCCCTCGCTGGGCCGCTTTGATTGGTCGCATTGGCCATTTTATAAGAACCAACGACAGGAATGCGATCCAGTAGGAGAAGTATTATCCAATATTCTTAATGATAAGAGACACCACTTACGAAGTGAGAACGAGATACATAGGAGACAAAGACCCCGTTTGTAAGTGATATGTTTGCGGGGTAAGTAGGTGTAAGGTATGTATGATGTGAGGTCCCAGAGGCGAGCTTATGTGGTCCCAATGGGGCAACGCGTGTTTTGTCGCGTATACCTTAGGTGATCAACGCGACTTCAACGACGAGAACAAGTATGTCTGTTTGATATCGTCGTCAATATGGCATCGGGTACGGCTTCCCAATTCTAAATATATTATTCTTTATTGAATAATGCTAATAGATTCGCAGCCCGCGAAGAACGCATTCAACAGCGCCTCCGTGGGGCCCAGTGAGTGCTTCATAATCTCCCCACCTCGTACAGTTACTGACATGATTTCGCGCATTAGGAGGCGTCAGGTCAAAGATGTCGACTTCGGGCTCACTTTTCCAGTTATGCCAGCTGTGCCAGCCGTGCCAGCCGTGCCAGCTCCAGCGCAACAAACTACACCATCTCAGCCGAGTCCTCAACCAGAATTAGCCCCTGGATTATCCACCCAAGCAAGCTCTACTGGCCGCTCCTCCATTGCGAGAGTCACGGAGGAAAACGGTGTGCCAATCATACGGAATAGCGCCAATGATGCGAACACATCTGCCAAGAGGAGGAAACTTGATACCGATCAAGCCGCCTCATCTTCGACGCGAAGTACCAGATCTTCCTTGCGCGCATCGAGACCCGATATCTACGATCTACCCGAAGATGATGCGAGAGAATCGCCTGCTGCAAATATCATGAATCGCCCAGTTGGACAGGACGCAGATGTTGGACAAGATGAACCAAAGACAATTCCTGAATATGAATCCAGGCCTGGTGTTTCCCAAACGCCGCCGTCGCGGCCTGCTCCTGTAATAGAAGAGGTTACGGAGAGTCCTAAGGATGCGCCTGGAAGTGGCCATAGGACGCGTTTATATCTCCACGAAGCGACTCTACAAAGCTCACAGTTACTTCATCAATTGCAGGATATCAACACTACAGATGCCGAGAGTATAGATACCTCGCCAGTACTTCGAAGGAAGCGGAAGAGAGGAGAGACTACCCCAAAACGACTAGTTTCATCTGACGAACGACCACGGCACAGTAAAGGTGGCCAGCCAGATATTGAGGAGCTTGATGAACTCTCCCCTGAACAATTGCGTGGTCGAAGCAGAGAGCCGAAGCAATTGGTGAGAGAGAAGGTCTCTAACGTAGAAGTAGAAGAAGAAGAAGTCGCCAAGGATTCAACAGAGGAAGCTGAAGAGATCAGTGATCATGAAGCGGCAGCTGCTCTAAATGAGAATCGAGGACGGAGAATTTCGAGAAATCGTGCAGTTGAGTCTCCTGACTTGGACGAGTCAAGTATACGAACACCAACCGTCCCGCAAAAGGGACGGGGGAAAGCACGCCGGATCTCCGAGCCCGCTCAGCAGCGTCAACCGAGAAAAGCCCTACAGCCGAAAGCCAAGGCCAACTCAAAGACTTCCAAGAAGGCGTCCAAGAGTTCTAAACTTCGCATTGGAAGTCCAATACCCATCACAGTTCACCGTTTTACCCGGAGACCACTCTACGATGACGAGGAGTCAGATGCTGACATCCTTAATTCCGAAATCCCTTACATCAAAAGAGGAGGAGTGAACCCCATCGATGTTCTCAGCCAAGTCTGTCATGAAATCATCGATTCTGGCCTTAGTACCCTCGAAGAAGGCAGTAATAAATCTAATGATTCTGCCTTAAGACGAGAGTACAAGACGAAATGGCGTGCTGTTGAGGCTTTTGGGAAAGAGTTGCAAGATCGATTACTTGAGCACGTAAGTATCTCTACAGCAGATCTATCAATCACGTTTGCTGATCAATTCTCAGACTATAAACCTGGAAAATACATTTTCTCTCGAAAGACGGGTCCGAGAAGAATTGAAGAAGAAGCTCACCCTTCGAGAAGACATCCGGCGTATACGAGCTGAAAGGGAGCAAATCGCTCTGCGCATGGATGAAATCCGAATCAAGCACGAAAAGGAGACAAAAGACGCTCAGGTATGTCCTCTTAGACCACTCCTAAACATGAATCAAGGTGCTAACCCACTCTTAGGAACGCGACAGCCTCAATAACACGATCCATGACATCGAGTTAGCAATCGAGCGCGGGAAAGAACAGCATCCACATGACTCCACAGACAGTGCAGTTGAGATGACTGGCATGGAACTCCTCCTGAAGCGTGTGGCAGGAGAGGTGAGCAACAAGAGCGACTCTGGTGGCATGCTGAAGCAGATCAAGGACTTTAATGCATTCCTAGAGCGAGCAGCTTTGGCGCTGGAGACTAGGAAGAGTTAAATGTTATGTAACGAATTAATGATACCCAATGAACGATGTTATGATTATTCTGGCCAACATTCTTTAGTGATTCTATCAGGTCTTGATACCTCTTAACTCCTTTGCAGCAAGCTGACTTCTGGCTTCCTGATCCATGCTTCAGTAATCAGAAATCCTTGCATAACTCACCTTTTCGCGTTATTAATATGATAGTCAAATACATACATCAACCATTGCAAAATCCCACTCCTAACGTCCCCAAGAACCCCCACGCCACGACATGTTGCTCGTCGCAGCCGTGATGTCGATATTCAAGTTGACAAACAACTTCGACTCTTGTAATTGTATATCTATATTGATCCCTACCATTTGCCCTTCCCATGAAGCAAAATCCAGACACGAAGGGAGATTACGTCGCTGAACTTTGCGGGAATCTAGATTCATGGTTTGAATTCCAGCGCTGTCAACCGTTCCAATGGCGAGTGGGGATAGAAGAACAAAGGCTGTATATTAGGTAGATATGAATAATTGATCAAGACGTGTTGTGTTTTTAAACAGGCTTTCGATCAATGGAACGAATCACAAACTATATAAGATAGTCATCAAATGTGATCAGCGACTCTAGCACCGTGCCACATAGCTGAATTTTTATATCTTTATTTCATTTTTATTTTATGTTTAAGAGAGTCTTACGAGCCATTCGTACGGTACGGTTGGGACGAGTAAAATTCGGCTGTACTTACTCTTTGTTTCCAATATCGTTCCCTCCACGACTTGAGCTCAAAGATTTCTGGAGAGTTTGGGGGTCACAAAGTTGATGAAGTGCCGTGGGGGATGGTATCACACTGGTGTCAGAAACACCGCTGAGATTTTGCAGGGCTCAACAAAGGCACTTCCAGTTGTTGTAGGTCATACAATCATTATCATTCATACTCGTCTATTAACAGTTTATGATGGAGACTCAATCTAAGAGAGCTCCGACTAGTGGACACCCATGAAAGGGAATCGCACCACTAGACTGGCTCGATCTCAGAGAATCATCCATCCACACAAAGAGAGCTCCGACTAGTAGACACCCATGACAGGGAATCGCACCACTAGACTGGCTCGATCTCAGAAAATCGTCCATCCACACAAAGAAAGACCCGACTGGTAGACACCCACAAAAGGAAATCGATCTGAGAGAATGATCCATCCACACACGTACGCACACACATGATATATAATGACACACGCCCAAACACCTGCAATGCAACGTATCCAATGGCCTAGAGACTAGGCCTAGGTCTGTCTCTTCTTAGCCCCATCAATGCTAACAGTAGTCTCCTCGATGCCCTCCCATGGTAAATCCAACTCGGAATCGTCCTCGTCGTCGTCTTCGTTCTGATGCTGTGTGGTCTGCTTGCCACCCTTCTTTGATCCTTTGGTAAAGTCCTCTGGGTCAACTCCGATGCTCAAAAGTGTAATCTCAATCTCCTCCTCGCTCATTTGCTGGCCGCACTGCTTCTGGCCTTCTAGGACATCGTACAAAGCATATACCTGATCCGACTTGATGTCAATGGCTTTGAGGAGCTTGTCAAGGCGCTTCTTCAATGCCTTGCGTTGTCGCATGCCCAGAGATGAGTCATGCTTGTTGTACGCCGACTGGATTCTGGCGTGCTCAATCTTGAGATGTGCGATCTCGTCGTCCAGGCCTTTGATAACAGTCGCCAGGGCTAAGCCGGGATCGACAGATGGACGAATGGTAGGTTCGTCTTCGTAAGGCGCAGGGACAGCCATGCGCTCGGAAACAGGAATTGGTTTAGGGATGTGCATCTTGTGCTTCACCCCGGTATTGTTTTCAAATGATGCGACTCGGTTGCAAACTGTGCAGTTCTTGCAATCATGTTTGCAGAGACCATCGAGAATGCGACGGGCGTTGGCAGAGAGTGCCGGATGCTCCGGTGCATTGTTGTGGATGTTCGATGAGATGTCCGGAATGATGAACTCGGAGGTCATGTCCTCAGCGGCGTTGCGGCGACGTTTGGTGCGTGCAGAAACAGCACTATCGGAGTGACGACGATTCCGGGAGGCCTCAGATCTAGTAGTATGGTCTTCTTCAACTCGACCGTCGGACTTGGCACTCTTTACACTCACACGAGCGCTCAGGTCAAACTCATCGAAGTTCTGGGGGCCACGGTTCTTCAAGATGCCCGTCAGTCCCTGGGCAGAGGCAGGACGAGAAGATCGCGCAGACTGAACGGATTCGAGGGTTTGGGCGGTATCGTCATGTGCTGCTGCTGCTGCCAGTGCTTCCTTCTTCATTGCCCTCGATTCCCGGAGCTGTTGGCGAAGATCGCCCATGAAGCCGGGGCCCACGATGCTTTCGTAATCTGAGCCATCAAGTGTGTTACCTTCTTGGTTATCGGCATCTCCAGTGTTCTTGTGGATTGTCGTGTCCGAGCTACTTTCCTCGTCATACGATTCTTCGTCGTTGACACTCTTGTCAACGATCTGTTGGTTCTGTGTTTCTTGGACGACGCGGTTGTCGATCTCCACATTCTGGGAGTTGCGACGTGACTGGGAGCGAGATCCAGGGCGGAAAGATAATTCGGCTGGCTTCCACCCCGCCGATTTGCTGGTAGAATATTCGTCTCGAGCGGAAGAATCGTCATTTGATGACTTCATCTGCTCCAAGTGCTTCTGTGCCTGCTCCGTGACTTTAGAAGCGGCCTTCTTCTCTTTGGTCTGGCTTCCTGACTTGCGTTTGCTCTTGGTTGAGCGCGCTGAAGCTGATTCTCTTCGAGAGATCGTAAGATCAATCTCTCGTGTGTTCTCGCGCATCTCGTGCGTCACTTCTTGCAATTCTCTGACAATTTCGTCCTGTCTCTGAATTTTCCTCTGAAGGGACGATTCCTTCTTTTCCCAGTGTCGAGCATTTTCTTCGCTCTCCGCAACCAGCTGAGCTAGCTTGCTCCTAAGACTAGATTCCTTCTTCTCCCAGTCTCGAGCATTCTGCTCGATCTCAGCAGCAAACTGTGCTAGCTGATTCTTGAGAGTTGACTCCTTCCTTTCCCACTGCCGAGTGTGCTCCTCATTCTCTGCGCCGAACTGAGCGAGCTTGGACTTGAGAGTTCCAACTTCCTGTTTCAGCGCCTGTTCTCCTATCCTCCAATTATGAGTATCTTGGTCGGCGTCGGCCATAAATTGTTTCAAGTGAGCCCGGAGGGACTCGTTTTCATCCTTGAGGTTGTCATTCTCGCCCTTCAGCTCTTCAATGAGAATCTGCGCTTGGGCCAATTGTTTCACGGCCTGATCCCGCTCAGCCGTATTGGTCTTGAGACGGAGCTCTTGGTTTGAGACCTGCCTAATGGATGCATCGAGCAGGCTTTGAAGAGACAAGGCACGTGCTTCGAGTTCTAAGAAAGCCATCAGTAAGAAAATGGATGAGAGACAATATTGAACTTACTAGTTTTCTCCGCAACAATGTTTCTCTCTCGATCACTGCCTTCATCGCTTCCACTATCAGCCATGCCTAAGGCGCTATCCGCGCGTCGACGTCTCTCAAACTCTTGTTTCTCTGCCCGCAACTGATAATTATCTCTTTCGAGGTCATGAATGATCCTCTGAGAATTGGCCTTTTCCATCTCAAGTTCAGCAACTCTGGCTTTCAGCAAGTCGACAGACAAGTAGATATCCTCTTCTTCATCTGGTACTTCAATGCCATCGACGGGCTCATGTGAGTTGCCCGCAACTCCATTCTGGGCTCGTGCTTGGACTTTCCCGCCACGAGCAACGACTGGAACGCCATTGCTAGTCGCGCTAGAAACCACGTGGGAAAAGTCGGGCATGTTTGGAAAGGTGAAAGATTGTTGTGTTGGATTCGGAGTGGTTGAGGTTGTAGTATTATTCGTCTGTGACTTCCTTGTTGGCGGCCTGGATGGTGTTCCAGATGCGGCGCGAAATCTTTCGGCAAAGTCTGCATCGATCTGCTGCTTCTTGGAAACGGGAGCAGGATGTGGAGCCCGTGACTGGCCGCTGAATCGCGTGCTTTTAGTCTGGGAAGTCGTGGCGGGACGCTCATCAAAGATGATAGAGCCATTTGAATCGTCGGCAACACGTGCGTGCAGCTCTGCGAGGCTTCGTTGTTCTCCAGTAGCTGTATGACTGGCGTGGGAGATGTATGGAGAGCCGGTCTGGGAGTTCGTCGAAGGGGCGTTTTCCTTCTGTGAACTGGTGTGGCGGTGGGGAGTAGTGTCCTTCTTGGCATTGTTGCGCAATGCATCTTTCAGGATGGACTCCTTCTGGCCTTGTCCTCTGTGAGGGGAGGGGAGAATTTGGAAGTCGCCAATGACGATCGGGGAGTCGAAATTGTCTGAGTATTCAACGCGAGGTGCTCGGTTGGGCGTTCGCTTTCGTGTCTTCGCGCCGCGTCCGATTTCGATAGACTCCATAGAGTTGGCATCATCTGGCATACTACCCTGGGTGAAATCAGGGAATGCGCGGGCCAGAGCCGAAGTATTGATGACGAATTCTGGTCGTTTTGGAGACCAGCGGCCATATTTTTTGGCGGTGTCGCGAAGCTCCGGGAGTTTTGCTGAAAGGTTGTAGTCCATTTGACCAGTGGACATAATGGCTTCATCCCTCTGTGGATTGAAGTCGGTCATGGTCGAATCGGTGCTGACGGTGCCATGATAGGAACCGGTGGACGAGGCAACCGAATGGTCGAGGTCTCGAGACATCTCTCGATGAAGTCGCGATTTTCGTCGCGGTGGGGGTGAGCTCGCCTGCATGGCGCCCTCACTGGTGTGTAGTTGTCGCTGTTGTGCTTGTGTGTATGTGTGCGTATGTGTATTGTGTATGAGTGGGAGGGATGTATCCAAATGCCTTTGTTGATGTTTTGATTCGAGACGCGTCGCGTGAGAATTTAGTGGTTCGAAGCGCTTCAAGTCGGGGAAAATTAGTCAAAAGACAATTGAATCCAAGAATGACGAGGAGAGAAATGAATTTTGAAGAGAAGTGGTGGGTTGCGGGTGAGATCGTGTTGTTGTTGTGTTGTGGTGTTTTGATGGGCGCACGCAGACCAGGGGACAGGCCGCCCTTATAATCGTGGACCGGGTTGGTGATCTAGCTATATATGGCTAGAGTCGTGCCTTCCTTGCACGGGGCGCTCGCCTAACCTCGCGTATTCTCGCCTATGGGCGTTGTGAGCCGCATAAAATGGGTCAATATCAGTAAAACACAGGTACACGGCCCCATCAAGACACCTACTTGCTTTCTGTGATCCCTACATTCCACTCATTTCGTTCGAAAAGCTGACAGAATTTTCTAAGTCCTTAATATCCCTTAAGTCTTAACTCATAAAGGCATTTACCTTTTTCTTTCACCTTTTCTTTTCATTTAATTTCAAGTTAATTTGATTATTCTCGTCCGTGTATTTTTGGGAGCGGTCTCAGCCAATCAATTTAAGCGAGTTCCAAGTGATCTGTGAAGCGATGTCTTAAGCGATGTCCACACGATGTATCAGGCGATGATTAAGCAATTACATAAGCTGCTAGGTATATTTTAAGCCGCATCGCTGTTTTGACCCCGTCAAATTTTGTTCGGATTCCTCTTGCAGGAATCAACCACAGATGTTAATTCTTTCACACTGCGCACAATGGTTCAAAACGTGAAGGACAGCTTCCTTGATCTCGAAAGGCATCGCCAGATGCTTGAGGAGAATATTGAGAAGCTCCAGAAGTCTCTCCGCCACTGGCAGACCTGGGAAGCAGAATACGAAGGTCTTAAAGAGGAGATCTTAGCAGCAGATCCTACGCCCAACCGCCAGCAACTCGTTGCTCTCGCACGCGAATACGATGGCCAACTCGTCAATAAGAAGGAGATTGAAGAGATTCTAGGTGCCGAAACACGAGATGCTGCCCAGGTAGTTAATCTGTTAGACCGGAGGATAGACTACGTGGAGAAGAATGTCCGCACCGTGCAGAGGCAGATCGAAACCGCGGAGAACAAGTTGGCTGCTGCCACAATTATAAGCACACCAGATGTGAGGAACGAGGAAGGGCTGCCTTTGACCGAGATTGTCGAGGAACTGGATGAGGAAGGAAATGTTATCTCGAGTCATACGTCCACCCCGGGGAGTGCGAAACCACAGCTTCTTGAAGTTCTAAGGAAGGCTGGCGTGAAGGATCTACCCTCTTTATCAACTGCACCGGATTCGAGTAGCCAGCCTGCTATCGATAATATGGTTGAGAAACCCGCCGAGAAAGCAATTGAGAAACCCGCCGAGAAAGCATTTGCGAAACCCGCCGAGAAAGCAATTGAGAAGACCGTGGACGCTCCGGAAGCAGCGGTCAATCCTGCTAAGAAAGGCGTGAAGTTTACAGAAGACACAAAGGATGGACCCGAGCCAGAGATGTCTAGAAATGCAAAGCGACTTGAAGAGATCATGAATATAGCGAAGCAGTCAGAGGAAAAGCCGTCCGAGCCCCCAATAATACCGACCAACGAGTCCCCAGAAGATGCCGCACTTCGCAGAGAGATGTTGCAATACGGTCTCTCAGAAGTTGGTGCTGTCGTCGCAGAATTAAATCTTGAAGATGGCAGTGATTGGTCAGACGAGGATTACTCCGACGAAGAAAGCAGCACAGATGACGAAGATCAGTATGGTCGTTCCACAAGAAGGGTAGTAGATGATGATTTGCGGCAAAGGATGATAGAGCTTGAGGAGCGGCTTGGCGTCAGAATGATGGAGAATATTGGGAAGAAGGCGAGCGACTACGATCTCGTCAGGGAAGGTATTGGACGTGTCACAATCAATAGAAAAGATGACGGCTCGGCCCAGAAAGACTCACAAGTCGCCCCAGTCCAAGACGGGCAGAATGCCAACGATGATTCACCTTCAGCTACCACATCGACGAAGAAATCTGTCAGATTCTCTGAAGATCTCGATATCTCACCCGCTCCAAAACCACCTGCAGCAGCCCCAACCCCTACTCCCAAGAAGGTACAGTCAGCTCCTATAGGCGACATAGTAGAGCGGACTGCACCTGTGGAATCTAGTGCCCCAGTACCCAAGAAGAAGACATCCCGCTTCAAATCAGACCGGGCGTCCGCTCCTACCGTTTCGAACGGTCCCCTCGCACTTCCGAAAGCAACACCGTCTGGCCCCTCGCTTCCACTCTTCCCAGCCAAACCCTCAAAACCCAAGCCATTCTCTCAGCCCATCAAGTTTGCTCCTGTAGGAGAGCAACCTCGCACTGTTCCCACCGGCCCCGAAGGAATGACTCTCGCACCTACCATCGTTGAACGCGATGTCCCTCTTGACACATCTGTGCCGGAACCTGACGAACTTGATCCCCAGCTTCTACATCAGGAAGTAGCAACAGAGTACCACCGGATGCGCAACAGAATGATCCAACGACAGGGTGGATTTATGAAAGAGGACGAAAGTGAGGTTGTGCCATTCTCGGAGGAGGAAGGTGGGCCCAAGAAAATGAGTAGGTTCAAAGCGGCTAGGCTGGCGAGATCGTAGAGCGTCGATTTGCGTGCTTGATGATTTTCGCACAAGTCGTTAGCTATCACCTACGAAATAGACCAACTGTTGCACCTTTCTTTTATTCCAAAGACTTCTCGGCTTGCCCCTGTGGCCCCAATGCTGACAAATTACAGCGCGTCAGCATTTTCTCTCGTCTGTTCTTTCTTCTTTTGCTCTCTAAATTCTTAGGTCTCTTTCCTTGCCTTACACAGGAACGCACTTTCTGACAATTGATGTGGAGCAGTAATCAATCTGCTATCACATTACTGCAGTTCCAAGATCAAACATTAGGGCTCTCTGACGTCGTGACCCTTGGAAATTCAGTGGTCTCGGGGATTCGTTTCACCCTTTACATTTTATTTCATTTTCTCCTACAGTTTACTACCAGAAGGAGGGGCCTCGCTGCCATAATTCCTTCACGTGAGATACCTTAAGTAAATGAGAGCAGAGTTGCTCTGACCATTAATTCCATTGATTCTATGCACAGCGAACAACTAAAAGCCATAACTCCATAAATTTCATTGACCTTGGACGTCCTGTCTCCAATGTGTCATGAAAGGCCTCAACAAGCGCGATGATCAACTCAATCGTGCCCCTTCGCTCCGAGGTTATTTTGGGGAATGTGCTGACCTGACAGAGAACATTTCTGTAGAGCTATGGATGCTTGAGCGGAATGGATTTTTGATTATGAGCCAAAACTATCTATTACCTTACATAACCTTGAAGGATTCAGAAGAGGAACCATAATTGATGCGCGCCGATCTGTATATACGATGCCTATCTCGGTAGTATCATTTTCAAAGATCAATATTTTTCTTCCCGTGTCACTCTGTGCTATATTACATGCCCACTGAATTTCCACGCCACAATGTGATAATACTTCAATCCCCATGGTCTCCATTTTGTGAAGGAAGAGAGCATGCAATTTACAAGGAATCAATACCGCAATGCGAATGCTCCATTAAATACCAGTCAATACTTTACAATCCTCGATTATCTATTTTTGAAGAATTATTTCTGTGTTTCTGAGGGGGGTACGCGGCGTGTTTCAGAGGTGAAATTTAACCTTTTTGCTTCTTTTTGGGCGGGATTACTAGAGGGAAAGAACTACCTGTAGTAGTAGACACGTTTGTTGACAAAACAACATCACTAGAGAAATGCTCGGATATCTCATAGTGAGGGAGAATGCTGACCTGGATGCATACTTTTTGGAAAGCCCACCGCGTGGAATCAGCGCCCAGGCTCCAGCACTAACGGTAACCTGCGGGCTTGAGCTCTGCACGCCGTAATGACACCAGAAGTTAGGCGGGGTATCTCTCGGTATGTAATAGTCTGATACGATCATTAGATATGATATGGCTGGTGGAGTTGAGGGTTGGTCGCACATTCCATTGTAGCAGGGCTGATTCAATCGCCATAGCAAAATAAAAGAATTAATCGTCCCCTAAATCATCAAATAAGTCATATATCCAGCACATACGACCACAGACTGAGGAGAACTGGGCATCCCGTCCGCTCTGCCATACATAAGCCTCAGATCGGTAGATTAGTAGTTGGGTGGGTGACCACCAGCGAATACCTACTGTTGTATGTTTTTTTTTGGCGTTCTTCTAGGCCCTGATGGCTAGATGTGGTCTATGTATTAAGATAAAGGAAAGGCTGTCACATACGACCACAGACTAAGGAGAATTGGGCATCCCGTCCGCTCTGCCATACACAAGCCTTAGATCGGCAGATTAGTAGTTGGGTGGGTGACCACCAGCGAATACCTGCTGTTGTATGTTTTTTCTTTTTCTTTTTCTTTTTTTTGATGCGGGGATAGATGGGTTTGGCTGCATAACTTCCACATGTCATGAACGAGTTGCTTCCACATTACCGAGGTTGTCATTCAGTCACCGGGTCGGTCCTGAGTCCTGACTGAGAAGCACCTGCCCGCTGGTGGATCAGCTTGTCGAACCTCCGTATTCCCTGAAGATATCCTGGGCTTGAGTTCGGTCAGTCTAAGCTTGACCAATGACCTCGACTTTATTTTTCTAGAGTGTCGATGTCTTCGTGTGGCCATTCCCTGATATTTTGACTTGTAAACAGAGAGTTTGCCAAGGGGGCAGCCTGTTTGATGCCAATGACTTCTGAAATCCTCATGAGTCTCCCAACGACCCAGTCCCGCATCATGGGCTATGCCCTGCTCTCTTGCGCTGAGAGCAAGAGTGTTTCAACGTATCGCACTATGCTCATCAGATGCGCATCATATAATGTGGCAAAGGGGGGCTACTCTTGTCCTTCTCAGTCTACATTCGGCGCATGCTAGGTTTACCGCGATAAACCATGCTGATTGAATCCTTGGACCACAATAAGAGTGGCTCGACTTGTTGAACTCAACGAAGATAATCAAGTAGTACAAATAGATAAAATCGTGCGAAAGAGGTGTGCGAGCAGTTGAGCACTTATAAGGAACTTTTTAACAGAACGAGGGGTGATCCCGTAGGACCAAGGATGTATATAAAGGAGGGCACTCGCTCTATGCGGTCATCACTTCACAATGCGAAAATGATAAATAGAAAGGAAAATGGGCATTACACTTACTGTCCCAGTCAGATAAGTGAAAGGCAGAGCGGTAATTGGAAGGGTTGAGAAGAACTTCAAAGCATTCAACTTGTGTTGTTGCACCAGGACGATGCAGTTTGGTACAGTCAGCACAGTGAGCTATCAGCAACGCTAGTCTGCTTCTGGGTACTAGTTGAGTAGCGCCTCCACTGCCTCGTCCACCATCTCCGTTCCCTTTTCATCCTCACGTAGAGTGCTCATCGGCTCAATGAACAATATTTACTCGCGATGGATGTGTTTGATAGCTCAAGAGTTGCGCTCAACTACAAGACCCCGTATTCTGAAAGCCATGCATGCTACAAGTTCAAGTGTTTAGCAGGACGCACAGGACAGTGTGAAGCTGCATGACTTCCTCGTCGCTGCTCTATGGACCATCTCGTCAACTTTAAGTAATAAGGATATGTATATAAGAAGATACAAAGTTGTCATCTCACTCAATTTTTGTACCTATAGAAAGTTCATAGAAAGTTCGCTGAAGACTTGTTTTTCCCTCGTTCAGCTTCAACTTTTGGCTTATTTTCTCAATTGCCCTTCTGTTCCTCGTCCACGATGGTGCCATTCCAATTGCAAACATGTGTCTACATCCCAGTATTCATCCTCACCATTATAGTAGTGGTACGACAAGGCTTCCAGAAGCAGCTCGGATGGATCTACCTAGCAATCCTCTGTGCGATTCGTCTTGTTGGCGCCGGATTCCGGATTGAGAGCGTCCATAATCCCACAAACAAGACCGATATTGAATGGTCAGCGATTTTACAGTCTGTTGGGCTGAGTCGTCTCCTGATGGCAAGCATGGGCCTGTTGAAGCGAATGTAAGCCTTCCTTTCAGAGAACCTAGGGCAAGGATCCGAAGCGTCTAACATGGATATCTAGAACTGATGAGGTATCCAACTATATACGATCCGACACACAGATACCATTAGGTGCAATAGGTGGAATCATCATAAAACGAGCAACAGCCAACTCTCGGCGGAGTCGCATCATTTAAATCGCACTATTGCCTACCATGATTGCACTTATTCTCTGGGTTGTCTGTCGGTGGGATCGACGAGGCAGACTCCAGCCCCTCTGAAATTTCAAGCGGCAGAAAAGACACCGAGATTGGGGTTATGATCTTCCTCGTCATTTACCTCCTCCTATCACCACTGATTGTAATCACCTTGAGAGATGTTGGGACTGCCCCGAGAGGGGAGAGACGGATCTACTTTGCTGTCCTCGGAGCTATCCCTCTACTTGGTGTCCGGCTTCTCCGGAGTCTGCTAGCCGCATTTTCGAATAATTCGACTTTCTCAATCACTGGTGGCAAACCCTCAGTCCAACTGTTCATGGCTACGTTGAAGGAGTTTGTGATTGTTGTTTTCTATACACCGGCAGGTCTTACGGTGGCGTACTGAGAATCCTTCACTGCGTACGAAGGGCTGTCTGTGTTCACTCAATGCGAGGAACTGTGGGGCTAAGTCGATCTGTACAAAGGACGGGAGATACATACAGGAATGTACTGGGCATAGATAAGTAATCATCAGCATCGTCACTCTCAGCACGTGATCGTCACTTTCCTGTGGTCCCATCTGCAAGGGATGTATCGAGCGATAGTTACTACAACGGTTCCAGCATGCATTGCGTCTGACGTACTGTGCGGGTCGTTGATTATACGATGTCGAAGTTCAGACATGGGCATTGATTACGAGCTAAGCTTCGATCGGACTACCAGTGCGTAGCGTCCTTCGGGCCTTCGAACCGACATCTTCGACAAACCCCGACGAACATCCCATGCGCTTTGCAAAGTTGCAAAGCTGCGCATGTGGAACCCTTGCACGGTGGAGGAGGATTCTCTACTCTACTCTCTCTATTTCTGGCAAAGTGTCCGTTCCCGCGTCTTCCCGTCCTGTAGTCTGCTTGTGGGGCGACTCGTCGAGCTCCCTAATGGCTGTCTTGACCAATTCCTCTGCTTTCTTCTCTTTGCTTTTGGCCTTGCCCACATCTAGTCAGCTCTGCGCGCAATGTGACAGCAGCAGACCGAGGGTGCCGTATTCATTAGTTCAAATGTGTATCATTTGTACACCTTCTCGTTACCTGTTTGGAAGAGGATCCGAGCAACCGACGATAGGCCCCCGCAAGAGGGGCAATGGAATTCTCTCCAGCGCATACCGCCTATAATGCTGGAGTACATACGTAGTTCCAGGAAGCGTAAGTGTTGCGTTACGCAGCTGCTTGCCTGTCTCACTTCATCCTATGTATAAGTTGGTCTGTTTAGTCATGAACGACTACAGTTGTGAGGACCGCAACCTCTTGTCAAATTTTACTATCATCTTTTCCTCTCAACTTGTACTCTTTCCACCGTAGAGTGTTGATAGCGTCTGAATATCGTTTTGATTATCCTAAATTCCTAGATCAATATCTGCTTTCTCCGAGAATGGTCCTCATTGCAGCCCTAATCGGCGCTGCTCTCGAGACATCAGAAATGCATCGACCTAGCAGGAATGCACTGGTGAGAAGGGACAATTCTCACGATGACCATCTAGATTCTCAGCATGGTACGATAATCTGCAGTCACGGATTTGCACCTGGTTTATGTAGGCTTACAAGATACCTCTTCAGAAATCTCACAAGATCAGATCGACGAGCGAGCATTCCAAGAAGTTCAAAAATATGCAGACTTTCAAAGAGAACTTTCGGAGAGAGTCTACGATGACATCCTGAAAGAGGGGACATATGGGTACCCGAGATCGTCCCTAGATACTTCCGTGTTTCCCTCAATATGTCACAACTTCCTGCCAGCCCCAATCATCATCCCTCAGCAGAGATCAGAAGGTGGTAAAAGGGCCTGGACACGAGCTTACGCACCTTCTCTCCTGGGATGTGGCATCGACCAAGACACCTTTCTAGATTTTCTTGATTCCTACAATCAGGTAACCAAGGTCAGTCACTCCGCTTCGTCTAGCGTTACGAAGTTAATCGAATTTTATCTAGAACTCTCCGTACCTTGGCGTTGTCAATCTTCCCGCATTATGGGCGAGGCCTACCCCAAGCATGACACAAACATCGGTTTCCAGGGCGATTCCTATGGCTGTGAGTCTAGCAAAAACGCTACAATCAGAGGAGCAGTGAGTCGCATAGTTTCTTTTGGTTGGTCTGAATTGATGTATCTCCGAACCCACTACAGGTTCTAATATCTACTATAGATCCAACTACTTACGCCACGCAAATGATGAGCTCTTTGTTCTCCATGGACTCTTTGCCTTGGTCGTTACCTTCAATCACAGCCGGAATTCCCAAACTTACACAGTCGACATTTCGCAGCCGTCCTCAACAGGATCAACCACACACACAATCCAACCCCAGCAACAAACTGGGGCTCCTCTGATATTCCCTGAAGTCGACACAGATTGTTTCATGCAAAGAATAAAGGCTGAGGAGATGGATGAAGTATGTCAGCACCCACAGATCAACCTTGATTTGGCTCACATAGATCTAGGATATTCTTTATCTCATGATAGTCAACAATTAGGGTGAAGAGGACGTTCTCAAGACGACTGTCTCGAGCTTTCACCTCCCTTTCCACGGAGAAGAGAACGCAAAGGCCCCGGATCCGGAGTAGAAGGATCTTCCGGATAGCAATTCCAAAAAAGACCGAGTACAACAAGATGATGACCCCGCGTCGGGATACAATGCAGCGAAAAGATCCAGCAACGATAGTGTGCGTCACAAAGAGGAGAATCAATGTGTGCCAACGTTATAAGTGGCGTACATTTGGGAAAAGCGCGTCTGGGGTTTATCATGCAAGGAGTTGTTTTGTTGGCAGATACCATCTATCTATCTCCCTTCCCTGGAGATGTTAGGTTCCAATCAAATACCCATCCAATTCCAAGGCTCGAATTCTATCGCCGTCCTGCCTGGTGTCTTCGTCTCAAGAATAATACTCCTAACTTGTTATTTATCAACCCAAAATCTCTCAGGTCAGATTCTACAACACGATATCAGTGAAACCCCCTCGAACCCAAAGCACATTTATAACATTAATGAGGTAAGTAAAGAGTGAAGACGATTGATTCTATAGCAAAACGATCACCAAAAGAATCTATCAATCTACCTAGCCCGACCAAGGTCATCATCATCATCAAATTCATAAGCTCCAGCTCAGCTCCACCATCCATCCATATCTCATTCCTCCCCAACACCTCGTCCTCTTCCTTCCCCCCCCCATCATCAAATCACCAATCTAACACATGCGACATCTTTCTTTATTTTCTTCCCCCGTCATATCATCCCCTAAGCAGCAGCAGTCCCAGGAAACTCCTTCGGCCAGCACTTCTCCTTCGGCCAAACCTTCTGATCATGCGTCTCGGCGTGCAACTCCAGCTGTTTCAAATTCGTATTCACGATCTCCTTGCGGCAATTCACGCACTACGCGCACACCCGCACCATTTCGTGATTAGCCAGGGGGGATTGATTCATTTACCCGCCTCTTCTTTCCTGCGCGAATGATGATAACGATGATAAAAACGAGTTTTTGGAAAATTCAAGGAGTTCTGTCTTTTCTTTTCTTGTGTGATGTTTGCCCCTTTTTATGCTCTGTTTCTGTTTCTGTCTTTCTTTGTATGTGTACTTTATGTAGAGGTATGTATGTGCTATACGTTTGCTTTGCCCTTCGCCTTCGGAATACAAGAAGAATAGGTACGGATCGCGAGGGAGGAAGAAAGAGCTCACGATGGAGGTAGGCTTTGGTGCCTTGACGGGGAGTCCGTTAGGCTTCACGGGCGCGCGCGTCCCGGCGGCTTCAGCCTTGCGGTGTTCGCGCTGGATCTGCGTGGCGAGAGGGAAGGTTGTTAGGGAGGAGGGGGATTTGCGGATGTGCTTTGTTTGCTGACCTTGGATTTCTTGGAGATGGGCATGTTGATTGTGTGTGTGTGTGAGGGGGTATGTAGATAGAATGGTTGGTGGGGGCGTTTTGTTGGTGGAGGTATTGGAGTGGAGGGCTGTGAAGTTTCTCGGTGCAGTTATTTACAGCTTTGATCGACTGTTAAGCGAACGTGACACATGATTTAAGCTTAAATATCTTGGCCCGCCTATCGCCGCCATCACGGATTGCTGAATCGGGGTGAGGGGTCTCACCAGCAGAATAGAAGAGATGGTCACCTATACATTGATTAATTCTTGTGTTTCAGCTCCACGTATCAACAAGAATCCCCGGCACCGCGCGCTGCACAAGATACTGCCAGTACAACATAAATCCTACACTTCCACCGCCAATTGGGTTTCCCTTTCCCAAGCCAGTCCCGAAGTAGAATGTAACCCCCACCATCCCCATAGCCGAGTCCCTCTCATAACGCCAGTAATCACAAACTCATTGTATCGCGCACACGGGCAAAGTAACAGGGACCATGCACGAATTGTACCCTGGCCAGGCGGAGGAAGCCTCAATGACTGGGATCTAGTCAAAGTAGATCAACCGAGACATTTCCATATTGCTATGCCATAATCAGTCTTTGCTCTGTGGCAGTCAAGCTCTTATTCCATGGTGTACCAAAATGATCTCATGTGCCGGACCAGCGGTTACCCCACGGAATCTGTCAAAATTGAGTGAAGATTCGGGATAAAGATCTCCAGAAGTTCCTGCTTTCCTTCGAATCAATAACCCAGGACCTGAACTATACACTCTGAGGGTACACTCCAGGTGGAGGCGGGCTGTTGACCATGCTATTGCGTTTGTTCCGACTCTTCTTCATCTGGCTCTTCAACGCGCTTGAATCCAAGGGTTTGAGGAGCTCAAAGCTACACAAGAGCTCGGTTGAAACACTCATGACGGCACCGTAATTATCAAACTCTCCACAATAGTTTGGTGCGGAAAACACGGTAACCAGAATTCGATCCTCGAAGAACTCGTATCCGTCCTCGACAACCATGTGTGCCCGGCAGACCAGATCGAAATCGTGCCTTGTCAGGAATTCCGTTATAACCCTCTTTCCGAAGGAATAACTCACACCTCGTTCGCTGGTCTCCCAGTCCTTTTCCTGGTCTGCAGGATCTGCCCATAAGAGATCATTCAGCAGTCCGAAGTCGGGTACGTCAGTAGGTCTCGCAATGTGTCTTATATCATCCATGTGGCTGAGAGCCGGTGATAGACCGCCGTGAACACAGAAGATTTTACCCGCAACGATTGCGGCAATGGGAAGCTACTGCATGTTAGTGGATCTCATAGAAATGGTACCTAAGGGAAAGCTGGATGGCAATATGAGGAGACTCACGCAGTTGAATGTATCGACAAAGGTTTTCCACACCTTCACGTTGCATCTCCGCTTGCACTCGTCGTAGAAGCCATATACCCGAGTAACGTTCGCACATTCGTGATTGCCCCGAAGAAGGAAAAAATTCTCGGGATATTTAATCTTGTAGCACATGAGGAGGAGGATTGTCTCCAACGAGTGCTTTCCTCGATCAACGTAATCTCCCAAAAACAAGAAGTTCGACGTTGGTGGGAAGCCACACATCTCGAACATTCGAATGAGATCAGAATACTGTCCATGAATGTCTCCTACAATCTTGACCGGTGCGTCCAGCTCAATCAGGGGCGGCTGTTCCAAGAAAATTTCCCTTACACGGCTGCAAATCGAATTGATCTCGGCATTTCGCAGGCAGACGCCCTTTGTGCTCTTGCCTGCATATCCTGCATCCAGAAGTCGTTTGATGTAATCATCCACATCCGAGTCTTTCAATTCACCCATAGCCACTGATGAACCTGGAGCTGTTTCGTCGGTCCCCGGCAAGGATGATAGTGCATCTTGTTGAATTGGATTGATCGTGTCCGCCTTCTTGACCAAAATTGATTGGCCCGGTCGCTGCAAATGGGCATGTGGATTTGTCGCTCCCGACGGAGGTTGGTCGGAGACATAGTCAACCTCACCGCTTCGCTGAGCGGCGTCGACATCATGATGTCCTTGTCGCATAGATGCCGACTGAATCGGGGACGGAGGTGGCTTTAGCTCATCAGGGGGTGAAATAGCATCTTCGGATGCATCCAGAGATGGGGAAACTGGATCAGGTGTTGGAGAGTCCGGTGCTCCCTTTGATATTCCTGATCGAGAACTTCTCCCAGACTTCACAGACGCCGCGTCTGACTTGTCTGCATTGATGTCTCCATTCGCCAACCCTGCTGATGACCCCCTGGGGCTATCCGTTTTGGTACCTGGGATCTTGGACCTCAAAGCCCCTCTAAAAGACCTATTTGACTCTTTGGTATCTGCCTTGCTGAACGATGGATAAGACTGGAGATTGTCGAAATTCTTGTCTAGTGACGTCTGTGACGCGCTGTTTTTGGGCGTTGCCGTCCCAGAGCCCTTGGAACTCTGGTTTCCCATCTTCTTTCGCTTGTGTATTTAACAGTGATGCGGGAAAATGTGAAAAATTGCTGCTTGTAAAATATGTCGCATGAGATTTGCGGACCAGGTAGCTTTTATAGCATCAAGCCCGTCTGGGGATAGAGGAGTGTCGGAGTTATGATCTAAGGTCCGGGTGCTCCTTGCTCAAGTCCGATGTTGCAGTTTGTAATGGCCGTGTTGCTCTTAATTGTCACGACCATATAACGAGTGAAGTTTGGACTGGCGCGTTGATTTTGAAGTTTTCTGTAGTGGGATTGGTATGATTCGTGGGTTCGAGTGTAGGAGAGATGGCCTGTGATGACTGGTTGTACGTGTCAGCAGTTGATATGTCAAGAGTGGTTCTGCTCAACGAAGAGGATAGCAGGAAAGGCATATAGAGGAGAACTATTTCTCCTCAGCGCCGAGAAGGGAAGAAGGGTACGCGTGAAGGAAACGAGGGCTGGTGGCGGGCGCACTGACGAACTACTCCGTGTGTCAATCAGCGGAGGCACCGCAGATACAGCATGGGATTCTTCGGGCTAATGGGCGCAGACTTTCTTCCCACAGCGAAGATTCCAAGATGCCGACGCTGCTGTTGTACGAGCGCTGCGCTGCGTCTGTGTGTCCGGATCAATCGTGGGGTTAAATGGTCGAGATGAGGGACCTTGTCGGAGAGTCACCGACGGGGTTGGCACTGCAGCCAAGTAAAATGGTAAGACAGACCTTGATTGCAACGACAACACAAGTCGATAGCCAAGATCTTCTAGTCGCGTGAAGAGTCTTCTCGGGAGGATTGGACAGTTCGAGATCGGCGCCAGAGGCTGAAAAGGCAGTCGATGGTTGGGGTTGGGCTCGTTGGGTTGTTCGATGGATGTTGAAGGGATCTGTCATCGATGCCTGAGCTGGAGGCCTTTTGGCGCCTGGAACCCTCGGAGAAGTGGGAACGTCGCCACGGCCGCGAGGCTAAATATTCTATTTACGGATTAATTACGGGCGCGCCCTCCAAGGCTGGCTTTCCGAGCTGCGTCATGCGAAGCGATACCGCCAATATACGTCGGTATATCGGTATATCGGTAGGTATATACTCGTATAATACCGGTACCTTATTCTACGCTGTAAGGCGTCTCTCCCCTTGGTTCCGGGGCGGGACGGGATTGTCCTCTTGTCTTTTGGCAAACACCAACGACGAGATACTTCTTCACCTTTGCATGCATCGACACACAGTTCTTGCTTGGGCCTTGAGGCCGAAGCTCTCTGTGAAAGTCAATTGCACGCTGCCTCACCGCCATCTTCCCACCAAGCATCGTCGGTAACCACTGGTAGACATTGCTCGAGCTCAGCGAGAGAAGCTGGGCGTGCATTCAATCCCCGCCAGTTCCCTCTTGACCGCCAGCTCAGAATATCTCCGTGTGCCATCTGGGTCTGTGTCTCGGAACACTTCCCAAAAATGCCCGGAAGAAGCACCTGGAAAGAGGAAGGCCGTCCCTGAGTCCCTCATTGCCCAGCTCTTGGCTGCCGACTTGAGTTCTGCGTTTGATCTCCGCACAATGATACATTATTCATGGCATTGCTAACGGCAATTGAGTGGTAGCCCAGTTTAACAATCACGATCCTCATACATAGGAGGCCGGTCCAGGACGTGGGCTTCTTCCCCATCCGCCGTGGTTGTTCCTGGTGCTCATCCCTTGATCCTCTTTTCGCGATCCCTCGTGGGAGAGAGGAGGACCTCATCCGTGGCGAAATATATCTAGCCTACTGTGTACGTCACATACGGAGGATTACCCCACCGACATCCCGTCAATCGGTGATGCAACAGGAAAACTAAGTTCATCTACTACTCCGTAAGCATTACATTCAACTCGGCTCGAGCCTCGACTGTGGACTGTGGGGATTTCTCCGCCGTAGCGTGATGCGGCTGACCCTCGAAGCTTGACGATGAAGAGGACTTCTCTAATATCTTCTCTCATCCATTATCCACACACATATTGTACTACTACATTCCGTACAGAGACAAAGTATAAAACAGGACCGAGATGAGCAGGGATGGACATCCATGCCGGCCGAGGCGCAGCGCCGCGTGGGGAATTGCAAACCCTTCGCGCGCCAATGGCTGACAGGAGAATCCGCCGCAACTCCCAGGACATATCTACGTACAGAGTAGTACTCGGTAGATAATAGGGGAACCTGCCACGTTTAGAAGGATGCTTCCTCAAATAACTTCAATAAAAGCCCTTCTCCCAGATGCTTTCATTTCAGCCATTGCGGTCGATGGTGGGAGACATCAGAGACGGCTACCACAATATAGAAACCCATCAGGTTAAGGAAGTCCTAGCTAGCTTGATGGCATCTACTTCCCCAGCATCTCATATTTCCCCGCCTGCCTCCAGTATAGGCGTGTTACTTGGTTGATTCAGGCTCCAACAATGCAAGAGCCGCAGGGACACACAGGCCTCTCTCCTGGAGCGATAGCGGGGATTGTTATTGGAGTTATATCAGTCGTTACGCTTGCAGCAATCGGAGTCTTTGTCTGTTACAAACGTCAATATCAGACCAAGCACAAGAGAGCGCTGGAGACGACTATAGCAATGGGCAGTGTTCCCCCGGGCACTTGCAGGACGGGCGCTCAGTTCAGCGAATCGAACAGAAACAAAAACGAGGTCTCGGCATCGGTCTTCCCCCCTCACAACCACGAGACAACCCGTGTTTGGGATGACTGGATCGCGCAAACTTCACCTCGACCGCCGCCTGGCGAGATCATCGACCAGTCAGTCTTCATCCACAACACACCAACACCTCAACACACGACCCCTCCGTGGATGACGAGCCGAGGGCCCGCCGCCCTCGACCGTAACTCTACACAATCCAATGCCCAAGTGAGCCGCATCACAGACATCGCCTCGTCCGCCTCCCCTATGGAACTCGAGCTCGCCCAAGACGCACAGCGGGGCCGCGTCCAAGACATCATGGGCCCCACCTCCGGGCCCCTCGCAGGCCCCGCTGGCTCTGTATCCCCTCCCGCGTCTCCGCCCGCGCGCTCCAGGAACCTCCTTCAACGACAGCGAGTCTCTGATACAACACCAATCTCTATCTCGCAACCTCCCTCACCAACCCCTGATTTCACTCGCCGCTCGACTCTAGATGAGTTGTTCATCTCTCCCACGAGCCCGACAGGCGGGCATGGTGCAGGGGATGACGATCTTTACAGTGCGGACTGATCGAAGGAGATGTATGTCCTCATAGCGATTATCCAGCAGGCGACCACCCGGCAGACATGTTCGCCCAAATCGATACGCGGAAGGAAAAAAAAGTCACGGATCAAGAGTCTGAACGAGACGAAAAGATCAAACCGCAAAGATAGAACAGACCCTGTCTAATTTCCCGGGACAGACAAACACTCAATCAAACAAACAACCAACAGTCACCCCCGAAGAGAGATAGCCACCCTCGAACAGAGATAGCCACCCCCGAAGAGAAAGGGAGGCGGGGGGGGAGAGACGAGGAGGGAAAGATCCCAATTCCCAGGAGAATCCAAAAAACCGAAAACTAGACCCATACCCAGTCCTAGGACGGAAGGAAAATATAAGAATCTAGATAGATAGACAAGACGAGATAAAATAGCTTTTTATTCCAGAAAAATTTATTTTACCTCCCATCTCATCTCCTCCTCTTTTCCTCTTTCCCATTTTTTTTCGAAATGTGTTCCTCCGTAGGTACTCTCTATACAATTACTACAATTACATACCCCTCTCCCCCCCC